TTTAAACTGTTTATTCTATGTCAAGACAGCTGTCATTTTTGGTCTCATTTTTTAAATAAAATCATCTAAATCTCCTTGATTGCCCAAGTCATCAGACAATCGATAATCCATATGATCATATGAAAACACCTTCAATGCAATGATGGGTAATCTGTAAAATGATCAGGTCAGTAGCTCGGATAGAAGTGGATCAGTCTGCATATAGGCTCGTTTCCATTGTTTCAGCTGAACAGCAGTGAAAATTACCATCAGAACCTACAAGATTGATCAAATTCAAGTAAAATACCTGTTGAACACTATCCCTCGTCAGCACGCCCACACAGAAATTAGGAAACCTACAACAGACCAAAGACAATACATATAAGCTGAGAAATTTCAGTATATTTACAGCAAGAATATTACATTTTTTGAATTATAAACAACACATAATCACATCCATACCTACAAATTATTTCTGCAAATAATCCCACAAGGGCAACCTGGAGGGTGGACCCTAAGTAGAATACATGTTAGTATACACACATAGGGTGAAAAACAATTCGTCAAGTACAACAAATAAGAAATCAATCAAATTTCCATAAAAACTAGGTTTCAGGTGCTATCCAATGTTCAGGTACATGTATAACTGGATCATCACACAGGTGGTCTTTAGACTTTTACAGCTTTTGTTCTGAAGTTTGGCTGTTAATGATACTCAAAAGTCCATTTCCTGGTGGCAATTTACTGGTCTCTATCTTACCTAGATTAAGATAGGTACATATTATCTGCTTTAACTAAGATGGTATTCTTTTTAGCATAGAATGTGCAGTTTGTGCTAACAAAAAAGACTTTGGAACTATCAGTGTACTACGATTCTCCTGGCAGATGTCATTGAGTCTACATACAGTGTACCTGTATAAGCGTAAACACGATAGTTTGTCTCCACAACAATGAACCCCTTTTCATCTGTGTTGGTGACGGCCGTGCTTCCTAAAACACAGTCAGATTACATTAAATCAGCAAAAGAATCAAACTATACACTACATACTAAAAACAAAAAAGGAAAAACTCTTATGATTTTTTAGCCTAGCAAACAGTGGTAAAACCTAACCATAGATTGGCTGGGTGCCACATAAAATAAAGCAGTTTACTGTTCTCTATTCAGTAGCGGATCCAGACCGTCAGATAAGGAGGGGGGTGGGGCTGGCCTCCAGACCCTGAGATAGGGGAGGGCGGGACTCAGTTTGGTCTACAAATAGGGGGGGGGGGAGTGACATCCCCTGGTATGAAATTGAGGAAACAAGCAAATAAAATGATCTTCCATTTTCCATCACAAAGTCAGACAGTCTCTTTTCATTCAGAAGGAAAAATCTCATTGGAAATTTTACCACCATACCAACTTTGTTAACACATTACCCACTAACCAATAGATGAATGTTACTGTTACTGTTTTATAAATATTACCATCAACTTAAAGTAGAAGGCTTCACTTTCATATGCCTGGTTGTTTTTAAAGGACCCTTTGGCACTTTTCTTTGAACATATGATGTAACTATAATAATATTAATGTGGCAAATGACAAAATAATCGGACAAATGGACATGTGAGCATGCAATGTGTTTATACATACTGCAAAAGAACAAATTATCACATTCTTACACAATGTACAATGCTATAAATTTTGTACTTGAAGAACAAGAGCTACACTTTATTAATTGGTCAAAATTTTTCTCCCCTAGCTAGTTGTCAAATGAAGCTATTTGCGGGATGGTGGCCACTCTATGAATTTCAAGGTAAAGTTTTACCTATTCCAGCAGATGCCAGGTTGATTGCTAGTCTTGTAGGGTAGTACCGTTTGGATTTTCGCTGAAAGACAATATTTTTGTAAATTAGTTAATCTTATTTATAAAGATCCATGATTAATTCATGTGCTTTTGATGAGAGTACAGAAAGCAATTGCTACACACACAACCAAAAGTATGAATTACCTTTCTTTGAAACACCAGACCAAACTCTCTAAGATGCTGAAGAAACTTGGATTGAGACTCGCTCATTCCATCTGTGGAATAGTCCTTTATGACAAATAAAACCAAGCTTTCACTTAGATATACATGATTGCATAAGCAAATTTTGTAAATAAAACAGTTATAAATGTGAAAAATAAAACTAATGATGCCAGGATGAACTTTAACCATGCCAATGACATTTTTTCAGGGATATGCCCACTCATTTGCATTTTGGAACATTTTACTGTGTCTGCTTGCAGTCAATACAATCATGTAAAATATAAATTATCTCAGTATGTGTTTTTTAAGCAAACCATATCTAATGAGAGTTTGCCATGAGAAAATAAAATTCATCTCTTCAAGCCGCCGTGTAATGTTCTTTTTATTATATAGACAAAAAGACATCGATAAAATAATAGATTTTCATTCACCAAAAAGTAATTGTGATGGCTCAAATTTACAGTACAGCAATACAAGACATTGTTTACAATAATCTTGAGAAATAACACTGAGCTGAATAAAGCTCTACAATGACAAAATATAAGCAAAGCTTTGAAAAATGTGTAATTAAAATTCAAAGGACCCAAGACGCCTACAAATTTTGGAGGAAATTACCGAAATTACGTCATCGATAAACTCACATGTGAGATTATGGAAAATAAACCACTCGGGTCCCGGATGTAGTTTTTATGAATTTTACGAGTGGTATATTTTCCAGTAAAACACCCGTGTCTATATAATAATTTATAATAATACCTTTCCTAGGGTAGCAAAGCTGATCTGGAACAAAAATGAAAGACACTCCACAAGATCCATGCCGCGGCCCTGAAATTGGTAAGAAGACAGGGTTGAATTAGAGATCCAAGTCCTTTGTCCTTGACAATGATGTTAAAGATGAATTACCATAACATTTAACACCTTTTTCTCCTAAAAAGGAACCAAAAATGAAACTAGCAAAGTTTCAACTAACAACAATGATGTTTGTACCTCAACTGTCTCAAGGTATTGAAGTATGAAATACCAAACTTGAGAGGCAGTGTCCATCAACAAGAACTGAAATCCTGCTGGACTTATGACAGGCCTACTACCAGGTGTTTCACTGAAGAAAAATAATTTACAACAAAAAATGCATCGTAAGCTACAGCTTATTGTGGTTTGGTCATTTGGTTGGTAAGCAAAAGTGTTTGAGACTTCAAAGAATACATTCAGTTGAGTTTGCATGTAGACTTTTCACAGTCCACTATTTTTCTGAAAGATTTCCCAGATTGAGCACTTTGCCATTACAGGCAGCCAGGTTGGTTTCAAATGTACTGAGAGAGTGGGGCCCCAGGGTTAACAGACGTCTGACATCATATCACTGTTATCAGACGTCTGATAATAGACATTACATGTCTGATAACAGTTATATAAGAGAGGTCAGATAACAGTTATATGACAGCAGACGTTTGATGTCAGACATCTGCTGTCAAAAGACTGTTATGAGACGTCTGATGTTATATTACGTTATATAACTGTTACCAGACGTCTGATAACGTCTGGTAACAGTTATATGATGTCAGACCTCTGATAACAGCTATATGACAGCAGACGTCTGATGTCAGATGTCTGCTGTCATATAACTGTTATCAGACGTCTGATGTAATATGTTATGTTATATCTGATGTAATATCAGACGTCTGATATTAGACATCAGACGTCTGATAACAGTTATATGACAGCAGACATCTCTCCAGTTTAATCTCCTCACTAAACCATGGAGCAGCGGGATGTATGGTAACCATGCGCGATTTCAATGGCGCATGCTTATCCAAAACACTAGATAACTCCGAATTATACAAGTGAAGCAACGTTGTTGTCGTATAGAATGATGATGTTTTTATAGGATGACAATGTAGTTTTGTAGGTTTAGGATTTTGTTGTTATTTTTATTATGTAAAGTGCTTTTGGACCATTGGGAATTCTTATAGGATGACAATGTAGTTTTGTAGTTTTGTAGGTTTAGGATTTTGTTGTTATTTTTATTATGTAAAGCGCTTTTGGACCATTGGGAATTAGCGCTCTATAAATATTGTATATTATTGTATATTATTATATTAACAGTTGTGGATGGAGGAGGAGGCTAGAATTTTTTTTGCCTCCCTCCGAACCGTCCCCAACCTCTAACTAGATTTGATACTCATCCCCACACTAGACTTGGTGCATTTGAAACCAAGATGGCTGCTGTAAGGCCTTGTTAAGGTAAATTCCAACAAGCAACATGGCCTTGAAACAGTGACATATGACAGCAGAAATGGCAACAAATGACACAAAGATGAGTTGAAACTGCAACAGCGACAGAGAAAAGCCCAAATACAATAATAAACACTGACAGCTACATGGCTTCTTCCTCAATACACGAAACAACAGGTTTTTGAAAATCAGACTAAGGACATACCGTAAAATTCCGAAAATAAGCCCCTCTATGTATAAGCCCCTCAAACTCGTAATGCAAAAAACCCTCTGTTAAATCGCCCCTCCGAATATAAGCCCCCACCGAGGGCTTGTACTTGGAAATTGCCCTCAAATACAAACTAAAATAAGGCAAAAACAGTCAATTTACTTCCAACTATAAGGCTAGCACAATCGATTTTGAAACACAAACTTCCCTCCATAGATAAGCCCCTCCGAATATAAACCCCTCCAAAAATAAGTCCCATCAAAAAGGGCTGTTGAAAAATATAAGCCCTGGGACATATTTTCGGAATTTTACGGTATGTAACCCCCCTAAGAGGGCTTTACTTGTAAGTGTAAGAGCTGGATCCCTACGATCTTAAGGAAAAATATGGGACTGTGAACAGTCTAGCTGAGAAGCAACAAAAAAATCCAGCAGTATGCACTTACCACTTCATGAGACCTGATAAAACCAAGACTTTGACCACATCCTGACTGACTACAGCACTCTCCTCTGTCGCTGTACAACCAGTCATGAAATGAAGAACAGCCTCAAGAAGGAAAAAAGTGCACTCATTAAAGTGATACAACTCATAAAATAGAAAATAAACACGGTGGACTCAATTTGCTCAATATTCCAGAGGGATAAAGAGAATAAAAGAGGTCACTGTAAAATTGGGTGGTTTCTCGGTATGCATGAGATGCAAATCAGTGAAGAAATTTCTATATGTAAGAGCTTTAACTCATAGCCGTTGCAATTTGGCAACTTAACAGATAAAAATGTTACAGTACAATTTTTTTTTCTCGACTAGCTACACGCTGAACAAAGAATCGAAATGAATGTGGAGGCTCGAAAAAGATGAAGTTAAAAATAAGGGTCCCAGGTTTTTCATTCATCAGACAATAAGCTTATAATATATCATACAGTTCTGTCAAGATCAATGAGTGGTCAAACAAACTCTAGACTACACAAGCCACAGGTCCATTGCACTGGGCCAGGCTCCGGTTGCTTAAAAATTAGATAGTGCTAAACACCAGATAAATCGCTATCCAGTGGACAAGTATTTCAAAATCCAATTTAGCCTGCGTGCAGACGATAACTAAACTCTGATTAGTACCGTCTGCGAAGCAGCGCAGACATCCTTGTTCTGGACCCCCAACGGACTCAACGAATTACCGGAAGTGCGTTTCGAATTCCCCTTCAACCTGATTGGCGATCACGACAAACAAAACAAAGGCCTTTTTTAACTGGTCAATCGTGGCGCGTACTCAAATCTGGGTACACAGCTGGAAGTCCAGAACAAGGATTTCTGCGCTGTTTCGCAGACGGAGTTAACCAGAGTTTAATTTCGTCTGCGCGCAGGCTAAATCCAGTTATGTTATCCAGTGGATAGTTATTGGTCTGTTATCTAATCTCAGTTGTTCAGAAGGTGGATCAAACTATATAGTTGTATTGTCTTGCAGTTGTCAAAATAAAAGTGAAAATTGTACCTCCCATCTTTCCATGCTGTATTTATCGAGGAATGGAATGTCTCGTGCGTGCTTGTCCCGTTCTGGCTGATCACCTGAGCCTATCCATGGATTTCCTCTAAAATCAAATGAAAAAAAAACAACACCATGCCAGTTTGTTCTTAATTTAAGAATCTATAAAAATTTAATAAGCGCCACTCTGTTGGTGTCACCTTTCAGTTAGCAGTATCTTGCACGTGCATGCGCACTTCTCTCTGTTTTATTAACTCCACATGCTCTCGTTTGATCCTTCTCATTAAATCTTCGTTTGAGACAAACTTTACTCTTTATTGGCGAAGGACTAACTGATATAAATGCACAATGTTCCAATATACTCCTAATTGCTTTAGTGCTCCTAAATTACTAAATAACAAGTACCATGTGTCAATATCCTGAGTCAGTTTATATGGTCAGCGCTTGGCTCTAGTGGCTGCTGGTGCCTTACTCTTTATTTGCTCTTGAGTGACTAGGAAATGTTAGATTTTTTGTAGAATATTTCTATGAAAAACCTAAAATTTCCTCGGATTTAATCCTTTGCTGGGCACCCTGGATTTCACAGGTCCAGAGCATGAAGATCGCTTTTCTCTGAGCACAGCCTTAATGGTAATTTTTTTCACACAAAAGTTTAGTGCTCTTAACCTACCCTCCACAAAGTGCAATCTTGAGGTTGGTACGGAAAATTGCATTCATCTCAAGCCTGTTTGTGGTCCCACCACTTGATTCTCTCCATATTCTAAGAGCTTTTAGTCGATTTACAGATCCTATATAATGCCTGCAATTAAGGACACATGCATTGTTTGAGAAAGAACTGCTTCTACTACGATGTATGTACACTCTATATGTACAAATACATATATGACAGGTCAAAATTAAATTCTGGTTAAAATTTTTCAACCTAGGTTTAGTCTCATTTTCCTTTGTGTCTTAGCCCTAATTATTCATAAATTAGGACTAGGAAACAAAGGAATCAACCTAGGTTAGTAAATTATTATTATTATTTCTAGCTTTATCTAGGATCATCAGCACAAGCAAGAGATAGAACGAGGTACATTTTGCTGTTCATATTATTAATATAATGCTAACTCAAAGTCATTAAGAATAATATTTCGAGAATTCACAAAGGAAGTCATCATCAAAATAAGTATAATTGTTATGACATGAGCATAAAAGTAGCACCCGGTAACATCTATTCCCAGCTTAAAACAAAATATCCTTTGTTTCCTACATATAATTAGGGCTAGAAAGCTAAGGAAAGTTTGAATCAAAGAAGGCTGAATACCGGTTTAACAAGAGAGTGGATTTTACCTTCAACAAAACCAACATGATGGTAACGTCAAAGGAGGGGTTTCACTACAAACAAATTGAAAACAAGTTATTGCCCATTAGCATGAATATCTTACTTCTGGTGATCACTTTTCACCCATGCAGCAACCAAAGTTTCAGGCACTGGCTGATCTGCAAACAATGTCCTCATCACAAACTGTTTAGCAAGCTCTGGTAATTCCCTTGAAAAGATAAAAAAATAACTGTTTCACTTTACACACGAGATGATTATTATTACACATATTATGGCCGAGCTCACTTGATGTTATCAGTAGCCTTGCAAATCCTCAGAACCTCTAATTTAATTAGACCCTATGGGTCACAGCTCTTTTATTTTGAGGCTAGGTTCCACTGTCACCTTTGTTTTGTTTATTGTTTTACGAACCAACAATCCAGTGAGGTTTTCTGAGAGTGGCAAGGTCGCCTGATGTTATGATCAAATGTCCCGACCCCGGGGTCGCTTCGCACGATCAAAAGCCTGACAGGGGGATAGTCTCAGGCATCAAATCCCCGCCCCTTGCCCACACCCCCTCACGGGATTTACATTGATAGGTGCATCATATAATTTGAAGGGATTAGGTTTGGTAAATGAAAAGTTCGACGTTTGGACTGGGCTTCAGTGAACTTAGCTTTGTGTTGATTCAGCAGTGCTTTTTGAAATAGAAATAATAAGATGCTGATCAATTTTATGTTTATGCAAGTCCACAATCCACATTTTCCACAGAAACAACTTTCGAATTGACGTTCTCTGTTCCTTCCTACCGTAGGAAAAAGGAAAGTGACGTCAATCTAAAAGCAATATGTGTTCCTTTTTAAAGTGTCCTTACGTAAAAGCTACACTTGCGTTGCAAGTGGAGCACGCGCCGAGAAGCACGCGAAAGTATTTTTAAGAAAACTGACAAGCATTAAAATGGGATATATTACCTGAACACTGCCAAACAAATTGATGGGTGATTATATAACCTATCCAATATCCCAGAAGGTAAACTCCCGAGGTATTGATGCAGATCTCGGCATTGCAAGTGGCGAAAAAATGACGACCCATCGGCCGCCATTTTAGGACATCGAATATGATACCGGGTAGACTGGACCTAGCGTTCAATATAAAGCTCCCCCCAGACTCCCCGGACAGACGGTAGTCTTTCATTTTACTGCCGATCATCTATCAACAAAGGTCACCTTTTTCCGGCTCCTGAATTTATTTTAGAATCTCTTTCATTTAGTTGTGTCTCAAGTTTGCTTCAATCTGGAAAGCACCACCAGGCCCATAGCTCTTGCACAACAGACTGGCTCTTAGGAGGTATCGAGCGTAAAGCGATGTTTTACGCTTCGATGCTTTGTTTATTTACGTAAAACTTTACTCTTCTCGCCCTTCATTTCGTGTTAAACGATCACGTCGAATTCTGGTCGATTAAGCCATGGGATTTGGACTGCAACTCAGGCTGTTGCTGTGGAAAAATTATACCTTAAAAAAGCGGGCGCCGGTAAGTGTCTCGATGTATTGTCCCCTATAAAAGAGAGTGCATCGATCTGCTCCATCTTGCGCATTTTCCATTTCATGTAGGCCACTTCCAGTCTTTCTCACACATGTACACTACAAAGGGAACACGCAAACATAATGTAATCCTTTTTTTTCAGTTTGCTGTCCTGATAGAAGTACTCAAACCGCTAGTTTTATTTCTCATTTTGATGGGCATTCGATTTAGACGAGAACCGGATTTTGTCCCGGAGGGTAAGTTACCAGTAGAGATTCATTGAAGCGTTTTTAATTCAACTTACTCTCTGTTCAGTATGACAATGACTGTGCAAACTAGCAGTTTTCAAATAAGAGGTATCTGCTCTTGAGAGACTAAGGAAACGGATTGTAAATAGTATGAAAAGTACAAAGGCGTTGAAATTTCGTTTAGGAAAAAGAAATATAACCAAAGTTGAATAATGAACAATATTATTATTGTTGATTGGACGACATCGATGATTCATTTTTTTTGTTGTTGGGAGAGGGGGAGACGGGGTTGTTGGGTTTTAGAAATGTTCACTGTCGGTTATTTTGAATAAGAGAAACTCAAAGCAGCATGTGTTAACTGTACAATTCCACTTAAGGGACAGCGTAACTTAATACAGTCACCTGCTCATATTGGACAGATTCTGACAAAAGGTGCATAAAATTAATATTTAGCACTAATTATTCGATGAGGCTGAAAAATGTAGATTGACACCCTCCAATATACGCATATTTCTTCAGATCATCATCAAAGCCAAATCCAATAGTTGTTTTATCATTCAACGAAGTAAACGATATTCATCCATTAAGTTGATATTTGCTGTCTAAGCTTTAGTTTGGCTATTTCTTCTTCAAAAAGCATGCATTATTTTCTGCTATTTTCTCCAGCTCAACCAAAACAGCTGAGCTAATGCAGGGCTTCTTGGTTGCCATTCCTTTTTCTGTTTCTATCCTGCACTAATGATATCGTTTTACTGTATATTTCAAACATCTTCCAAATTTGGTCAACCTGAGCCTAGGTCACAGATGTAGGTTGTTTACCATTTACAGCAAATTCTGGAAATTGGGATGTAAACGGTAAACGTTTTTTTGGTTCGTCCCACTGGAAAATTCCCAGGCCAAACAGAAATTCTGAAAAGTTAGTCCCGTTTCCCCGGTTGGGACGTTCCGAATGGAAATACGTTTACCATTCACAAGTTTCTTGAGTTTTGAACTAGTTTCATGTTGTAACTAGAATCTAGTCTAGCATGGCGTGACAATCCAGAAATATTGAGCAAATGGTAAATGACATGTACTGTTCTTACCAAACGAAAATTCCTAACCAAAATTTCCGAAATTTTTTATAAATGAGTTCAACTTCGTAGGCATGCTGGCAGTAAAGACGTGCAATGTTTCTTTCTGCCAACAGAGTACAGGTGTATGTTCGCATATGATGAAATAGCATCTAGGCGCCAGTTCAAAAGGTGGATAATGCTATTTGGTGGATAAATGCCTATCCACTAGATGGAGCAATTAGTTTCTCAAATACTTATACACTGGATAGTGATTAATCCAGTGGATAGTGGTATTCAACCTTGGAACAACTGGGGGCCAGGGTGGTACCAGTGACTAAGCCACAGGAAGATATGACTGGCATATGACAACCGGGTTTAACTTGTAATCCAGGAGTCTCCAGTTTATTTTTCAGTGATTCTGAATCAGTACCAGCAGAGTGCAGAGAAAGTAGGGCAAGCTGTAGTTTGCATGCTCTTAACTCCCAAAAAACTAGCCTGAAAAAATTTTGATGAGCACAGTTCTTCTGTAATTTGAATTCCCAAAAACATTCACTTTTGTGACAGACAAATTAAGAACAGAATTCACTAGCCCTTTAACAAAATCAACTAGCTGCGGCTATCAGACCCTACTTTCTTTAACAATATGGCTGGGGTTGTTTCTTGGTACAGTGTAGTCATTAGCATGTATTATCATACCCAAAAACAATTACCTGAGGTAAAAAATTAACTACCACATGTACATTTGTGCTCGTTTCCACTTCACACTGATTGGTGGAAATCTTACAGCTCAATTCCCGCCCCACCGCCAGTTCGCCCCAGAGAGCTTGCTCACAGGGTAAAACTTTGAATTTGTAATAATCAACCCTGGGAGGGGTGTACTTGAGTGGCTTTTGGACATAAATGTATATGCAGGGCTGCCACCAGTTGGGCTTTGAAATCCTCCCATGACGCTGCTCAGAGGACTAAAGGATAAAACTCTGGAGGGCCCTATTTAAGGTAATGGACAAGATGCACACTTTGTAGGTTCTTTGAGACAGGGCTTCTGATATTTCGCGCGGTCGCGAAGGCGGGAAATTCAGGTAAATCCGCGAAATCCCGCGAAATTCACAAAAACACGAAAAATACCGCAAAATTCGGTACAAATCTTATCAAATACATATCTGTACTACATATTTCAAACTTATTTCAGGTATAGGGGCTATTTACTTGCCGTAAACTTGCAAATTCATCTTGGAACTTCGTCACTGAAACGTGCAAACAACGTCTCGAAGCTACCAGGCGTAAATTATGTTGTGAAAAACTGGGCACTAGCCATAAGTGTAAAGGCTTTGGCTTTGGTTCATTTCTGGAGCGTATTGTTGTTGAAAGAGTAAATAATGACCTCTCTTAGAAAAATTTTAAAAATGCTGGTCTGATCAGCGCAAAACCGATCAATTTCTAGCGAAATTTGCTGTGAAAATAACCACAAAATCGGCTGTTTTTTACCGATTGCTTTTTGGTGAAGTTTGCCCCGAAAACTCCCACGAAATTCCCGTGAAATCGGTCGATTTTTCCGCGAATTTATCCCTAAAAATCCCACGAAATTTGACTTTTTCTTCCGCGACCTATTAGAAGCCCTGTTGAGACAAAAAAGGCTAAAAGGACCCTGTTTATGTCAAGCTTGAGAGGCATGATTTGTCCATGCAAAACTCCAAAAAGCCTGTTTCTGCAATCGCCTGTCTAGCAGTACATCCCCATTTTATAGTCCAGATCAAGAAATGTGACAACCCTCTGGCAAGTAGTGTTACCCTTGTTTCATGAGTCCACAAATAAACCATAAAACATCTTTACACTTCACATGCTTCGCATTTTTATTCCGTTTCTTTCTCTCTCGTCACTCGTTCAGCTCACGCTCAGTCTTCTGATAACCCGGATGAGCTAGGTCAAACACAAGACTCGTTTCTGCTTCCGGTTGTTTTTTTTTCAGTACAATCTCTATATGTAACAGTAGCTAACAAGGTTGCTGCACATCAGATGGAATTTTTTAACCAAACTAGTAATAGTTTTTATTTTTAGGTATTAGTTATTTTATTTATGTTTCATTTTAAGTATTTTTTGTTTCAGTCGTTAGTACGTGTCCTGAATGCATAAGTTTGTAAAATTGATGTGATAATTTTTGTTGATGGACTTGGAGTTGTCAAAAAATTTCCGACCTCTTCACGTACAGGTGTATGATCCCAATTGAGTTGTAACCATACAGCTGTATGCGAGGGGGTGGAGGATTAAAAATGTCTGATATCCTGAAAAGGAAAATATGCTATTGGCAACTGAAACAAACAAAAAATAATATATAGAGTTACATAATTATTTGAATGGTAATATTGAAAAATGTTAACTCATGCCCTCATGTCCTCCTGGCAGATGATGTTATTGTACTGATCGTTGCAAGGAGGTGTGCAGCTGTTTAAGCATACGTCAAGTTCTATTTTTACTACTTCCACGTAAAGTTTTGTTTTCATTTGTTTCAATGTGTTGGGAATATTAATCTCTTATAAAGGGTTTTAAAATTCAAAATAAGTGGCCCTCCATCCATCCAAACAAACGAACACATGAAAAATATACTAAAATTATGTTGTAGCTAATTTTCTATCTCAGGCAATTTTTCTTTTTTCTTTTGTTTAAACTTCATTGGCATGTATTACCATAACAATAACAAAAGAAAAACAAAAATTACCTGAGATAAAAAATTAACTACAAAATATATATTAATGTAAAATGCAAGTACATGAAAAATGCCATTTAGTAATAAATAAATGAATCTGCAGGTCACAATTAAATTGAGGTTAAAATGTTTTAATCCTTTAAGCCCCAAGATCCATATCTTTTAAGAATAGTTGAGAGAATTTGGTTTAAGATCAAAGTATTCTCAGATCCTTGGTATTCAATTAAGTAATTCTCATAACCTTTATTCTTGATGATCTGCTGATGTTGTTAGGAGAAAATTGATGTTGGTCACTCTTAGGACCTTAAAGGTTAACCTAAGTTGATTGTCAACTTCCTTTGTTTCGTAGCCTTCATTATTCATGAATTAAGGCTAGGAGACAAAGGAAATAGAAAGCTAGTGAATAACCAAAGGTTAGGGAGGGTGGGTGACAATGATCAAAGGTCAAAATGCTTTTGCTCCATTGCTGTGCTTTGTGTAAGTTTCATGTGACAGATAGTCAAAACCACCCATGATCAGATTGCGAGTGATGGAAGGTCCAAATGTGCGTGATCAGATTATGAGTTATGGGAGGTCCAAACGCGTGTGAACAAATTGTGTTTTGTGTATTCCAGTGGAAGTCCAAATGAATGCCGGCTACATACATGCCACGCATGCATAATAACAGCCTGGAGATTAGAATTGCGGGCTCCTCTTGTTACCTGCAATTAACCTGGGTTAAAAAATGTTAATCTGACCTGTAACAAGTATAGGCATTGAGATAATGAAAATATGAATTTTTGATATTATAGAAATGTTGAATGAAGAAACAAATGCAAAGTAGATCATCGCAGTTAAAGACACAACTTATGCAGCTGCGGAAAAAAAGCCTGAAAAGTAATATAACTTAAACGTGGACGTGAACAGATAAATGAGCTCAATATCATTAACATTACTGTTTGTTTTCTTCTGTCGCAGACGTATTTCCAGTACGGGCACTGCCTTCATCAGGAATCATTCCTCTACTACAGCAGTTCTGCAATAATAAAGATAAAGATGAGCATGGCTTTCCAGTCCACCCAAATGCGAGGTAATGAAGTTAACGTAGCTAAAGAATATATATTTCACATACAGTAAAGTACTGCTCATAAGTCCTCCCCCTCTCTTTATATAGTGGATATAGTTTTTATATGAGTTCGATTTTTTAACCATGGTTTGAAGCTTTAAAAAGGGATTAAATTCAAAACGTTTTGTGATCAGCGCTGCTATGTAGCTTGTTTTCAATTTCAAATCAAGTATTTAAATTTTTTGCCACAAAGTCCCACAGTAAGGTGGTTTTTTACATGTTTTCTTATGTAAAGCTGAAAGTTTTCTTTTTTATGATTAGTGTTAGTTCAATTTAAGTAGATTCATTCATATATTCTATTGTATAATATCGTTAGTTGCTAGTTTTTTTTTTCTTTCCATTCCTTTGTTATAGCCTCAATGATTTTACCATGTCTAAATAAAGTTATCTTATCCTATCTTAGGGTCTTTCTGCAGGTACCGGAAAGCTTTGTATTTTTGGTCACTTGGGATTAGTCTTTATTTGGAGTTGTTTTGTTTCCTGTCTTTTATTACTATTGTATTACGTAATCTGTGCTCCGGTACTCACAGAAGGAACCCTATCTTATCTTGAAACACGTTTTTAATCAAATTATTAGTCCATTAGTAACCCATCCTCACCCTCTGCACCCTTGTTTTAGCAGCACTGGAGTACCATAAAACCTCTAGCAGGAGAGAAGAGAAACATTAACATTAAACCCTCATGTGGCATTTAATCTAGGGGCTTAATCTGCCTTCCCCCAATTTCGAAGGCGAGTGCTACAACAAGCTGCAAAAATGTTGAGACACTCTGATGAAAAACTGGCCTTTCTTACTTTAAATTGCTGCTGGTCACACATCTGTGAGATAAAATACTAATTTCCACCCTGCCCTCCATTCAAAGTTGTTCCTCCAAGTTTTGAGGATGATCTTGTTGGCAACTTTGATAAGGGGAGGAGGGGGGAGCACAAGGTCATGGACAGGCCATTATTTTAAGCCAAAATAAGGTATAGTGTGTCAAGTAATTTTGCAGCTCTGGTTGTAGCTCTCTCCATTTCACCTTCCCAGTCTGTTCTGCTAATCTGAAACTTAGGTAAATAATCTTGATAACCAATGTTTGAAGGTAGTGAATAACTATAATTTTTGCTTTTTCCTCTCTAGTATTGGCGCTGTTCTGGATCATATTGCTGATATTCTGTCATCCCCTGGTCTGTCTACTGCTCAGGATCTACAGACACTACCTGAAGATTATAAAGATTTTGATAAAAACTTCAAAAAGTTTGTGTCAAATGCACAAAATGTTGACAGTAAGTCTTCGTTAGTAAAATTTTTACTCACATGAGTATCCAGCGTTGCTCAGAATACTGGAGTAAATGAAAGGAGGAAATATTCTACATTAATTCCTTTAAAGAAAAGTTATGCCTATAATACCTTAAAATTCCTTCTCCCCATAAATTTGTAGAACTTTCTTCACATAGAATCAGTAGTTAAATTTAATCAGGTGTTTTACAAATCCAGCCAGGCCACGACTTCTCTATGTTTATTTCTTTTGTGAGTAGCTCTTCCCATAAATTTTTTAAACATGTTCTTTGCAGCAGTCAGTATCTAGTAGTGTCAGGTTAACTGTAGTTGTTGCTAGAATTTGTTGCAGCTTTTTACTCGTAGGTCAAGTTGTTTGGGGCACTCAGGACAGATTTTTATAACACAATCGAACTACAGAATTCACCTTTTGAGCAAATCCTGTCCCACAGTATTTGGAAAATCATGATAATTAATGTGATTATAATTCTAAAGAAATTAACTTTGTTATCTTATGTCGATTTTTGTAATGTAGATTTCACAATAAAGGAAATATTAAAAGATCCTGATGAAGTGCAGCAGCTCATGCATAACCTGTCCATTCCACCTTCCATATCAGAGGGTCTCCTGAACACAACAGTCAACACAAAGGAGGTAAAAAGAAAAAAGAACTGTACTGGAGGACTAACATAACTTAACATGACATAACTTGATTATTTATAAATATAGCGCATAATACATGGTTATATGATCTAATGTGCTTTACATTACAATGCTTATAATATTACAATAAAATTGATAACCCTTTGAACAGTCCTACTAGCTTTGATTATTATCAGGGTGCAAAGAAAGTCAGTTTTAGTACAGCTTTCCATTGGGGAAAGCAGTATCTTGCATGTAGCAGTCAAAGAGTCATTTTATGTATGTAATTTGAATATTTCCCCAAAAAACTTCACTTGCCTATCAGGTTAAATAAAAACAGAATTCACCAGCCTGATAGCAAAATCCACTAGCCCTGGGCTATCTGACACACCTTTCTTTACACACTGATTATCAAATCTCTCTTTGTAACATCACTTGAGGTGCTTTCCATTTGTCAGAATAGGCCGGCCTGACTAGTCAGTTAGTAACATGAAATCAGCTTTTTCCAAGAGTTTTTGCTGAAAAACCATTTCCTTTGTGCATACTATTTAGGACTTGACTGATCTGGCTGGATAGTTTATTCTCATTACAATGGGAATGGTCTGACCAGTCAGTTCTGACAAATGGAAAGTGCCCCTAGTCTGTTTGATATTTGTAAGCCTTATTAACCCTTTAAGCCCTAAGAGTGATCAGCATCAAAATTCTCCTTGTAATATCAATGGTTTGTAAAACAGAGTGGTCATGAGAATTACGGACATGATCACACAAGATGAATTTACTTGATATTTTATCAACTTCTCCCCACTACTTCTGTAGGAAATGAATAGGGGCTACAAATGAGAATTCAAATTTTGACCTTAGGGTTTAAAGGGTTAACTGCTTCAATCTTTTATCAAATTCTATCAACTAATTCATCAGGGACATGTATGGAGATCAGTGAGGATCGTAAGGTTTAAATGGGGCTGTGAAGTGTGTAGGATAACATGAGTAGTTCGTATAATATATGTCTTGGGTTATTTGGTAAAATTTCTTTTATTTTTCAGCTCATAAAATTTGTGAATGCCCATAGAAGAGACCTTTTGAAGCAGCAACATTTTGGAAGCCATTCAGCAGGTCAAAATCAGGGAGGTCTTCCGGGAATTCCTCCACATGCTGCTTCATCTGGGCCTGGTCTATTGGGGTTACTGTTCAGCGTCATGAATCGCCTCCAGAATCCTGCGCCAACTGTACCTCCAACTCCACAAGTCAACCTCACTACTGAGCCGGTTCGTATGCTGTTACATCTGCAAGAGCATTTGCAACCGTTCATTTTCCCTATCATTTCAGTCTTATCTTTGGTCAACAACAAGAACAAACAACAACAAGTTTACAACAATTTATTTGAAAATACAGTTGAACCTCTTTTAAGCGGCCACCCTGTATTAATTGACCAGTAATCAAAGTCCTGAAATAATATTATAGAAAAGAATATTGTCAAAAAACCTCTGTTAATCAACCGCCTTCATCAAGTGGCTGTGGCCACCCTTTTAGCCATCCGATGAAATTCTCCCATTATTAGTTTGGCTTTATTATGATGAAGGAAAATACAGTCCTGGGTAGAAGGTCACAACTGGTTGTCACGTATTTGGTTTCAAAATAAAGTGATGTTCCTGCTAAAGATTATGCTATTTTATGACAATTCCCTGTCAATCATTGAGCGTCCAACCTCTTATAAGCGGCCACTTTGCGGTACCCCAAGGGTGGCTTTTCAATGGAGTTCATTAGTTCTTTGGAATGGATCGTTATTCTCATCCTACAATGATGGCCTCATCCCTTACCTCTGAAATTCAGAACGCCTCTAGTATTGCTGTTTGCACACCTTACCTCTCTTGATGCTTGTAGGTAGTTTTTCCCTTCCTTTACTTTTTTCTCTTGTATTCTTGCAGTATTTCTTCTCACTTTTTCTTTTTCGTTTTTGCACTTGCTTGTTCAGCCTTATCTATTTTTATCCTGTTTAATGATTATTTTCTATGTTGTGAAGAAATTTTTTGTGATTAGTTGAATTGTCTTGCCGATGCCAGTATTATATTCATTAATTTAGTGATATACTTTTAAAGGTGGTCCTTTTTACAAGCCTTAGTGTCTTCCTTGAGCTCCCTTGCCTCATCTTTCTTGCATTTGTTTACATATTTAATTTAGATGGAAAAATGATAATGAAAATAAAATTAAAAATCCTAATCCTCTCAGATCGGGGGTAAGGGTAGTTAATCTGAGGATGGAGTATCATTTAGGCATTCCAAGAAAAAGTTTAGGAGAAGAACACAAGATTCCACCCCATTAATTTCACTAAAAAATATGATGTCCAAGTTATTGTAGGTGCCCCCCAAAAAGGAAAATTTTACTACTGGGTTTTATAACCTTATATTTCTTTTTCAGACTTCTAACATTCCTGATCTACCTCTAAATGCTTCCTCATGCAATACAACGGAACTGGAGAAAATTCTGGTGCTCAAAAGTGCAAGCCAAAAGGTGCGTTTGCAGATAGAAATGATATTATTTGTTATAAACAAGACAGTTGTATTAACTGTAGCATACCTGTACAACTATATAGCAAGAGTGACATCCAATTATTCCAGTAAAGAATGGACTGGTTTTCAACTGTATTTTTAATTCTTCATTTTGTAGGAAACACTTCGTTACCTATGCGGTTTAACACCTTCACAAGCGCAGATGTTAGCTGGCTTTTTACAGAATCATATAGATCGAAGTGCTGCCATGCAAAAGGTTGGCTGGACTGTCTGTGTTTTTTTTTTGTACGTGTATTGTTTGACTGAATACCATATGCGTTTTCGTTGGTCGTTACGTTGGGCCATTGGAGTACAGATGCACGGCTGATGTTACAGAAGTATTTTTCTTTGCTTTGTGCAACGAAGCGCGCAGTTTTGAAAATGTTTACAAGTTTACTGCGGATCTAGTAGACTGAAGCCTCAATTAAAGTTAAGCAGTGTACGAGTGAGGAAGAAACATTTAGCAACAGCACGAGATGCGTTAACGCCTAAATTACAACAAAACCTCCAACAGCCCTATGCACCTTGACGTAATCTGTGATCTATACTTGAACACACCCTTACTAGGTTGCGTGTAGGACTGGATCAGACTTGTGTCGAATTGCACTCTGGGGATGCTTTTGGAGGCGAAGTGTACCCAGTTTTCCTGCGCAACCTTGCAATAGCCAATAAAAGAAGTGACAGCACGCCCAGCATTGACCCATTCTTACATGTATGTGTGACCTCAAAGTGGCTAATGCAGGCGTAGACATTGAACAATCCTTGTCGATTTGTTAAGTCACGTTTTGGGTCTCAATAAACTATGAGCTCTTCCGGTTCAGTCAGCAGCTTCTTGGATATTACAAGCACTTTGTATCAGTCATGACTATGCATACTTTTTCTTATTTTTTTCCAGCTGAATGTAACCCGGGAGGATTTGATTGCGTACAACAAGTCTTATGAAAAACTAAGAGGAGATGTAAGTGTTGTACAGTTTAAAGAAGCCCTCTTCTGTTGGTTTGCGCTACTAAGAAAAAATATCCGATCCCTGAAGCGTTATTGCCGTAGTTCTTCTTAACAATAGAGAAATTTAGAGTCACATCCACAGCAAATGGCAAACGGTAATTTGTACCACTTGGCTAAGTTTTCCCGCCTTAACATGTCGTTTACTGTTCATTATCACTACACGGAAATCAGAAGATTCACGCCAGTTTTATCCTTAAGAACTGTTTTGAGCTGTTTTTCTCTGCTCATTTTCTATTTTGAGAATTTTAACTTTCTTTTGAATTAGCGATTAAACTAAAATATTATCGCGTACATCAATCTTAAATTCTGGTCTCTAGCGAAAACACAGACCACTAACTGCGTCCCTTTAGCGAACTCTACTGCCTGATAACTATTCAGAAAAGTACAGTGCCAAAAAACTGTTTAGGTCACTTCTGAAAAAACTAGTTAGACCGAGCATTCTTTTTGAGAGCTGTCTTCTTTTGTGGCTTTTAAAATAAAGAGTTTGACCGGCTTAACTTTAGGCGTCGTAAGTCATGCGTTACAATTTACGCAACTTAGCCTGCGAGAGAGCTGTCCATTTCGAGTGGCAAGCTAATCGATCCGCGCGAGAACGCGCAAGTAAGCAGCGTCTACTTTCGCGTGCCACTTTTGTGTGACCTTCCATTTTCCCTCCTCCAATTTTAGATAAAGAACTTGACTCAATTTGTACACTTGGTGCAAGAAGGAATAGAACTTGCGCAATTACTGCGGATTAACCTATCATTTACTGAAGGACTTCAGAACAAGTCATCGTCGGAAAGAAAGAAAATCTACCTTCATGAGATGTGGAAGAATCTCGGCCCAATCATATGTGGCCCTGATCCCAGCGCACAGCCCTCTAAAAAGGTGGTAGACCACATGTATGACTACCGTTGTCGGACGACAGCTTGTAGAACACGGACCATGCGCCTTATGTTGTATCTTCTGCTTCACAATCCTACAATTGTTTACTCTCCCAATGGGACCGCCGCTGACGACATCATCAAGAAGGTAAATGTCGTGGTCAGGCTGTCGTTTTCATTTGTTTAGGTAGTTTAGAGTTTTCCACTTTTTCCTTTGATAATATTTCTTCCTCCTTTACTGCTACAAGTAACGCTTCTGTGTTCCTCTCAAGCGTTAGCCCAGTCCAGCTTCTTCTATCCGCACACAATCTTCTACTTCAATCACACCATGTCCCCACATTTCGAGGCTTTTAAAAACGTTCCACGTCACTAGTTGGGTTTATTACATTCCTTAAATGGTTCTATTAATTTCCTCGTTCACCTACCTCTCCAATTCCATCTTACTCCAATTAAATATGCCAGCTCTGTACCGTATGACAGATGTTGTCCAGGTTTTGTAGCCAATTCTGTGTTTTTGCCATTTAGTTTTGCCTATTATTATTATTATTATTATCATTATTTTGATTGATTTTTATTGTTATTTTTAAGTCATTAACTTTTAGTAAATGGTTCTTTACATCTAGATTTAATGAGCTGTCTCAATCGTAGACTCAGTTCTCTAAAATAATGTTTGTTTTTTTCCCAGGCAAACAGAACATTTTCAGACATTGAAAAGCTACAGCTTCTCGCAAAAGATTGGTTAAATACGTCACAGAAGATCCGTACAGTGTTACAACAGAATGAATCTCAGTATTACCTAGGACTTATGTTGAACAGTGAACATAAATGTCTCCGTCGGTACGACGATTTGGCATACAATACTTCTGGATACAGACCCGTTGATAAAATCAAGTAAGAACGGATAAAACGCACAGTCTCTATCTCAGTTTACTACCGCATGGATTAAAGGATAGATCTCTTTATTATTAAACCCTGTTTGTATGGAGAAAACGTGTCGCGGGTGGAAGGGTTAGGGTGGATTTCCTTTCTCACGTAATTTGTCCCTGCGTCAGGGTTGATTTCCATGCAGTGACACGTAATTTTTACGCGCGCACGTGCGTAAAATTTACGTTCGCAAATAAATCAGAGGCAATGCATGAAAGGTAAAAGTTGAACCTCGCTCAACTCGTCTTTTAAGCTCAGCACTTTTTATCTTGCGTCTCTTTTATTTACGTGATTAAAATTTATGTGCGTTAACATGCGTATCCAAAAACGCGTCAGTGGAAATCAACCTTTACGCACGTAAATAAAAATAATAGAGACAATGTATGGAAGGTCACGCGTATACGTAAAAGTTGAGCCTCGCTTATGTTTACGCGTGGCCTTTCATACATTGTCTACTTGGCTGTGAGTCTTAGGGGACAAACAAAAGGAATCGTCTTGAGGCTCAGCGATGAAAAATACATTTCCTCTTCCCCCTTCCCCCCACCCCCAAGCCTCGCAGCCAGGTACGAATTTTAATGCATCGGAATTGGTCTATTAATTGCTTTATAATTTCTATGTGTAATCAAATGGTGACGAGTAAAATAAGGGAATAATTCACGTTCCATCTGAGTTGTAAATATCATCCCTGGGGATTAATTAATGATATGCAAATGAGTATATATAATAGGAAACACTGGCATGCATTGTCCCATTCACTTCACTTTGTCGGACACGAAGGGCGATTGGCGACCCACCCACCCTTCCCAGCGAGTAAGTCGGGTTCCAGATTACCTGTATTCGATTCAGTCTGTCTTGGGCTAGGTTCAGGTCAGATTGATTCCCAATACCTTATTATTATGTCACGAATAACAATACCCAGGGATGAATATTATACAATTTTACGCCAGTATGAATTTTGATATATCGAAAATGGTCTATTACCGTTTGTCCCTAGGGAATACCAAAGCCAAGGTCTTGATGAGCTGTTGACCAGGAGTTGTGATAACACCAACCCTTTGATCAAGCAGCTGGATGCTATTGATAGCGTGGCTCGCATGTGGCTGGAGATAGCGTCGCAACTTGATCTTAATATTTTTAAAGGCTTCAAGGACGAGCAGTCGTTAGTAAATTTTGCACTGAATATCAACAACTCAAAGGCAGGAGACACCTCTAAAGTTGTTGCAGGTTAGTTTTGCATCTTACGCTGCGTGCAAACGGACGCAACAACTCCCAACACGTCAACAATGTTGGGAGTTGTTGCGTGCGAGTTGGCAGTGGTGTGCAAACGGATGCAACAACTCCCAACAATGTTGGGACCTGCAGTCCATCGTGGGAAGGATACAACCCATAAGTCTTTGTAAACCATGCGTAACGAGCGTGCGTGGCCCCAACAATGTTGGAAGAGCTGTGCAAACGGATCCAACATTGCTGCCGTACACTTCGGCGATCACGGAACAAAAGAAATGTTGGGAGTTGTTGGCTGAAAAGTTTGACCGGTTTCAAACTTTGCGCAACAACATGCAACAACATGCAACAGGGCGTGCAAACGGAAGCAACATGTAACATCCAACAATGTTGGGAGTTGTTGGCCAACAATGTTGCGTCCGTTTGCACGGGGCTTTATGGATAAATTGACCATCACGTGATTTTAAGGTTTATAAACTTGGAACTCTTAATATAGTCAGGGTTCGCACGGGTCATGGAATTGAAGAATTTCATTTTCCAGGCCTGGGAAGTCATGGAATTGAATGGTCGGTTCTCGAAAGTTCTTTGAAATTGTAATGTTGTAACGTTTTGCGTAAACGAAGTCCCAAGGTAGTAGAGTTGAAAAGAATACCCACGCACAAAGAGTGCTAAGGCAAAAAATTTTGTTTACTTGGTGGTGAAATGTGCTGGTCTGGCGTAATCATGCTTAAGGGCCATTTACATTCAACTTCTTTCTTTCAGGGATCGTGTTCCTGAATATCCGTGTGAACGCTAGTTTACCAGCTCACGTCAAGTACAAAATTCGTATGAACGCGTCTTATTTTACACCCGCTACTGACAGCATCCGGGATCCTTACTGGATGCCGGGCCCGCAGAGTTGGAATCAGCGGTATTATGACTTGGGCTTCACGTGGTTACAAGATCAGATTGACAGAGCTATTGTTGATTTGCACGCTGGACGAGATGTAGTTAAACCTGCAGTCTACCTTCATGAGATGCCCTATCCATGTTACGTCAGAGACAAGTAAGGCCTGTTAAAACAGGTTTCCAGTAGGTTGTCTTATGTATCCAAAGTATGGACGAATGAACTTTGAGATATCTCCAGCCACTTGCCCAAAAACTTTGTATCCCTTTCCTGTTCAAACATGTTCCCTTCTTTATAGACTTTTTTTATGACGAGGTGGCTGTTTTAAAGAGTAACCTAGCTGCATAACTGCTCTTGTAGCCTGTTGGTCTTAGTTTGATACTTTGCTGTTTTTTTGATAACTAAAGAAACTTCTGATACCCTCCTTCCCTCATGTATCGCTTACGTTCCGGAATTACGGACTTTAAGATGCAACGACGAGGAAACAACGGGAACGTCAAAAAAGCAATAGGTTTTATAGGGAAAACAACAACTTTGCAAGTGCATCACGCTTGTTTGTACATTTCTTCGCCCTTTTTTGTACGACTACGACGTGAAAATGCCTAATTTCGCGAACTCAACTCCAGGAGGCTTCACCTACATTTGACAAAGTAAGTGGGTAGGAATAGTTGCGATAACAACTGAAGGAACGCAAATCCACTTTTTAAGCGACGTTCTCGTTGCATCTTAAAGTCCCTCTTAGGGAGCTTTAGCATCGACGACGGCAACTGCAGCGAAAACGTCAGTTTTAAAATGAATTCCTGTTTTTTCAATCTTTTTCGCGTTTATTCTAATTTGCTGAAAATGGCAAGTGTAGGCGAATTTCCCTGGAGGTGATTTCTTGAGGACCACACTCAAGTTTAGAGAGAGAAAAAGAGACTCGTCGTCGCTTGTTTACGTCCTCCATAAAACTTGCAATTAGGCATTTTCACGTCGTAGTCGTGCAAGGACGGTAAAGAAATGTACAAAAAAGCGTGATGCACGTGCAAAGTTGTTGTTTTGCGTAATAAACCTATTGCTTTTTTGACGTCCTCTTTGCGTCGCCGTCGTCGTTGCTAAAGCTCCCTATTATCTGCGGCAGGAGCGTTTCATGAATGTCTTGTTCTCCCACAGCTTCATGTTCATCATTGAGCACATGATGCCTTTGTGTATGACAGTATCATGGATCTACACGGTAGCGCTCGCTGTACAGGCCATCGTCTACGAGAAAGAACAGCGTCTTAAGGAGGTCATGAAGATGATGGGTCTTTCGAATGCCGTGCACTGGGTGGCATGGTTCATAACCTCACTTGTAGTCATGTCTATCACTGTTACACTGCTGGTTATCATTCTAAAGGTAAATGAAATCACTTAATTTCTATATCAAGATTCTCTCTAGTAGCAGCGAGGGTAAATGGGATTTTTTCCCGAAATTTTCGACAGCTAACTAGTCTGTCTTAACTGAGAACGCAAGATCACAAAGTGACCTTTGCCTTTTGAACTAGGTCAGGTTAAAACGGGGCTGTAATATTACTTGGACATGGCCTTGGCCAAAAGTCCAAGGTTTCCTCATTTCCGTGTCTTTCTCCAACGCAAGGCAAACGTAACCTCTTCTACTTCTTCTTTTGTTGCGATTAGACGCTTTCTCGTCACCGTGTAACAAAATAGGGCTATTTATACCAGGAAAAATAAGACGCGTCTTTCATTAGACGCGTCCTAAATAAGACGCAAACTATCTCGTATAAACGGCACATTAAGACGGAACTTAGCTAAGACGCGTCTTATCGAAGAACAGGTGTTAGGAGCTGTTTTTAGATAAGACGCGTCTTAGCTAAATTTCAAACGAAATGTGTCGTTTATACTAGGAGTAGTTTGCCTCTTATTAAGGACGCGTTTTATAAAAACGGGTGTTATTTTTCCTCGTATAAACGGCCCTATCATAACATTTTATTAAGCAATAACTTAATGGGGTGTGGCTCCCAATAAAAACAACAGAGTAGCGATAATTAACAATTTTCCCATTTTATTGCCCACAGTATGGCAAGGTGTTATATTACAGCGATCCGCTCGTGGTGTGGGTATTCCTCATGGCTTTTGCAGTGGTGACCATCGTTTTTTGTTTCCTTATCTCCGTGTTCTTCTCCAAAGCCAAGCTGGCCTCAGCCTGTGGGGGGATCATTTACTTTCTGACCTACCTCCCTTACGTGTTTATCTCCATCCGAGAGGAGGCTGGGTTCGTCAACGTAAAGGCACGGGAGAAAATCGCCGCCAGTCTCCTCTCTACCTCTGCGTTCGGACTGGGAGCGAGGTATTTTGCGATCTATGAGGAACAGGGAGTCGGAGTGCAGTGGTCCAACCTTGGCAAGAGTCCCGTATGTATTAACGTCATAAACTGAAGATACCTAAATGTTCTTGCTGTCTTTTATACCGTTTTTGCGTTTTTTGTGATTCATTTTGGTTCATTCTGCACTTCGTGCAAGTGCGATTTGTATTTAGTGTTTTAGTGTTGAAAAACCAAACCTAACCAGAGTTTTGGCCGACAGTCCTTGAAATCAGTCATAACTAGGGTGAATCCAGCGGTTGTTTTGCGCGCTTTAGTTCAGTTAAAAAGGCCTTTTTAACTTCTTATTACGGTGTATAATAGAGTATAATCTGTTTATAACAATTAAGTAAACTTATAACGACATTGTAAGTTATATTAGTGCTTTGTTTATTGTGAAAGTCTGCTTAGGGCCGATAGTTAAAGATTCCTGGGATCTAATCCAAATCAAGGATAATAAACAAATAGCATTTGAGAGGTGAACCTGGAACTCTGGTCCCACTGCCTGCTATACGAATGTTCCCCGTGGCTCACCACTTCAACTAGGATATACAATGTCCCCTGGATGTCCCTCCGTGTATGGTCTCAAATCAAATTCCCCGTTCTTCTTTCTCTGTGTAATTCGTTCAAAGGTCAACGACGAGTTCAACCTGCTCACAGTACTGTACTGTATGATGATGGACACATTTATTTACGCCATCCTGGTCTGGTATATTGAGGCTGTTCATCCGGGATCTTACGGTCTACCCCGCCCCTGGTACTTCGTCTGTCAGCCTTCGTACTGGTTTGGCCATAACACGCAGGCGTGCCCAAAGATGAGTCGCAGTACGTTCCAGATGATGACAGCGGATGAACTGGAGGATGCGCCGCAGGTTCAAGGCCTGTTAGCGTACGAGCGCGAGCCGATTCACCTGACGCTCGGCGTAACTATCGAGAATCTTGTCAAGGTACGCGGCCACAGTGTTCATGAAATTGCGTTATATTTCTTGGCAAGCTGTGTCAAGGCCATGTCGCTTGTTGCAATTTTACTCTTCATTTCAGGGCCCCTTTGTTGTTCAAGCTAAACTCTAAGTCCACGTTTCGCACTATCACGAGTTATGAATCGTGTATGGCCTGTCAACACTTTTTTCAAATCGGGCTAATCACAAACTGCGTAAGAGACTAGCCAATCAAAAACGCCGACATGTGTTCTTGCCTCTCTGCGGGATTCGAACAGGATATTGTGCACTAATTTGCAGACGCTCTATACAGGGGTTTCAAGACGCAGGCTAATGAAAGAATTAACCTAAAAATTGTCTTAACGTCTGTTTCTGGCAGGTTTACAAAGAAGGAAAGAAACTGGCCGTGGATGGATTAACACTGAACTTGTATGAGGGACAAATCACGTCGTTTCTAGGTCATAATGGAGCTGGAAAGACGACTACCATGTCTATTCTAACAGGCCTGTTTCCACCTACCGCTGGCACAGCGTATATCTACGGTCATGATATCCGTATGGACATGGATAAGATTCGACGCAGTCTGGGAATGTGTCCACAACATAATGTGTTATTTGACAGGTTGGTTCTTTATTTAATGTTGCGCATTTAGTGAGATTGTATTCTCTCGAGGGACAACAGAGTCAATAGCTGCCTTCGAGTTGGAAGGGCAAAGGCAGCGGTGAGGCGATATGTGATTGCTATAGCATTCAAGTAGTGAAGCCTTTTGTGTTAACGCTTTTTAATTGACTCTTCTCCATCTTCTTTGTCTCACCTTTGAATATCCTTTGGATTAATAGAATGACTGTAGATGAGCATTTGTGGTTCTACGCGCGAATGAAAGGGATGCCTGAGAGAGAGGTCAAGAGGGAAATGGATCAGTAAGTTGTCTTAACTGTGTTGTTAGGGAGTTAAAGGTAATGTTACACTGGACGATTTGCAACGACGATTTTTCGTGTAATACAGCGTTGCAACATTGTTGCGACATTGTTTCGCATAGTTGCATCATTGATCCAACATTGCAACCCTGTGTTGGTCGTGAAAACTTCACCCAAAAAGTAAATTTGTTCTGTTTCAAACCTCATCACTTTTATTCCAACTCTTTTAATTGGAATGGATGAAATGTGAAATGTTGGCGATTTTTTCAGGAGTTTAATTCTAAAGGACTGTATCTAAGTTCACTAAAAGAAAAAGAAAACCGTTGTCTTGTGTTTACTTCCTCCAGGAAACGTGAAATTAAGAAGTTTCACGTCGTAGTCGTGCAACGACGGCAAAGAAACGTACAAAAAAGCGTGATGCACGTGCAAAGTTGTTGTTTTGCTTATCTAAACCTTTTACTTCTTTGCCTTTCTCGTTGCCATCGGCATCGTCGTTGCTTAAGGTGCCTAGTGTCTTTCGTTAAACGTGTTTCTCGGGAAGGACAATGAAAAAAGATCAAGATATCATCTTGACTCTTCCAAAACGGCAAGTAATACTCATTTCAGAAGAATTACTCCCTTAAAGCTTTTTTTTCTGTGAAGAAAAGAAGACGAAGTATGGGTAGAAAATCTTGCCCACCTGTAGTTCAGACTCTAAGCTCCGAAAAGTTCTTTCAAAATACACTCTAAACCCACCTCACGTATGAGAGGAAATTCCGCCACACCAGGAGTGAAAGAGTGAAACAATCCCTCCTTTTTTTCCCAAAAGGCTCGTAATGGATGTAGGACTACCCACAAAAAGACATTGCGCAGTAGAGACGTTGAGTGGGGGCATGAAAAGGAAGCTCTCTGTAGCAATGGCCTTCGCTGCTGGATCACGAACTGTTATTCTTGATGAGCCCACTGCCGGTGTGGACCCATATGCCAGAAGAGCCATATGGGACCTCCTAATCAAGTACAAGAAAGGTAGATGTAACTACTGTTTATTAAATCCGTTCTCGGGTTAAATCAGCATTCAACCTACCAGTGGCTAGTACCCTAGTTTAAGCTGAGAACGCATTTTACCCACAACATAGACCGTAAATCCTCTATTAGAGTGATTTTACTTAAATCGTGAAATAGAGAGTAGACTAATCCGCAGTATTACACTCTTATTTCATTGTTTTCTTTTGTTTACTCGTTACTATTTGGCACTAATTGTTACATATTGTTTCATGGGTTTAGTAAAATTACTTTAACTCTATTATAACTAGGAGCTAGTACCCTAGTTTAAGCTGAGAACGGATTTTACCCACAACATAAACCGTAAATCCTTTGTAACTCTATTATGAGTTGTTCGTATCCAGTCTTAAAAAGTAAATTTCACCACAGGTCGAACTATCTTGCTTTCCACACACTTCATGGACGAGGCTGATTTGCTAGGAGACCGCATTGCCATTGTCTCTAACGGAAAGCTCCGTTGTGTGGGCTCATCACTTTTCTTGAAAAGTCACTTTGGAGATGGGTATCACCTCACCCTGGTAAAGAAACGAGAAAGAACCCCCCAGGGGTCCATGGTTAGTGTTCACATGTCACCGCAAGAGTCCAGACGGGACTTGGAGACGAGTGTGACGTCAGCAAGTGACAATACCCTTCAGCCTGGTAAGTAAAAGAATGATGAGGAATTTGGGTTTGTTTATAGCACCAGACCAGCGACCTGTTTAGTTAAGGTTAGTCCAGTTACCATGACTATGTTATTTGGGTTGATTTGAAATTTGGCGGCGAGCCATAACATTTACCAGAAAAGAAGTCGCACTAAAAGCAGATCAGTTCAGTTTGCAGTTATCAGGTGTTAGAGGTAAACTAAACTCCATCCAAACCCTGAGTGACTGACCGTTCTGAAATGTTTCGTTCTACAGAGCCCCAGAACAGCAGTGAGGATCATGTTAAGCAGGTATCCACCTTTATCAGATCTCACGTGCCAGCCGCTAGGCTCGAGCAGAACACATTACAGGAACTCACATTCGTGCTTCCAGACAACTCCGTCAAACGTGGCGGCTTTGAAATCTTCTTTAGTGATCTGGAGAAGAAGCAAAGTGAACTTGGAATTGACAGTTTTGGGTTGGCAGATACGGCTCTCGAGGAGGTAAGCGAGCGTGGGGGAGAAACCTTTAAACACTTGCTACAGGTTATTTGAACTAAGTCTTAACTTAGATGGGCCAGTTAGATGATTATGCCAATTATGGGTCTTTTTTCGTTAAGGAGCTTGAGAAATTACTTTTTAATGAAGAAATCACAGCTTCGTGTCAAGCAAATATGTCCGCCAAACATTCCTCGATACAGTCCTCTGTGACTGGTGTGGTTATAATTACATTTCCACCCTGCCCGCCATAGAGCCTCCAGTAGCTCAGTGGTTAGAGCTTCCGAACTGGAACTCGGAGGGTCGTGAGTTCGATTCTTACCTAGAGCTCGGAATTTTTTCTTAGCTTTCTGGTGTTAGAAATCTCCTTCTTCCAGATTATACTGAACGTTACAATCAGGGGTGTTCGCAAATTTCCCCTCAAGCGTTGATAAAACGGTTATGCATAGTATATTTATACACAAGATAACGTTCTACGAGGGGAGTAAGGGCGTGGAGAGAGCACTCGTGCGCGTCCCACTAATGTGACGCGGATTCGAATTCCCGAGGTGATACCATTTGTGGGTAGAGTTTGTTGTTGGTTTTCGCCCTTGTTCCCATGTGTTTTTTCTGCGAATAATTTGGTTTTTCCGTTCCCTCAGAAAGGAGCATTAGCCATTCCAAATTCCAAGTGGTATTGGGAAATGGACGACGAAGAGCTACTATGTGAATATGCTACCATCATTCAAAGTCATTTATTTATTATTTTTTATTGCAAGACAAAATGTGGATATTATGACTTAAGGTATAGCAGCGACATTTTAGGTGTAATGGAAATTGAGATTTATAGAATAATAGTACTGAAATTAAGAATATTTTATCCAGAGTTGCAAGATAGTTTAACATGTTATGCTTTCTCATGTCCTCATCTTGCCTTCTGGTTGGTCTCTCCAGGTTTTTCTTAAAGTAACTGACGTTTCTTCTCGAGAGGATTCGGGTAGGTTATGCTCCACAGAGATTTTTTCTGTGTTACTAATAATAGGTCTCTGTTTTACATGCACTTCATTTTGAGTTTAGTTCTAAAAACTGTACTGCGTGCTTTAATTCTTTTAGTAAAGTTTTGAACGTTGTGGTTCATGCATGTCACACTTTCACCTCGTTCGTGCCACCATCGTCAACGTATCATTCGAGCTTCTTAGTTGCAATTGGTAATTTTTATTAAATAAATATACATTGAAGATTTCAAGTGTAATTTTTCCTTTTGTTATCTCTGCATCAAATAGACGTACTCAATTCAACGAACTCTGACAACTGTTCGAACCCCGAGGAGTCCACAAGCACTGGAAACAGCGTTGACCATGCAGGGATTGGTGACGAATGGGACTCGGATTTACCTGGCGGGGGAGAAATGGAACTAGGTGAAATGTCAGGAATTCGATACGACGCAAGAGAACAGCTGTTAAGTCCAGAAATACAAGAAGAAGCCAGCTCTCATTATGGTCAGTGAAGACACACTGAGCATACATTTTGTTGTTTGGTTCGCTAAGATTAAACTGATGTAGTCTTTGATACCTTGGTCGTTAAATGTCGTTAGAATTCTTTAAAATTCATATTTTTTTACATTGTTGAGTCCTTTACAAAAAGGTTTTTTAAAACTGTTTATTTTGCTGTCCCAGGTACTTAAAAATGCGAACACTTGTGTAGTATCAATCGGTGTACAAACCGTTTTAAAACATTAAAGGATAAACAAATGATATCTTTTCAGTTTTACACCCGTTATTCTAAAATGATCAGACCCCATTATATAAAAGCCCCAGTTATTATTTTCCTAAAATTTCCTTGTTTTATCGGAGTTCCACTCAACTAGTGTCATGTGTTAAAATGTTTACAGTATGAATAATACGATTATTATTTAGAATACAGTTAGGTGCAAGTGCTCTGGTCATAAATGAAGAGAAAAAAAACGCACCATCTATTTTTGATGATGATAATAATAATTTCTGTTATCAGTGAGCGCAATTAAAAGTGTGTTAGCAGACAGCGAAATTGATGTAATATTCTTTTTTGTTGCTTTATTTCAGCCGATCAAACACCATTAAACACAGCATTCCAAGGAGTTGGTACTCGCACAGTGAGCGGCGCCAGCCTCAAATTCCAGCAGTTCTATGCTCTTCTTGTGAAACGATTCCATTATGCGCGTCGGAACTTTAAACAAGTTATTTCTCAGATTCTTCTGCCCGCCATTTTCATCACCATTGCCATGACAATGGCTCTGTCATTTCCAAAAACCCCGGATCAACCTCCTCTGGAACTAACCCCGTCTATGTTTCCTCGGCCAAATTACATTCCGTTTGCAAACGAGGCTAAAGGAGTCAACCAGTTGGCGTCGCGATTGGACAAAACACTGACCCTCCTCTCCGGGGTGGGGGCGACGTGTTGTCTGCGATCAATAAATCTGACTGTTAAAGAAAGCTTGGCAAGGAGACCTTCTAAAGAGGAACTGGGACAGATGTTCGACAAGTCATGTTCAGCTTCCATAGACCAAGTATCCGATGAGTATTTCAAACCTTCAAATCTTCACTTGTCTTATATCTACACCAATAACGGCTCAAACATTTCTCATTCAGTCACGCACAAGGATACCGGGAGGGGATGCCGGTGTTCACTGAACAAGACAGCTTATGTATGCGACAGGGGGGCAGCCGGATCGCACCCAAAGGAACTTGTTACCATAACATTGGACACGCTGCAGAATATTACGGGAAGAAATATCTCAAAGTATCTCCTGTATACAACTGAGACCTTCAGGCTTCACAGGTATTCATTTGTACTTTTGCTGTCTGCGTAGTTGTTTAAGGTGATGTTACACGGGACGATTCGCAACGACGATTTTTAGCGAAACACAGCGTTGCAATGTTGGAACAATGTTGTAACCATTCGAAACAATGTCGCAACAATGCTACAACTCTGTGTTGCGCTAAAAATCGTCGTTGCGAATCTTCTCGTGTAACAGCACCTTTAGATTTGAGGACGAGGACGAGGACGAGATTTGACTTGAACTTTTTTTTTCATACACCCTGAAAAGTTTCGTTGTACTTTTTCCACCATAAAAGTTAGCATGTTTATTTGTACAGAAGGAAATTAAGCTCTTTCCCGATCGCAAAATGCTAAAACGTCAAACATTTGATAACTTTAGGCTTAGATACAAATATCCCGATATTTTTAAAGATATTTAGACGATTTTGAGATATTTAGAAAATCTCATAATATTCAGGAAAAAAATTATGATATTTAGAATTTTGTTACGAAAAAGTACTGAAATCATGTTTTTCTAGGAAGCTACTTCAATGCTGATTGCTAATTTCAGTGACAGGGCTTTTAACGAATCGTTTTTATCCAGGTATATGCAATGGCTCTTAACAAAATTTTTGTTTGGCATGTTAGGTTGTCAACTTTTTGTGGTACCGCATATTTTTGAGATATTTAGAACATTTTCGAATATTTAAAAAAAACATCGGGCGTCTGTTTAGAAGACTGGCTATTTGTATCTGGGCCTAGATAACTTATTTCCGTCACTACGACATTTCCGCTAAAATCCGTAGTAGATTGAAGACCGCGTTTTTCCCGCCGAAATGACGCTGGTTCACGTAGTTTAAACTCAAATCGTCCGACGGTTTTTTGACGAATCGTTTTTTCAATATGTTTCGTTTGGCGAGGTTGTCAAAGATAGCAACAAAGATAAAGTTAAAATAGGTCTGTTAGAAAAGAAGGACGGTGTCCACAGTCTTTGTAGTTTAAACTCAAATCGAAGTGGTTTTTTGGACAATATGTGCCGTAAAGATAGCAACAAAGGCGGGCAGGAAAAAGGACGTGTCCACAGTAACCTGGCCACAGCCCTGGAGGGGGCTCCCGGGGGGAGGGGGGCAAGCATGGATAGAAAGCGGGTGTACCGCCGGGGCCATCAAACTCTGACCCTGTCTAAGACAAAAATCGTCCAGTTTGCTCCCCTGTTCAAGGCAAGAGACCTTATGTTATGACCTTGATTCGTTTCGTTCGTCTTCAGAATTAAGTAATTTCGTGAACTGACACCATGGAAGCAGGTTTTTTGAAGGAAAAATTGTTGCAACCACAAATGTAGATCGCTTATGCTCATGACCAACCCTTCACTCTCGTTTAAAGGGTTTCGATCCAAAACGAAACCCTGTTTAAGACGCTTAATAGTGAAATTGTATGCAGTGTTTAAGCCTTTAATTCCCAACAATGACCAACGTCAGTTTTCTCCTGACGATGTCCATACAAGAGATTAGGTTATGAGAATTCATAAAATGATCACCAAAGAGAAAATGCTTTGATCGTTTATCAAATTCTCTCAACTCATTCGTTAAGGAAATGTTTGAAGATCAGTCTGGAGAATTTGTATGTGGAGATTAGAGCTTAAGACTCAAGACCCGGAAAACCGTACGATGTTTAGCGGCACAATACCCATTTTCGCCAAATGTGTCTCCCTAAGGGATAAACCCACCTCTAATAAACTGTCTCTGCAACAAATTATGTTGTGGAACTGACACTTACCATCAACAACTTACCAGGATAGCTAGGAAGGAAAGGAAGAGAGAGGTGTCAAGCCGTATACAAAGATAGTAGTCAATTTTTGGTGCCCATTTTTACTGCTACAGTTTTCATGACGGACATCTCTGTCAGCAACCACCCTTAAGAATAAATGGTGAAAAAATTGTGAGTGGATTTTGTTTAGTGAATATCTAATAGCCTGTTATCAAGCTCCTTAGCATCATTATTTTCTCTATCATTAAAGAACAAAACAATCACGGGGCTTTGGGCAACCTCCTCCCCAGGGTTCACTCTTACCCGTCTCTGTGGAGCAAGAGACGAGTAGGAGAGAGAGCCTGAAAACGAGGTTGGGCGTAGGCTTACTGTACTGTTTTGACCTCTACAGGCCTGGTACAACAATAAAGGCTACCATGCTCTACCAACCTACTTAAACGTGATGAACAATGCAATTCTACGAGCTTCAATCTCGAAAGAGAAAGGAAATCCTGCAGCTTATGGTAGGTTCAGATAATTATTGCTTTCTAAAAATAAACTACTCTGTCCGACAGACAGACTGAACTGACTAAGTGGACAGACGTGTCTGGATGAGTAAATGGATTTAAATGAAACGTTCAGACGGACCTACTGGACGGAAAGACTAACTGGATGCTTCCAGAAGGGGTTTTGGTCAAAATTTTGACACTTTTATGATTTTTTATTTCTGAGCAAAATAAGCCTTAAAATAGTTTTTGGTAAGGTTAGAGATAGAAAACAAGCCTTTTTAGGACGGACGGATAGACAAACATAGATGTAGGACTTTGGTCACTGTTGTCACAAATGACACAGTTGTCAATGCTGTCACTGTTGTCATCATTATCACCGTTGTAACTGTTCTCGGTGATGTCCCTGTTGTCACTGTTGTCACTGCTGTCCTTGTAGTCACTGTTGCTCCTGCTGTCACTGTTGTCACTGTTGTCATCGCGGTTGTCACTGTTGTCACTGTTGTCCCTCTTGTCGCTGTTGTCACTGTTGTCCTTGTCGCTGTTCCCACTGTTGTCACTGTTCTCCCTGTTGTTGCTGTTGTTGCTGTTGTCACTGTTGTCACTCCTTTTGCATTGTCAATATTTTAACTGTCGTCATTATGGTCACTGTTGTCACTGTTGTTACCGTTGTTACCATTGTCACCATTGTCACTGTTGTCTCTGTTGTTGCTGTTGTCACTGTGGTCACTGTTTTCTCTGTTGTCACTATTGTGGCTGTTCTCATTGTTCTCACTTTTGTCCCTGCTGTCCTTCTTGTCGCTGTTGTCACCCTTGTCACCGTGGTCACTGTTGTCACTGTTGTTGCTGATTTCGCTTTTGTCACTGCTGTTGCTGTTGTCCCTGTTGCCCATGTTGTCCCTGTTGTCGCTCTTGTCACTGTTGTGCCTGTTGCCATTGTTGTCATTGTTCTCACTGTTGTCCCTGCTGTCCTTGTTGTCACTGTTGTCACTGTTGTCACTGTCGTACATGGTGCACTTGTTGTAACTGTTGTCGCCATTCTTGCTGTTGTCGCTGTTGTCACTGTTGTCACTGTTGTCCTTCTTGTCACTGTTGTCACCGTTGTCACTGTTGTTACCTTTGTCACCGTTACGACCATTGTTACCATTGTCACTGTTGTCACTGTTGTCACCATTGTCACTGTTGTCACTGTTGTCGTATTCTCACTGTTGTCATATTCTCACTTTTGTCAATGTTGTCACCATTGTCACTGTTGTCGTTGTTGTCACCATTGTCACCGTTGTCACTGTTGTTACTATTCTCCCTGTTCTCACTGTTTTCACCGTTGTCACCGTTGTCACCGTTCTCACTATATTCTCCGTTGTCACCATTCTTATTGTTGTCACCCTTGTCACTGTTGTCACCGTTGTCACTATTATCACCTTTGTCACCATGTCACTATTGTCACTGTTCTCACTGTTCTCACCGTTTTCACTGTTGTCACTGTTGTCACCGTTGTCACTGTTGTCACTGTTGTCACTATTGTCACTGTTGTCACGATTGTCACTGTTGTCACTGTTGTCACCGTTGTCACTGTTGTCAACGTTCTCACCGTTGTCACTGTTGTCACTGTTGTCATCGTTGTCACTGTTGTCACGGTTCTCACCGTTGTCACCGTTGTCACTGTTCGCACTGTTCGTCCTGTTGCCTCTGTTGTCACCATTGAGACCGTTGTCACTGTTGTCACTGTTGTCACCGTTATCATCTTTTTCATCGTTTTCACTGTTGTCACTGTTGTCACTTTTGTCATTGTTGTACCTGTTGTCACCGTTGCCACTGTTGTCAGTGTTGTCACCGTTGTCACCGTTGTCACCGTTGTCACTGTTGTCACCGTTGTCATCCTTTTCACTGTTGTCACTGTTGTCACCGTTGTCACTGTTGTCACTGTTGTCACCGTTGTCACCGTTGTCACCGTTGTCACTTTTTTCACTGTTGTCACCGTTGTCACTGTTGTCACCGTTGTCACTCTTGTCACTATTGTTACTGTTGTCACAGTTGTCACGGTTGTCACTGTTATCACTGTTGTCACCGTGGTCACCGTTGTCACTGTTGTCACTGTTGTCACCATTGTCACTGTTCTCACTATTGTCTGCTTTTCACCGGTCACCATTGTCACTGTTCTCACTGTTGCCTCTTTTCTCACCGTTATCACTGTTGTCACTGTTGTCACCGTTGTCACTGTTCTCACTGTTGTCACCGTTATCATCTTTTTTATCGTTGTCACCGTTGTCACCGTTGTCACCGTTGTCACCGTTGTCACTGTTGTCACCGTTGTCACTGTTGTCACCGTTGTCACTGTTGTCACCGTTGTCACCGTTGTCATCATTGTCACTGTTGTCACTGTTGTCACCGTTCTCACTGTTGTCACTGTTGTCACTGATGCCACCGTTGTCATCGTTGTCATCGTTGTCACCGTTGTCACCGTTTTAAGTGTTGTCACTGTTGTCACCGTTGTCATTGTTGTCACTGTTGTCACTCTGTCACTAATTTTACCGTTGTCACCGTTGCCACCCTTGTCATCATCGTCACTGTTGTCACTGTTTTAACCGTTGTCACTGTTGTCACTGTTGTCACAGTTGTCACTTTTGTCACTGTTGTCACCGGTGTCAGCGTTGTCACTGTTGTCATTGTTGTCACCGTTGTCATCATTGTCACTGTTGTCACCGTTCTCGATGTTGTCACTGTTGTCACTGTTGTCACCGTTGTCACTGTTGTCACTATTGTCACCGTTGTCATTGTTGTCTCTGTTGTCACTGTGTCACCGTTGTCACAGTTGTCACCGGTGTCACCAGTGTCATTGTTGTCACTGTTTTCACTATTGTCGCCGTTGTCACTGTTGTCACCGTTGCACTGTTGTAACCGTTGTCACCCTTGTCACCGTTGTCATCATTGTCACTGTTGTCACTGTTGTCACCGTTCTCACTGTTGTCACTGTTGTCACTGTTGCCACCGTTGTCATCGTTGCCATCGTTGTCACTGTTGTCACTGTTGTCACCATTGTCACGGTTGTCACTGTAGTCACCGTTGTCACCGTTGTCACCGTTGTCACCGTTGTCAGGGTTGTCAGGGTTGTCACTGTTGTCACCGTTGTCAGGGTTGTCATCGTTGTCACTTTTGTCACCGTTGTCACCGTTGTCATCGTTGTCACCGTTGTCACCGTTGTCATCGTCGTCACTTTTTCACCGTTGTCACCGTTGTCACCGTTGTCATCGTTGTCACCGTTGTCACCGTTGTCATCGTTGTCACTTTTGTCACCGTTGTCACCGTTGTCACCGTTGTCACCGTTGTCATCGTTGTCACCGTTGTCACCGTTGTCACCGTTGTCACCGTTGTCACTTTTGTCACCGTTGTCACCTTTGTCACCGTTGTCACCGTTCTCACCGTTGTCACCGTTGTCACCGTTGTCACCGTTGTCATCGTTGTCACTTTTGTCACCGTTGTCACCGTTGTCACCGTTGTCACCGTTGTCATCGTTGTCACCGTTGTCACCGTTGTCATGGTTGTCACTTTTGTCACCGTTGTCACCGTTGTCATCGTTGTCACCGTTGTCATCGTTGTCACCGTTGTCACTGTTGTCATCATTGTCACCATTGTCAGCGTTGTCACCGTTGTCACCGTTGTCATCGTTGTCACTGTTGTCACTGTTGTCAACGTTGTCGCCGTTGTCACCGTTGTCACCGTTGTCAGGGTTGTCACTGTTGTCACTGTTTTCTCCGTTGTCAGGGTTGTCACTGTTGTCACCGTTGTCACCGTTGTCACTGTTGTCACTTTTGTCACCGTTGTCAGGATTGTCAGAGTTGTCACTTTTGTCACCGTTGTCACCGTTGTCACCGTTGTCACCGTTGTCACCGTTGTCACCGTTGTCATCATTGTCACCGTTGTCATTGTTGTCACCGTTCTCATTGTTGTCACTGTTGCCACCGTTGTCATCGTCGTCATCGTTGTCTGTGTCACCGTTCTCACCATTGTCACTGTTGTCACCGTTGTCACTGTTGTCACTTTTTTCACCGTTGTCAGTGTTGTCACTGTTGTCACCGTTGTCACTGTTGTCACCGTTGTCACGGTTGTCACCAATGTCATCATTGTCACTGTTGTCACTGTTGTCACCGTTGTCACTGTTGTCACTGGTGTCACCGTTGTCACCGTTGTTGCTGTTGTTACTGTTGTCACCATTGTCACCATTGTCACGGTTGTCACCGTTGTCACCGTTGTCACTGTTTTCACTGTTGTCACTGTTGTCACCGTTGTCACCGTTGTCACTGTTGTCACCGTTGTCACCGTTGTCACTGTTGTCACCGTTGTCACCGTTGTCACCGTTGTCATCGTTGTCACTGTTGTCACGGTTGTTACCGTTCTCGCTGTTGTCACTGTTGTCACCGTTGTCACTCTTGTCACCGTTTTCACCTTTTTTATCGTTGTCACTGTTGTCACTGTTGTCATTGTTGTCACCCTTGTCACTGTTGTCACCGTTGTCACTGTTGTCACTGTTGTCACCGTTGTCACTGTTGTCACCATTGTCACCGTTGTCACTGTTGTCACCGTTGTCAGGGTTGTCACTGTTGTCACCGTTGTCACCGTTGTCACTGTTGTCACCGTTGTCACCGTTGTCACCGTTGTCACCGTTGTCACCGTTGTCACCGTTGTCACCGTTGTCACCGTTGTCACCGTTGTCACCGTTGTCACCGTTGTCATCGTTGTCACTTTTGTCACCGTTGTCACCGTTGTCACCGTTGTCACCGTTGTCACCGTTGTCACCGTTGTCACCGTTGTCACCGTTGTCACCGTTGTCACCGTTGTCACCGTTGTCACCGTTGTCACCGTTGTCACCGTTGTCACCGTTGTCACCGTTGTCACCGTTGTCACCGTTGTCACCGTTGTCATCGTTGTCACCGTTGTCACCGTTGTCACCGTTGTCATCGTTGTCACCGTTGTCACCGTTGTCACCGTTGTCATCGTTGTCACTGTTGTCACTGTTGTCACCGTTGTCACCGTTGTCACCGTTGTCACCGTTGTCACCGTTGTCACCGTTGTCATCGTTGTCACCGTTGTCATCGTTGTCACCGTTGTTATCGTTGTCACCGTTGTCATCCTTGTCACCGTTGTCATCGTTGTCACTGTTGCCACCGTTGTCATCGTTGTCATCGTTGTCTCGTTGTCACCGTTCTCACCATTGTCACTGTTGTCACCGTTGTCACTGTTGTCTCTTTTTTCACCGTTGTCAGTGTTGTCAGTGTTGTCACCGTTGTCACTGTTGTCACCGTTGTCATAGTTGTCACCGTTGTCACTGTTGTCACTGTTGTCACCGTTGTCACCGTTGTTGTCACCGTTGTTGTCACCGTTGTCACCGTTGTCACCGTTGTCACCGTTGTCACCGTTGTCACCGTTGTCACCGTTGTCATCGTTGTCACCGTTGTCACCGTTGTCACCGTTGTCACCGTTGTCACCGTTGTCACCGTTGTCACCGTTGTCACCGTTGTCACCGTTGTCACCGTTGTCACCGTTGTCACCGTTGTCACCGTTGTCACCGTTGTCACCGTTGTCACCGTTGTCACCGTTGTCACCGTTGTCACCGTTGTCACCGTTGTCATCGTTGTCACCGTTGTCACCGTTGTCACCGTTGTCATCGTTGTCATCGTTGTCACCGTTGTCACCGTTGTCACCGTTGTCACCGTTGTCACTGTTGTCACCGTTGTCACCGTTGTCACCGTTGTCACCGTTGTCACCGTTGTCACCGTTGTCACCGTTGTCATCGTTGTCACCGTTGTCATCGTTGTCACCGTTGTCACCGTTGTCATCGTTGTCACTTTTGTCACCACCGTTGTCACCGTTGTCACCGTTGTGTCACCGTTGTCACCGTTGTCACCGTTGTCACCGTTGTCATCGTTGTCACCGTTGTCATCGTTGTGTTGTCACCACCGTTGTCACCGTTGTCACTTTTCACCGTTGTCATCGTTGTCACTTTTGTCACCGTTGTCATCGTTGTCATCGTTGTCACCGTTGTCACTGTTGTCACCGTTGTCACTGTTGTCACCGTTGTCACCGTTGTCACTTTTTGTCACCGTTGTCACTGTTGTCACTGTTGTCACTGTTGTCACCGTTGTCACCGTTGTCACCGTTGTCACCGTTGTCACCAATTGTCATCATTGTCACTGCTGTCACTGTTGTCACCGTTGTCACTGTTGTCACTGTTGTCACTGTTGTCACCGTTGTCACCGTTGTCACTGTTGTCACTGTCACTGTTGTCACTGTTGTCACCACCGTTGTCACCGTTTGTCACCGTTGTCACCGTTGTCACCGTTGTCACTGTCACCGTTGTCACCGTTGTCACCGTTGTCACCGTTGTTGTCATCGTTGTCACCACCGTTGTCACCGTTGTCACCGTCACCGTTGTCACCGTTGTCACCGTTGTCACCGTTGTCACCGTTTGTCACCGTTGTCACCGTTGTCACCGTTGTCACCGTTGTCACCGTTGTCACCGTTGTCACCGTTGTCACCCACCGTTGTCACCGTTTGTCACCGTTGTCACCGTTGTCACCGTTGTCACCGTTGTCACCGTTGTCACCGTTTGTCACCGTTGTCACCGTTGTCACCGTTGTTGTCACCGTTGTCACCACCGTTGTCACCGTTGTCACCGTTGTCACCGTTGTCACCGTTGTTGTCACCGTTGTCACCGTTGTCACCGTTGTCACCGTTGTCACCGTTGTCACCGTTGTCACCGTTGTCACCGTTGTCACCGTTGTCACCGTTGTCACCACCGTTGTCACCGTTGTCACCGTTGTCACCGTTGTCACCGTTGTCACCGTTGTCACCGTTGTCACCGTTGTCACCGTTGTCACCGTTGTCACCGTTGTCACCGTTGTCACCACCGTTGTCACCGTTGTCACCGTTGTCACCGTCACCGTTGTCACCGTTGTCACCGTTGTCACCGTTGTCACCGTTGTCACCGTTGTCACCGTTGTCACCGTTGTCACCGTTGTCACCTGTTGTCACCGTTGTCACTGTTGTCACCACCGTTGTCACCGTTGTCACCGTTGTCACCGTTGTCACCGTTGTCACCGTTGTCACCGTTGTCACCGTTGTCACCGTTGTCACCGTCACCACCGTTGTCACCGTTGTCACCGTTGTCACCGTTGTCACCGTTGTCACCGTTGTCACCGTTGTCACTGTTGTCACCGTTGTCACCGTTGTCACCGTTGTCACTGTTGTCACCGTTGTCACCGTTGTCACCGTTGTCACCGTTGTCACCGTTGTCACCGTTGTCACCGTTGTCACCGTTGTTGTTGTCACCGTTGTCACCGTTGTCACCGTTGTCACCGTTGTCACCGTTGTCACCGTTGTCACCGTTGTCACCGTTGTCACCGTTGTCACCGTTGTCACATCGTTGTCACCGTTGTCACCGTTGTCACCGTTGTCACCGTTGTCACCGTTGTCACCGTTGTCACCGTTGTCACCGTTGTCACCGTTGTCACCGTTGTCACCGTTGTCACCGTTGTCACCGTTGTCACCGTTGTCACCGTTGTCACCGTTGTCACCGTTGTCACCGTTGTCACCGTTGTCACCGTTGTTGTCACCGTTGTCACCGTTGTCACCGTTGTCACCGTTGTCACCGTTGTCACCGTTGTCACCGTTCACCGTTGTCATCGTTGTCACCGTTGTCACCGTTGTCACCGTTGTCACCGTTGTCACCGTTGTCACCGTTGTCACCGTTGTCACCGTTGTCACCGTTGTCACCGTTGTCATCCGTTGTCACCGTTGTCACCGTTGTCACCACCGTTGTCACCACTGTTGTCACCGTTGTCACCGTTGTCACACGTTGTCACCGTTGTCACCGTTGTCACCGTTGTCACCGTTGTCACCGTTGTCACCGTTGTCACCACCGTTGTCATCGTTGTCACCGTTGTCACCGTTGTCACCGTTGTCATCGTTGTCACCGTTGTTGTCACCGTTGTCACCGTTGTCATCGTTGTCACTTTTGTCACCGTTGTCACCGTTGTCACCGCGTTGTCACCATTGTCACCGTTGTCACCGTTGTCACCGTTGTCACCGTTGTCACCGTTGTCACTGTTGTCACCGTTGTCACCGTTGTCACCGTTGTCACCATTGTCACCGTTGTCACCGTTGTCACCGTTGTCACCGTTGTCACCGTTGTCACCGTTGTCACCGTTCTCACCGTTCTCACCGTTGTCACCGTTGTCACCGTTGTCACCGTTGTCACCGTTGTCACCGTTGTCACCACTTTTGTCACCGTTGTCACCGTTGTCACCGTTGTCACCCGTTGTCACCATTGTCACCGTTGTCACCGTTGTTTGTCACCGTTTTCAGGTTGTCACTGTTGTCACCGTTGTCACCGTTGTCACTGTTGTCACCGTTGTCACCGTTGTCATCGTTGTCACTTTTGTCACCGTTGTCACCGTTGTCATCGTTGTCACCGTTGTCACCGTTGTCACCGTTGTCACCGTTGTCACCGTTGTCACCGTTGTCACCGTTGTCACCGTTGTCACCGTTGTCACCGTTGTCACCGTTGTCACCGTTGTCACCGTTGTCACCGTTGTCACCGTTGTCACCGTTGTCACCGTTGTCACCGTTGTCACCGTTGTCACCGTTGTCACCGTTGTCACCGTTGTCACCGTTGTCACCGTTGTCACCGTTGTCACCGTTGTCACCGTTGTCACCGTTGTCATCGTTGTCACCGTTGTCACCGTTGTCACCGTTGTCACCGTTGTCACCGTTGTCACCGTTGTCACCATTGTCACCGTTGTCACCGTTGTCACTGTTGTCACCGTTGTCACCGTTGTCATTGTTGTCACCGTTGTCACGGTTGTCACTGTTGTCACTGTTGTCACCGTTGTCAGGGTTGTCACTGTTGTCACTGTTGTCACCGTTGTCTCTGTTGTCACCGTTGTCATTGTTGTCACCGTTGTCACCGTTGTCACCGTAGTCACCGTTGTCACTGTTGTCACTTTTGTCATCGTTGTCACCGTTGTCATCGTTGTCACCGTTGTCACCGTTGTCATCGTTGTCACCGTTGTCACCGTTGTCAGCGTTGTCACCGTTGTTACCGTTGTCACTGTTGTCACTTTTGTCACCGTTGTCACTGTTGTCTCGGTTGTCACCGTTGTCACCGTTGTCATCGTTGTCACCGTTTTCAATGTTGTCACTGTTGTCACCGTTGTCACCGTCTTCACTGTTGTCGCTGTTGTCACCGTTGTCACCGTTGTCACTTTTGTCACCGTTGTCATCGTTGTCACCGTTGTCACCGTTGTCACCGTTGTCACTGTTGTCACCGTTGTCACCATTGTCACTGTTGTCATCGTTGTCACTGTTGTGACCATTTTAATTGTTGTCACCGTTGTCACTGTTGTCACCGTTGTCAGTGTTGTCACTGTTGGCACTGTTGTCACCGTTGTCACTGTTGTCACTGCTGTCATTGTTGTCATCGTTGTCACCGTTGTCACTGTTGTCACTTTTGTCACCGTTGTCTTTGTTGTCACTGTTCTCACTGTTTTCACCGTTGTCACCGTTGTCACTGTTGTCACCGTTGTCATCGTTGTCACTGTTGTGACCGTTGTCACCGTTTTCACTGTTGTCACTGTTGTCACCGTTGTCAACGTCTTCACTGTTGTCGCTGTTGTAACCTTTGTCATTGTTGTCACTGTTGTCACTGTTGTCACCTTTGTCACCGTTGTCACTGTTGTCAAAGTTGTCACTGTTTTCACTGTTATCACGGTTGTCACCGTTTTCACTGTTGCGTCTGTTGTCACCGTTGTCACTGCTGGCACTGTTACCACTGTTGTGAAAGTTGTCACCGTTGTAGCTGTTGTGACTGTTGTCACGGTTGGCTCTGTTTTCACCGTTGTCACTGTTGTCACCATTGTCACCGTTGTCACTGCTGTTGCTGTTGTCACCGCTGTCACTGTTGTCTCCGTTGTCATCGTTGTCACTGTTGTCACCGTTGTCACTGTTGTCATCGTTGTCACTGTTGTCACGGTTGTCACCGTTGTCATCGTTGTCACTTTTGTCACCGTTGTCACCGTTGTCACCGTTGTCATCCTTGTCACTTTTGTCACCGTTGTCACCGTTGTCATCGTTGTCACCGTTGTCACCGTTGTCACCGTTTTCACTTTTGTCACCGTTGTCACCGTTGTCATCGTTGTCACCGTTGTCACCGTCGTCACCGTTGTCACCGTTGTCATCGTTGTCACTTTTGTCACCGTTGTCACCGTTGTCATCGTTGTCACTTTTGTCACCGTTGTCACCGTTGTCACCGTTGTCACTGTTGTCACCGTTGTCACCGTTGTCATTGTTGTCACCGTTGTCACCGTTGTCACTGTTGTCACTGTTGTCACCGTTGTCAGTGTTGTCACTGTTGTCACCGTTGTCACTGTTGTCACCGTTGTCACCGTTGTCACCGTTGTCACCGTTGTCACCGTTGTCACCGTTGTAATGGTTGTCACTTTTGTCACCGTTGTCACCGTTGTCACCGTTGTCATCGTTGTCACTTTTGTCACCGTTGTCACCGTTGTCATCGTTGTCACCGTTGTCACCGTTGTCACCGTTGTCACTTTTGTCACCGTTGTCACCGGTGTCATCGTTGTCACCGTTGTCACCGTTGTCACCGTTGTCACCGTTGTCATCGTTGTCACCGTTGTCACCGTTGTCAGCGTTGTCACCGTTGTCACCGTTGTCACTGTTGTCACTTTTGTCACTGTTGTCTCGGTTGTCACCGTTTTCACCGTTGTCACCGTTGTCATCGTTGTCACCGTTTTCACTGTTGTCACTGTTGTCACCGTTGTCACCGTCTTCACTGTTGTCGCTTTTGTCACCGTTGTCACCGTTGTCACTTTTGTCACCGTTGTCACCGTTGTCATCGTTGTCACCGTTGTCACCGTTGTCACCGTTGTCACTGGTGTCAGCGTTGTCACCATTGTCACTGTTGTCATCGTTGTCACTGTTGTGACTTTTCTCACCGTTGTCACCGTTGTCACCGTTGTCACTGTTGTCACCATTTTAACCGTTGTCACCGTTGTCACTGTTGTCACCGTTGTCAGTGTTGTCACCGTTGGCACTGTTGTCACCGTTTTCACTGTTGTCACTGCTTTCATTGTTGTCATCGTTGTCACCGTTGTCACTGTTGTCACTTTTTTCACCGTTGTCTTTGTTGTCACTGTTCTCACTGTTGTCACCGTTGTCACCGTTGTCACTGTTGTCACCGTTGTCATCGTTGTCACTGTTGTGACCGTTGTCACCGTTTTCACTGTTGTCACTGTGGTCACCGTTGTCACCGTCTTCACTGTTGTCGCTTTTGTCACATTTGTCATTGTTGTCACTGTTGTCACTGTTGTCATCTTTGTCACTGTTGTCACTGTTGTCAAAGTTGTCACTGTTTTCACTGTTATCGCGGTTGTCACCGTTTTCACTGTTGCGTCTGTTGTCACCGTTGTCACTGTTGGCACTGTTGCCACTGTTGTGAAAGTTGTCACCGTTGTAGCTGTTGTGACTGTTGTCACGGTTGGCTCTGTTTTCACCGTTGTCACTGTTGTCACCATTGTCACCGTTGTCATTGCTGTTGCTGTTGTCACCGCTGTCACTGTTGTCTCCGTTGTCATCGTTGTCACTGTTGTCACGGTTGTCACCGTTGTCACTGTTGTCACCGTTGTCACCGTTGTCACTGTTGTCACCGTTGTCACTGTTGTCACTGTTGTTACCGTTGTCATTGTTGTCACTGTTATCACGGTTGTCACCGTTTTCACTGTTGCGTCTGTTGTCACCGTTGTCACTGCTGGCACTGTTGCCACTGTTGTGAAAGTTGTCACCGTTGTAGCTGTTGTGACTGTTGTCACGGTTGGCTCTGTTTTCACCGTTGTCACTGTTGTCACCATTGTCACCGTTGTCACTGCTGTTGGTGTTGTCACCGCTGTCACTGTTGTCTCCGTTGTCATCGTTGTCACTGTTGTCACGGTTGTCACCGTTGTCACTGTTGTCATCGTTGTCACTGTTGTCACGGTTGTCACCGTTGTCATCGTTGTCACTTTTGTCACCGTTGTCACCGTTGTCACCGTTGTCACCGTTGTCATCGTTGTCACTTTTGTCACCGTTGTCACCGTTGTCATCGTTGTCACCGTTGTCACCGTTGTCACCGTTTTCACTTTTTTCACCGTTGTCACCGTTGTCACCGTTGTCATCGTTGTCACCGTTGTCACCGTTGTCACCGTTGTCATCGTTGTCACTTTTGTCACCGTTGTCACCGTTGTCATCGTTGTCACCGTTGTCACCGTTGTCACTGTTGTCACCGTATTCAGGGTTGTCACTGTTGTCACCATTGTCACCGCTGTCACTGTTGTCACCGTTGTCAGGGTTGTCAGGGTTGTCACTTTTGTCACCGTGTTCGGGGTTGTCATCGTTGTCTCTTTGGTCACCGTTGTCACCGTTGTCACCGTTGTCATGGTTGTCACCGTTGTCTTCGTTGTCACCGTTGTCACCGTTGTCACCATTGTCACCGTTGTCACCGTTGTCACCGTTGTCACCGTTGTCACCGTTGTCACCGTTGTCACCGTTGTCACCGTTGTCACCGTTGTCACCGTTGTCACCGTTGTCACCGTTGTCACTGTTGTCACCGTTGTCACCGTTGTCACCGTTGTCACTTTTGTCACCGTTGTCACCGTTGTCACCGTTGTCATTGTTGTCACCGTTGTCACCGTTGTCACTGTTGTCACCGTTGTCAGGGTTTTCACTGTTGTCACCATTGTCACCGTTGTCACTGTTGTCACCGTTGTCAGGGTTGTCACGGTTGTCACTTTTGTCACCGTTGTCACTGTTGTCACCGTTGTCACTGTTGTCATCGTTGTCACTTTTGTCACCGTTGTCACCGTTGTCACCTTTGTCATCGTTGTCACCGTTGTCATCGTTGTTACCGTTGTCACCATTGTCACCGTTGTCACCGTTGTCATCGTTGTCACCGTTGTCACCGTTGTCATCGTTGTCACCGTTGTCACCGTTGTCACCTTTGTCACCGTTGTCATCGTTGTCACTTTTGTCACCGTTGTCACCGTTGTCACCGTTGTCACCGTTGTCACTGTTGTCACCGTTGTCACCGTTGTCATTGTTGTCACCGTTGTCACCGTTGTCACTGTTGTCACTGTTGTCACCGTTGTCACGGTTGCCACTGTTGTCACTGTTGTCACCGTTGTCACCGTTGTCATTGTTGTCACCGTTGTCACCGTTGTCACCGTTGTCACCGTTGTCACTGTTGTCACTTTTTTCACCGTTGTCACTGTTGTCACTTTTGTCACCGTTGTCACTGTTGTCACCGTTGTCACCGGTGTCACCGTTGTCACTGTTGTCACCGTTGTCACCGTTGTCACCGTTGTCACCGTTGTCATCGTTGTCACTTTTGTCACCGTTGTCACCGTTGTCACCGTTGTCATCGTTGTCACTTTTGTCACCGTTGTCACCGTTGTCACTTTTGTCACCGTTGTCACCGTTGTCATCGTTGTCACCGTTGTCACCGTTGTCACTGTTGTCACCGTTGTCAGGGTTGTCACTGTTGTCACCGTTGTTACCGTTGTCACCGTTGTCACTGTTGTCATCGTTGTTACCGGTGTCACCATTGTCACCGTTGTCACCGTTGTCATCGTTGTCACCGTTGTCACCGTTGTCATCGTTGTCACCGTTGTCACCGTTGTCACCTTTGTCACCGTTGTCATCGTTGTCACTTTTGTCACCGTTGTCACCGTCTTCACTGTTGTCGCTTTTGTCACCGTTGTCACTTTTGTCACCGTTGTCACCGTTTTCATCGTTGTCACCGTTGTCACCGTTGTCACTGGTGTCACCGTTGTCACCATTGTCACTGTTGTCATCGCTGTCACTGTTGTGACTTTTCTCACCGTTGTCACCGTTGTCACTGTTGTCACCATTTTAACCGTTGTCACCGTTGTCACTGTTGTCACCGTTGTCATTGTTGTCACCGTTGTCACTGTTGTCACCGTTGTCACTGTTGTCACTGCTGTCATTGTTGTCATCGTTGTCACCGTTGTCACTGTTGTCACTTTTGTCACCGTTGTTTTTGTTGTCACTGTTCTCACTGTTGTCACCGTAGTCACCGTTGTCACTGTTGTCACCGTTGTCATCGTTGTCACTGTTGTGACCGTTGTCACCGTTTTCACTGTTGTCACTGTTGTCACCGTTGTCACCGTCTTCACTGTTGTCGCTTTTGTCACCTTTGTCATTGTTGTCACTGTTGTCACTGTTGTCACCTTTGTCACCGTTGTCACTGTTGTCAAAGTTGTCACTGTTTTTACTGTTATCGCGGTTGTCACCGTTTTCACTGTTGCGTCTGTTGTCACCGTTGTCACTGTTGGCACTGTTGGCACTGTTGTGAAAGTTGTCACCGTTGTAGCTGTTGTGACTGTTGTCACGGTTGGCTCTGTTTTCACCGTTGTCACTGTTGTCACCATTTTCACCGTTGTCACTGCTGTTGCTGTTGTCACCGCTGTCACTGTTGTCTCCGTTGTCATCGTTGTCACTGTTGTCACGGTTGTCACCGTTGTCACTGTTGTCACCGTTGTCACCGTTGTCACTGTTGTCACCGTTGTCACTGTTGTCACTGTTGTTACCGTTGTCATTGTGGTCACTGTTGTCACCGTTGTCACTGTTGTCACCGATGTCACTGTTGTCAAAGTTGTCACCGTTGTCACTGTTGTCACGGTTGTCACCGTTGTCAGTGTTGTCACTGTTGCCTCTGTTGTCACCGTTGTCACTGTTGTCACGTTTTTAACTGTTGTCACCGATGTCACCGTTGTCACTGTTGTCACTTTTGTCACTGTGGTCACTGTTGTCACTGTTTTCACCGTTGTCACCGTTGTCACTGTTGTCACCGATGTCACTGTTGTCAAAGTTGTCACCGTTGTTACCGTTGTCACTGTTGTCACGGTTGTCACGGTTGTCACTGTTGTGATTGTTGCCTCTGTTGTCACCGTTGTCACTGTTGTCACGTTTGTCACTGTTGTCACCGATGTCACCGTTGTCACTGTTGTCACTGTTGTCACTGTTGTCACTGTTGACACTGTTGTTACCGTTGTCGCTCTTGTCACTGTTGTCACCGTTGTCACTCTTGTCACCGTTTTCACCTTTTTTATCGTTGTCACTGTTGTCACTGTTGTCGCCGTTGTCACTGTTGTCACTGTTGTCACCGTTGTCACTGTGGTCACCGTTGTCACTGTGGTCACCGTTGTCACTGTTGTTACTGTTGTCAATATTTTCACCGTTGTCAGCGTTGTCACCGTTGTCACTGTTGTCAGTGTTGTCACTGTTGTCACGGTTGTCACCATTGTCACTGTTGTCACTGTTGTCACCGTTGTCACTGTTGTCACGGTTGTCACCATTGTCACCGTTGTCACTTTTGTCACTGTTGTCACCGTTGTCACTGTTGTCACTGTTGTCACTGTTGTCACCGTTGTCACTGTTATCACGGTTGTCAAAGTTGTCACTGTTATAACCTTTTGTTACTGTTGTCACTGTTGTTACTGTTGTCACCATTGTCGCCGTTGTCACTGTTGTCACCGTTGTCATCGTTGTCACTGTTGTCACCGTTGTCACTGTTGTCACTGTTGGCACTGGTGTCACCGTTGTCACCGTTGTCACTGTTGTCACTGTTGGCACTGTTTTCGCTGTTGTCACTTTTCTTTTTTTTGTCTCTATTGTCGCTGTTTTTCTTTTTGTCGCTGTTGCCGCTGTTCTCACTGTTGTCCCGGTTGTCATCTATCCATACTTCCGTTTCTCCATCCCTTCATCTATTCATCCTTTCATTCGGCTATCCATCTATCTAGTCCTTTATATATCCATCCATCCACCCATGCATCCCTTTTTTTGTCCATCCATCCATCCATCCATCCCTCCATCTATTTAACCATGCATAAAACAAAAGAAATTAATGTTTAATGAGCTTCGTTATGTCTGATAAAGACGTGGCTAGACTTTACTTCCTATTTTTTAGAACAAAATAACCCCAAATCTAAATATTAGTTCAAAATACTCGCAGTCTTCAGGTTTAACAACTCTCGGCTTTGCCTCGAGTTTTTATACTCGATAATACACTCCTGTTCTTTTGTCAAATAGTACAAAAAATTTACACGTCTTTATTTGTTTCTCTCACAGGTATTACAGTGTATAACCATCCGTTTAATAAGACAGACTCAAATATAGTCTCAGCACGTTACATGTAAGTAACAGGAATTTGTACGAAATAAATCTCAAGTAGTTTGTTAGCAAGAAAAGCCGTGAATCACTGAAACTGTACGCTTGCAGTTGGACCCAGGACTTTATGCGAGTGGTGCTAGCTGGGTCCTTAACGTAAACATCCACGCCTCAGGAATTTTAATTCCATTGTCCTTCAGTTGTTTTTTTTTTTTTACTGAAACGTAACGATCTGGCCCCAGTTGTTCCATTAGGGGGATAACTCTATTCTTTGGGTAAATCTCTATCCACTGCGTAGTGTAAATCCATGGTACCGTCATACACAAAGGCATCATGTGCTCAATGATGAAAATGAAGCTGTGGGACAACAAGACATTCATGAAACGTTCCTGCCGCAGATAATAGGGAGCTTTAGCAACGACGACGGCGACGGCAAAGGGGACGTCAAAAAAGCAATAGGTTTATTACGCAAAACAACAACTTTGCACGTGCATCACGCTTTTTTGTACATTTCTTTACCGTCCTTGCACGACTACGACGTGAAAATGCCTAATTGCAAGTTTTATAGAGGACGTAAACAGGCAACGACGAATCTCTTTTTCTCTCTCTAAACTTGAGTGCGGTTCTCAAGAAATCAACTCCAGGGAAATTTGCTTACACTTGCCATTTTCAGCAAATTGGAATAAACGTATCAAAGATTGAAAAAACGGGAATTCATTTTAAAAGTGACGTTTTGGCTGCCGTTGCCGTCGTCCATGCTAAAGCTCCCTAGTGATTTCTCCGGTGGATAGCGCTATCCAGCTTTTGAACAATTTGGGCTTGTATACGTAGTCCTAAATTGTGAAACAAACGAGAAATTTATCGTTGATTTTCACGTGATGGTTGTACATGTTTCAGGCGTCAAGGGACAGATCTTGTGATTGCAATCTTTGTCATCATAGCCATGTCTTTTGTACCGGCGAGTTTTGTCGTGTTCCTTGTAACTGAGCGAGCCTCCAAAGCCAAGCATCTGCAGTTTGTCAGCGGTGTCGATCCTGTTATCTATTGGCTGTCCAACTACGTTTGGGACGTGGTGAGTGTCGCAGCTATATAACCATATAAGGCATCGATAGATTCCCTGAGCTCACTTTGTAGGGTAGAGACGTACTCAAGGTGGCCGAACACACTTTAGGCAGTTTGTGCGTATGTCATTTGCCAATCATGACAAGAAAAAGGTTGCAGCTCACAAGCTGAAACTTGGCATATGAAAAATATACTGATGATAGATTTTTATTGACAGGTAAAATTTGACGTTTTCGAAGTTTCCATGGCAACATGAACGAGTGAATACAACCTTGAATTTTCATTTTGCTCAGTTTACGTAAAATTCGCTCATTAGATTTTCCTATAAACTTGCACACAGCGTAATATAATTAATCATTACCATTTGAAACAAATTTGACCAAATTTTAACAGACGGTTTTTTAGATAATCAATAATATAATTAAATGTGTCACAAAATTCGTCTGTTCAACTTCCATTTTAAAGTTCTCGTTGTTTAAAATACGATGGAAGCAAGACTTCTGCCAAATGTCTCAAAATTTTGATGAGTAGATTTTGAGAAGTCGTCTTTTGTGTACCATTGCTTTTTCGCCGCCATGTTTGTTGTCTAATTAAAACACGCGCCGTCACGCGAGTTGCGGCTGACCGCCGGCAAAACTGTGTTTAGCCACCTTAAGCACTTCATCCGCATTGTGTGGAGTGTCCTTGGGTTGCGATGTCGCGCCATACGCCACTTTCCATCATGTGTACATGTAACTCTGCTGTGGGGACGAGACCTCTTTGGAGGGAATCGATGTACGCCTTACCAAAAAATGTTATTGTTACAACTGGGCACGGAGTTTACTGTCAAACACAGAAAACCGTAAACATTTAAAAAATTCAGGAAGGTTGAAAAACTAAACTAGTTACCGTTGCTGTTTGCGGTTTAGTTATCTCGCGCCTTATTGGCTTATTTTTCGCAACACATTCCATAAATATTTCTGGTGTTCACGGTTTTGTGAGTCTCACAGTAAATTACATCTGACAGGTCTTCAAAGTGGCGCAAGATTCTTTTTAGCCAATCACTATGCTGCTATTTACCCAATCGCAGGAGTGAATTTAAAATTGACTTAAAAAGCCCTTTAAGATCTGAATGTAACTGATTAAAATCTATGCTCCATTTATTTCAGTGTAACTACTTGATCCCAGCTTGTTGCTGCATTACTTTGCTGCGTGTGTTCAATGTGCCTGCCTACTCTTCAAACACTAACTTCCCAGCCGTGGTCTGTCTCTTCTTGCTATACGGGTGAGTTCAATGGAAACGAGGGGAAACTGGGCTGAGTTTACGTTCGCAAAGACTTCTTGGACTATTACTAGAGAAGGAAAAAACTGACCAATAGCTGACCGGCGCGTCACTAGAAACGATCCCTGAAACAATATTGCGGGACGCATTTCGGCTGTAGTTCCCTTTTCTTTACGAACGCGACGAATGGTTAACACGGGGTGATAAAAAAGTAGAATGAAAGTAATCGGACAATTGAATTTTCTTTATTGCATAACGAAATTATAATCAGTCGAAGCGAGAAAGGCGTTTGCTAAGTATGCGACTGCATTTTGTTTGTCCGGCGGTTTTGTGGTTGTCTGCAATCTTTGTCTGTGTGGCCTTGTCACTGGTAAAGGCAAACTCCCAGTGAGTTAATTTCTTTTTAGACTGATGGCGAAATTGCATGGAGTGATTCTCTACATGACAATGTACACATTAGCCGCACTTTTTTGGATACTGATAGTTTGCAGCAGGTTACCAAGGAAGTTCTTTGTACTCTCATTTTACCGGCTTCAGTAATGTGGCTGTTGTTGAACCCGGTCTCGTACAGAAGCTGATAATCTATCTTAAAAAGGTTGTTTACTGACTGGAAATCATTATGTCCTTACAGATGGTCCATAACTCCTATTATGTATCCAGGCGCATTTTACTTCAGGGAAGCTAGTTCAGCGTATGTGTTCATGATTGTGGTCAATATGTTTTTTGGAGTCACTGCCACCGTGACAACCTTCATTCTACAGCTCTTTCCTGATGACTTGGTATGAAACCTTATTTCTTCTTGCTCGCAAAAGCGTAAACGTTTTACATTTTGTCACCTAAGTTACCCGACGAACTCTTTATTTGGCCGTGAAAACGCAACTTTGGACTAGACTAACTCGTAAATGGACAAGAGTTTTTTTGGTATTTCTTCTTGACTATGCAAACAATTTTTTTTTTTGAAAGTTCTATATTGTAACGGATACTAGAGGCTTTAGGTAACACTTAGCCAGACAGACCTTAGCCTTTGCTATTGGCAATTAACAGCTTAAAGATTAAGATTAAAGACGAAGAATCGAGATTGTTCTTAATAGGCCCTTTGCAGCGAGCCATTGACGTGGTAAAAAACCGCTACGCTGGAGAGCAAAAGTCGCACTGGGACAAGACAAACAAAAGACATACATATTTTGAAATGGTAACTTTCTTTGTTAGTCTTGTCCCAGTGCGACTTTTGCTGTCCAGCACGGCGTTTTTGGACCACGTGAACGACTAGCTGCAAAGAGCCTATTTATTTTTAATACATAATTTTATTGATTTAATATGGGATGTATTTAACACAGTTGTTGATGCTATATATTTGCCTCCAAACAGGTGTTGACCAAAATATACAATGCCCTGAGAATAATGAACCTTGGTTTCCCCAACTACTGCCTGGGACATGGTCTTATGGACCTGGCTTATAACCAATACCTTACAGACTATTACACTCAGATAGGTACGATCAATGTTTGTCATATATTGCCGTAGCCAGGCTTCACGCCTTAAATGCTCGAGATTCGTTACTTCCTGTAATGTTTAACAACAGATTAAGTCATGTTAAATTTTTACGTTAATCCAACAGTGTAAAATGCTGTTGTGTCATATAATTCCAGAAAATACATCTGTTAGGAATACTTTTGTTTGCAAATATGTGGGTTTCTCAACGTGCACATTCTCCATACTGAGTTTGTCGACAAATTATGACATAAAATATGTTGTCGGCGAAGGTGGGGGGGGAGGGGGGGGGGTTGGGGGGTAGTCCGAGCCATAGAATTGACTTGAAATATGGTGCGCGAGTCTGAGGAGAGAGGGAATTGGGCACGCTCAGTATTTCCAGCGCCTACACGCAGGCAATATTTAGCGCTCGCTCGCTCGAAAAATACGCACTCATTGCAGCTACTTTGGCGGGGGTTTCCTTTATTCTCCTGAAGAAATAATAGGAAATTAGATTTTAATATCTGTTAGAAGTTAAAGAAATGAAACACGGGGCGCCACCGAGTAAGAATTCAAACTGAAAAACAGTTTCAACCTCAAGAATTAACTACTAGTGAACGAATGAATAAATGATTGATTGATTGATTGCGTAAATGAATTTATTTATTTCCTCATAGGTGAATACGACAAGATTCGTGATCCATTTGAATGGTTACTGACGACTCGAAATTTAGTGTGCATGGCCGTGGAGGGAATTTTGTTCTTTGTGTTTACTGTCCTCATAGAGTTTAGATTCTTCATAAAGCCGAGGTAAGATACCCCAATCTGAATTCCTAAACGGCAAGAAATGATAAAAGCCTGATCCTTCTGTGTAATTTCGTACGAAAGCCAGAGTAATTCAGTGTTCCAGTTATCTGCTCGTACAGTGCTTTAGAAAATTTCCGTTGGACTGGACAATTTTATTTCATGCTTTAAAAAATTCACGTATCTCTGAACATCGATGGTTTAAGTAGCTCAAGAAATTATTGTAGACAGTGTCAAGAATGTTACTAGCACAAAACAATCCCTCTGGGGCACATTGAATTCATCTTTGGTAAGCTTTCAAGGAGTAAGAGTGGGAACCATTTAACTCCCCCTCCCCTCTGCCCTCTGCTGTCAAAACCGGCTGGCTGTCAGGTATGGATAAGACAATATTAATTTAATATTAATATGATATACATTAATATTAATAACTTGTTGCTTTACCCAGGCGCACCCACGTGTCCAAGGACCCAATTGAGGGGGAGGACGAGGATGTGTCTGCTGAAAAAGAAAGGGTTCTCTGTGGTGGCGCCAGCGAGGACCTGATTCGAATTGAGAACCTAACAAAGGTAAGCTGTGCAGAACCTTTTTTATCGGTCACTTCATTCTCCGTGGGTGGCCCGGTGCTGAAAAGAGGTTCCAATCCACTGAAGTATTATTGATTTAGACGATTCAGAACCTTGGAATTATAGGACGCGAAGTTTCATATTAGGCGCCGATGAAAGAACGGTACTTATCGCCATCCAGGGGCCTGTTTCTCGAAAGACCCGGTAACTTTTCGGGCCCGAAGGCAAATTTTAAAATCAAAACCTGTTGCACAGTACCATAGTTCCTAGCTCACAAACCTGTCAATTTTGCTTTGAGAAATGATAGACATATTGTATACTGTTCAAAATTATGAAACCTTTGAACTTGTCTGCAAACACAGCAAACATATAAAACACCTTTCTGGAACTTTCAAGAAACTGGCCCCTGAGGAGAGACTCTTGTCCTTGCGCTTAATAGGATGTTATTTTTCAATGATGTCAAGTGGTGTCTGGTGATTGGTTTAAAAACGTTCAGTACCAGTTCCTGGAGTAAAAAGGATAGAAAAGCCTTCAGGGCAGACATCTTAGGGTTCCACACATGTCACGAGATCACGTACTGAATATTTAACAAGTTGTTCTTGTTGTTTTTCTTTGAACGAAAGAACACTATAATGCCAAAGGTGCGGTTTTAAGTTGTGAGGCTTCAATTCAATTCTTGTTTCTGTCAGGTTTACTATTCAAGAAAAAGAGGCAAGCATCTGGCCGTGGACAGGCTTTGTTTAGGTGTCCCAAAAGGAGAGGTGAGCCGACTTTATTAGAGTAAACAAGATCGAGTGGGATGGATTTTTGCTTCTGCATGCGTGAAAACCGACTTAAGCTTCGCTAAAACGGGCAACAAAAACGTGCAACTTGTTTTGCAACATTGCTAAAAAATGAGTTAAAAAGCGATGTTGCGCGTTTTACCACCCACGTTCAAACCTGTTAACAACCTGATTTGTTACAAAACAGGTTTTCTGTGGGTGGTAGAACGCGCACCATCGCTATTCAACTCGTCTTGCAGCAATGTTGCAAGACAAGTTGCTTGTTCTTTTTTTGGTCGTTTTACCGCACTTTAATCCTATTGTTAGAGTTATTTTCCTCACACTTGGCATCCAAAATTCCTTCTTCTATGCCATCCTCTTTCATCTGTGCCCTTTGCTTTAGTTATTCTTGCAGGCGACTGAACATGAAAAAGAAGACGCACCCGCTTCTGTTATTTGGATCATTTGATTAACACACAAAGTTTATACATTTTTATTGTTCTTTCCGCAGTGTTTTGGGCTGTTGGGTGTTAACGGAGCAGGAAAAACCAGTACGTTTAAGATGCTGACTGGAGACACCTCCATGTCTGCGGGAAATGCGTTCCTGAACTCTTACAGGTGGGTATAACAGCTATTAAACTTCGCACATGCTCATGGTTACCGGTGTCCGTGAGAACCGGCAATTTATTACCACCAAATTTGTGTTCGTAGGTTCTTGATCAAATTGGAATTTGGAATTGGTGGTTTTAGATTCCTAGTTCCTGTACGTGGTCTTCTCAGGCCTTCTCGGTCAATGCATTTCGGTGACGTATCGAAGCTGAACGGCCGCGACTCGCTCGGACCACGTGACCCGAAACGCATCGGCCGCGCGCAATAATGATTCCTAGGGACTATACAAGGTTTTTGAGGACTGGAAAAACCGAAGCACCCTGCGAACCTCCCCTACCCAACCCCCGAGCAAATCGAACAAAGGAAAGAACCGGCAACAAGCCCAACCCAAATATGGTGCGGCCTATGGGATTCAAGCCCAGGCGGCATTGGTGAAAGGAGCCATCCTTGTTGCCCTGAGATAGTAATCTTCAACTAGAGATTACATCCTAGTTAACAAAATTAACCGGTCTTATACTTTGATTGCAGTATTGTATCCGAGATGCAAAAAGTTCATAAATGCATGGGCTACTGTCCGCAGTTTGATGCTCTTGTTGACGAACTGACCGGCGCTGAACAGCTTACACTGTACGCGAGACTTAGAGGAGTCCCTGAAAACGAAGTACAAAGGGTGAGTACATATATGGCATGAAAATTTCCTGGGTGTTACCATTAAGATCAAAAAACTCTTAAAATCTTTAAATTACTTTTTCCCTTTTTTTCCTTCCGTGGGAAATCATTTTTGCGGGATCTCAAATTGCCGAACGTTGAAGATATTCTTTAAAATTTCATACCACACATTGAGCTCTTTAGCTTTTGACCGTTCTTACTAGAAACCCACCGACTTTCTGCCCAAAATCTTTGTCGAAAAAGCACTGTATTTGTTATTCGAAAGTGCATCCTCTAAAATTCTTGTTGAAGAGAGCGACGGTGGTGTTTTTAGATATGGGCTACCCTAAACTGTTACAAAGATTACTGGCAAACCAGCGCGCCATTGCGCGTCGTATTTATAGAATTTGCTCCCATCCTTAATTGTATCTTTTCTTCACAATGGCTCTATCGTACTTACCAGGTTGTATCGTGGGCGATCAAGAAGCTGTGTCTTACTCGCTACGCCAACAAACCAAGCAAGACTTACAGCGGTGGAAACAAACGGAAACTCTCTACCGCAATGGCATTAATTGGCAACCCGCCTATTATATTCTTGGTAAGAAGTCATGCCCTCAAATTTTGCGCCCCATTTGGTTTGGGCGTGCGGTGATGTAACAATTACAGCCAAAACTTTGAATAAATAAATAAATAGATAAATACTTAATTATCATCTCCCCATATGGGCCTTTTCAGGGATTATGAAACAAATAGTTCAAATGGAACATAACAAAGTTAAGAATCCTGTCTAGTAGAAGGCGAAACAGTTAACTATTCTACAAGCGTTGCCGAGGATTTGAACTCGGGACAACCAAGAACAAATCTAGCTAGCGGTCTCGGCGGGAATCGAACGTGGGGCCTCCGAATTATAAGTCCCTCGCCCTGACCGTTCGGCCACACTGCCTTCACGTGAAACTTTGGGAGAATCACCATCAGCTTACGTCTTCGATTTTAATTTTATGGTGAAAAACTTGCACTTAAGAGTATTAGGTATTCACAATGGATTCTTGCGCTGACGTGAAATGCCATTGATCTGTTTAGGATGAGCCCACTACTGGAATGGACCCACATGCCCGGCGCTTCTTATGGAATCTTATTCTTGATATCATCAAGGACGGTCGCTCAGTTATTTTGACATCACATAGGTAACTCCAACTCTGCCTGTTCCTTGATATTGTACCTCTTGCCTGCCTTGATCAGGCGTGTTAAAGTTAGATACCTTTTAGAAGTCCTTTTAACTGTCTGTTTTATCTGTGTTTTAGCTCTGTCGAAAGCTTAATCGCAGCACAGTTGCGCGCTGTTTATTTAGAAACCTCTTCAAAGGTTGAAACCATAAACCTCATAACGGAAATTTCAACAGTTTGAATTTGTTACTTTTTATTGTTTTCTGCTTAGGGTGACCTGGACTGAAATGAATTACAACTGGGAAAAATTATATATCTATCTTGTTTTCTAACTCAGTTGAGTCATATTAGTAGATGCATTAGTCTCCTATGCAGCGGCTATTTGACTAGTCACGCGACACTCCTTCCCATAAGAGCGTTGCGTGACGAGATAAATAATAGTTGCGAAAGAGACTCGTGCACTCATTATTTTGTTTGAGAAGCTAACACATCAGTATGTATAATTGACATGTTGAACGAAAATACCTGTGCCTAGTTTCTCAAGACGTGATGTTGACACTTGTTTAGAAGGGAAGGACGTCATTTGAAGTTTCGAGTTTCCAAAGGAATTTCGAGTTTGTTTTGACTGGGCTTTTACCTCCAACATGATCGGCCTGTCACAAGATGGAATGTTACATTGGCGCTTTATCTTGTATGTTTACAGCATGGAGGAATGTGAAGCATTGTGTACTCGCCTAGCAATTATGGTCAATGGTCGATTCAAGTGCCTAGGGAGCTGCCAGCACCTGAAAAACCGGTAAGTCTGTTTGTTTGTTTGTTTGTTTGTTCTATTTCAGAGAGCTCCTTGTCAGGATTTGAGCTAATATACATTATCTAAATGGTATAGCGAGGCAAACAAAATCATTCCAGAAGGCAAACAGGCTATTTATTGTGCGCTTAGTATCCTGCCTATGAGTGGAAGTGAGGCTAGACGTTATTTAATAGCAACCCGCTTTTCAAATGTGCATCATGTTCTCATGCTTATTAATGGCACTGTGGTTTTGATAAAAACCAAGACATCGCTAGCCTCACTTTCTCTCACTCAAAGGCTAGGCTGTTCAGCCTGCAACTGTGACTTGGCCTATTCGCAGCAACTCTGTAACAAAATGATATTTATTCATATCACAGTAGTATAGTAGATACTGAATCGACCTTTTTGCTTAACAATGCCACTTTAAAGTGTGCAGAAGTAACTCAACGCTTTGACCATCTCATTCATTTTGTTTCACTGCAGAAAAGGAGTATTTTAATCGGGATTCTAGTGCTAAAAAGAGACTCTTTCTCCAAAGATTGGAGTGATGGTTAAAGCTAAGGGAGGGATTAATAAATTGGTGGTTTCGAGAACTGCTGAAGTTGATGTGTTTAAGCTTATTTCGATATTTTGCAGGTTCGGAGAAGGATACATTATCACAGTCCGTGTTCAAGGTGATTTGCCAGACATGGAGCCGTTGTACCGGTTCTTCTCTGAAAAGTTTCCGCGTGCTTCGCTTAAGGTAGGACTGGATAAATATTGGATTTCTTTGCATATCTTCTTAGAATTTCACGTTGCATACACGAAACAACATCAATCTTTCGAACATCACTTCTACCTTGCCTTTGATATGGTAAGGAGTTTGACTTTAGTAAATAAAAGAATGTGGTAAATTTATCGTAAAGATTAGAGACCTCTAGATTCTAGGGCGAGAACGACTACGAGTACGAGAAACTGTATGGCGATAATAAGCCCCTGTCCACACCAAAAGGAATTTTTTTACACCAAAAGGTTGCAGAAGAATGAGCGGATTCACTGGTTTCGTGTGAAGAAAGGAACGAGCGATTCGTGTAGAAAAATGTTTCAAAAGTGCCTGGATTCGTGCGGACGGGACTTAAAAGCAAAGATGGTAAATTTTTGAACCTCGGTAAATGAACTGATTAAGTTGTAGTGATCATCTCGTCTTCTTTTTAACAGGAACATCATCACAATATGGTACAGTACCAGCTTCCCACAGGCGTCATGGATTTGTCGGAGGTGTTCGGTCATATCGAGTCATCCTATGAAGCTTTGCAAATCGAGGATTACTCTGTCAGTCAGACAACCCTAGATAATGTAAGACTAACAGCCCCTCTAGAGAGGTTTTCACTCCAGAGTCGCCCGTAAAGCTATGTGCAAATTGACGCAATAACCAACAATACTGGGAGTTGTTGCTACCATGTTGGCAGTAGTGTGCAAACGGATGCAACAACTCCCAATAACAACACACAACAACATGCAACAGGCTGTGTAAACGGACGCAACATGAAGCATCCAACAGTGTTGGGAGTTTTTGGCTAACAATGTTGATTCCGTTTGCACGGGGCTTAAAACGCGAACTGAAAGAGCCGTGTCACGAAGTTTCTAGAAATTTGAACAGTGGAAACTGCCACCAAATTGAGTGAAACGTAAAACTAACCGCTGAAAACATCAAAAGAAAATGTTAACAAACATAGCAAATACGATAGTAGGAACCGATGGACAAACTGAAGTTGATTGAAACGGATTGCAATTGCGATTTGTTAAGTCTTTTTAGCCTTAAAGTTCATTTTTATTGTTTGCAACGTTTGATTTTTCATGAGATAAGTGCGTTCTATACTTTAGGTGTTTATCAACTTCGCTCGCCAACAAACGGACGAAACCGATTTTCAAGAGAAATCTCCCTGTTTACGAAGGACTGGCCCTAGACAACGAGTGCGCAGACGCGCTGAGAGATTACGAGCCATTTGGTCAGATGACGTCAGGTTCAGTGCCCTGGAAGAAGAGGCTGGGAACGAGGATGACGATGATGATTGGCAAGTCACCTTCTCAGACCGGGTAAGTTCTTCTTTCTCTATCCAGGGTCTCCGACCTTTAACCCCTCCTCCCTCCCCCGACCCCCAGAAGTGCCAAATGGCAAACTTTACCTTGTAACATGGCAGCACACTAAAGTAATGTTGAGGATGTTTCGATTGAATGGTAACACCAAAGGATTCGTCTACAGTCTCGGAAGGTAGATTGACATAATGGGGAACTTAAGCAAAGACGTTTCTTGGCGACGCACGTCAACAGGAAGTGTCTCAATCTCAATCTACTCTTACAATCTACTTCCGGTCAACTTGCATCGCTCAAAACGTCTTTGCATCAAGACCTTACGTCGGATTGAAGACCTTAAACTGGGCATAACAGAGCTCCAGTGTTGGAGTTCTTAGTGTGCCTGCAAAAACACTTATACTTCCATAGTTTGACTTCACCCTCAATTCATTTGTAGAAAGCTTTTTGTTGTTAGCACCTCCTTTTGCATTATGGTAAATGGCACAACAGGAAGACACTTCTCAGTAGGCGTAGGATATTTCTCTGTCATGACTCTATTTTCCGCTCCTCTTGAAAATACATGGAGTTCAGTTTTAAATTTATCTTATCTTTCTTTTTATCTTAGGCACGCCTAACTTTTGTGACTTCAGAGGATCTCTAGAACTTTTGACTTGGAGAGAGGCGTAGAAAAGCTAAAAACCCGAAATGTTACTCTTTTTTAATTGTTGATTTTGGCTCTTTACTTTTAATAGTATAAACTGTAAAAATTTTTTCTTGGGGTGAGCAGACACTGGCCGCCCTCACAGATATCGGGGCGAACGAGCACGCGTCATGTTTTTAGTTCACGTAAAGTTAAGCTACAGTAAAACGGGAAACAAAAAACGTGCAACTTGCTTTGCAACATTGCTGCAAAACGAGATGAATACTGATGTTGCGCGTTTTACTACCCGCATTCGAACCTGCCTTGCAACAAATAAGGTTGCAAGGCTTTTTTTCGTGGGTGGTAAAACGCGCAACAGCCATATTCAACTAGTTTTGCAGCAATGTTGCACGTTTCTGTTGTTGTTGTCCGTTTTACCTCACCTTAAAACCGTTAATCGTCTCGTATGTAAAGGTAGCGGGCGGGCGGGCGCAACTTGCTCGCGGTGTTTTTTTTCCTTTTATACCCAAAAATATTGCAAACGTTTGAGAAATGGGATAAAGTTATATTAGGTGATGTTTGAGAGGTACAGGTGAGCTGGACGACCTAGCCTACGGGCAAACTCTCGTGGGTGGGGGGAGGGGGGTGGAGGTGTGAAAAGAATGTCTTGTCCCCATCCCCGTCCCCGGAGAGTTAGCTCCCAAGCTAAGGTGAACGTTACAGTATAAGTATCTTAGGGAATGGTGGCGGGTGGATTTGGGTGGGGTGGGTATAGGGGGGGGGCAACTTGCCCCCAGTGAATTTCTTACCCTCTTTCTGGAGCCAAAAATATCATTGCAAGCGTAGGAGAAAGTTAATCAGATGATGTGTGATGGGTATAGGTGCGGTGAGCATAGCCGTTGAGCAAACTCTTGCCATCCCTGTGCCCGACTCGGAGAGCTTGCTCTCAGCCTAAGGTGAACGTTACAGTGTAAGAATCGTAGATAGTCCAAAGTCTAAACAATCCAGAGTAAAAATAGTGCTGATAATTTTAAAAGACTCCACAGAGAATTAACCAAGAGTAATTTTAGTAGGTATAATGAGTTTTGTACTTTTATCGTGTTAGTTGCGTTAGGCTGTCAGTCTAAACAAAGAACGTGAGAAAAGAGAAGAATGGCTCTTTATGTAATTAGTTAATGATATTTTGGTTAGGAATATTCATGTCAATATATTTATTGCATCTTATGCCTTAACGTATTTAGGTGCTTTGTTAAAATTAGGGGAAAATGTATAGTAAAGGAACGTCTGGTAATTTTTTACTGTCAATTTTGTTTTTGGCCCCGCAAGGTAATGTACTTGTCACAGATCCGTTCTCAGTGACGCCTGGCTGCTAGGGGGGGCGGGGGCGTGGGGTAATCAAAAGAGTTTTATACGGGGAGGCTCCGCCCCAAGGTATGACCGAGGCGCGGGTCTGACCTCTTACCCTTTTATATACCATTTTTGACAAAAAAAAAGGTACCTTTCGTATACCTTCTATTCACAAAATAATGGTTCTTCTTTCACATACTTGGTTAAGAACTTTGCATCACTTTTAATTGCTGTAAATACAGTGTCTTTAAAACCATGTCGTTTTTTCGACATTCTCACAGCCATAAAATGAATCAGTTAGCCCTTTTGGGCCTTTTTACCGACCAGAATGAGAGATTTCTTTACCCTTTAATTTACTTCAACAAGTGAAATCCTTACCCTTTCATATACCTGAACCCTGAAATAAGTACCCCTTTCGGACGTAGCCTCCCCCTCGTATAGACCATTATAAGGATAAGGATAAGTGCAAGGACACAATAGCAGATGTAAGCAGATGGTCACCTTAAAACCAAATCTTCACTTGAGGTCCAGAAGCAAGGTATCTCATCGCGTCGAAATTTCGAAGCGAGTTGTTCTACTTCGGGCTGCGTGTGTGTTATTTTGCGTGGAATGATTTTCAGGTGCGAAATGTATGTGATTCAATATTTTTCTTTCGATACGTTAGTCATTTTTTCTAGATGTACAGTAATCTACACAAATATATATGAGGTTAAACGTGACAGACATCGACAGACGAATAATTAAAAACGTGACAGACATCAACAGACGAATAATTAATAATAAACAACAACAGACGAACCATTTTTAGAAGGTTTATTGATCAATAAAATACTCGACATGAAAATTCCATTCTACATTCTCAAGCACGTCTTTTGCATGGACAGCGCTAAGCTGAAAGAATATTAAATAAACGAAAACTATCTTGCCTGTTGCTTATAGAAACGTTGGTTCTAAAAAAGAACCACAATAAACTACATAATTTTGTAATTGGCCTGGAAGGTTCACAGACATCCCACTCGTGGCAACCTTGTCCCCAGGGTTTTCGTTTTCCAATATGGCGGCGCCCATTCCTGCCGTCGCCGTATTGTAAAACGGGAAGACCCAGGGGATGAGGTTGAGGTGAGGGTATAAAGCAAGTACACATTAAGACCAACTTCAACTTTTAATTTCATTCGCTGATAATTGAATTATTGATTAATCTCTTCATTCTGCCATTTTAAATGAAGTTAAGGCCTTCTCGATCTTTGCAAGTTCTGTCTCCAATTGTTTTAGCTGAAAATGAAAGAGGAGGTAACTAAATAGTAATTTCAACAAGCACTGATAAAATTCCGTTCGGCACTTGTTCTCATCATTTGGATGAATCAGCCCTAGGTACCGAAAAAGTGGCCGCGAAGGCCTGAGACTGTACCTTTGGCCGAATTTATACTGGAGACGAACTATTCCTCTAGACGGATAATTCGTCTAAGTATAAATCCGAAGACGAATTTAAACAAATAATGTCTAGATATTTTACAAGGATTACACGACGGAAACTGGAAACATTGCAAAAATGTAGTACCAGTCCCTCTCATGTAGACACTTCGTCAAAAAACGTCTACGTTCCGTCTAGACCATCCGTCTAAGATGAATTTTCCGTCTGTTAGCACGTCGTCGAGACGGGCTAACAGACGAATCAGCCTCAGACGAATTTTTCTCCATAATTCGTCTTAGCACCGAATTTATACTTGGACGAATTATCCGTCTCTGATGGATAATTCGTCGATTTATCCCTCTCTGACTCTCAGATGGATAATTCGTCTCTAGTATAAATTCGGCGATTGAAGTAATAGGCCAATTCCGAGTTCCAAAAACTTTCACTTTCAAAACGAGGCTAAGTGTAAAACCTTTCTTGTGAGTTCTATTTGTATGAGAATAAAAAATCATGTTCCTATCAATGGCTTCGCACATAGCGTCCCTTCGAAAACGGAGGTTTGGAGCAACTCAGAAATGGCCTACTTCCGTTTGGAACATTCCCGCTGGGAGAACAGGATTACCTTCTCCGACATTCATTGTTTTCGAAACTTTTCCACCGGAACGACCCTAAAGGTTAAGTTCCATTTACTTGCCAACCGGATTTCCAAGAAACTTTTCGTTGACGACAAACAGCCAGATGCTTCCCCTTGTGTAAAATGTCATTCGTCCCTCCACCCCCAACCCGTGGAGGGCGAGGAGGGGGGGAGGAGAAATCCCCACGGGTTAGGGAATGGAGACGGATGACATTTCAGACTAAGACTTTCCGTTGATCCACCAACGCCCCCGCCTGTTTTAATTCGCTCGGATTTCACGAGTAAACATACTGGCACAGGGAGCAGAGGAGTTCAGTTTGAATTAGATAATAAAGAATCTCTTACCTCTTTGATGGCTGTAATCTGTTAATTCTCCGTGTGTGATCATTCTGAAGCCGTTTAACCGTTAAACAATTCCCTTCGATCTTCCCTTTCGCTCAACGTTTCTTTCCGACCGCCATTATTTTGAAACATAACAACCGCTGAATGAAGCGCTCGTGGGCTCTCAAGATTCATTAACGTGGGTTAGAGTAATAGAATACGTAAAGGGAAGAAAGCAATTTGGGGCTATTTTTTCATGTCCCCGTAATCCATTTAAATTTTCGTTAGAAAACCCCGTAATAAAATATTCTGGTAGCTGATGCTATGTTATCATTGGACACTACTACTTTTGGCCTAATCTTAACTCTAACATGCAAATTTTTGGAACGAAATATAAGGCCTCGACACATCGCTTTAGTGTGGTGTGCACCGCAGCAACTGGTGACGGAAATGACGTTATAATGTGTTCCGCGTGGAATATGAGCCATGGAGCATGCGCAGTATAATTTTAAATCCCAAGAGGTGTTAGATTTTCGCGGAACTCTTGAGAAGTACATGTGGTTTTTTGCAGTGGTTTTTTGCAGTGGTTTTGTCGCTTTTTCATTCTTCTTTCGGTTCTGTTTACTGGTGAATCTTGCTGTAGACCTGAAGTGTGTGTGGAGTCTACGAGAAACTGTGACGGATAATTTTACTTCAACTGGAGACTGTTCGATGGCTGAGAGGTGAGAATAATTTTTTGTATGAATATTTCCATCAAGCTTTTTAACTAGGCTAACTTTATCTTAGCTTGTTTAGATCGATATGTTCCTTTAATATCCGTATTTTGTTAGTAGTCATAAACGAGAAAGCATTTGGACCCTCGATCTTTTGGAGTCTACCACTTTGTTTATATATGTAACCTTCATGAACATGAGTCTAACATGAGGTGTTGAAGTCAGTTTCTAGCTGTGATATTGCGATGGTGCGTGCTTTATGTGCACTTAATAATTCCTCGCGTTGCATACCCATACACATCTTTATTAAGGTATCCAACTCAATAGAGGTGCAAAAGTAATGGCTTTTTCGTTAAGATTTCCGCACAGTCCTATACATTTTTATGCATTTATTAAGCTTATGACAAAGTAGCAGAGTGATGTCCTCATCGACTGTAAGCGTGCCCAGTAGTGGAACTAGAGCAGAATACAAGTAGACTTATGGATTAAATCTTGAACATTTATTGTTACTCATATTTAACTTATATATGTTTTGACCCTGTTCAAGTTAGTAACTATGTGTGTGACATTGTCTGAGTTTGCTGCATGTATTATAAATGTGTAGCGCTGTGGGAAAGTCTTTCCTTATTCTCTAATAGTTTTCTGAAGGACATCAAGAGGCTTGTTGACAAGCATTGAAATTTACATCAGGATATTCTTTTTTTTTTTAAGTTCTGCTGGCAACCTATCTCACGAACAAAACCAAATTCTGGACCTTGTCAACAATGGGCACAATGTTTATTTTGGTGGAATTGCTGGTTGTGGAAAGACTTTTGTCGCCAGGAAATTATTGCAGGTTCTTTCTCAAAGAAAAGTGCATTTTGCTTGTACGTGTACAACTGGTATTGCATGTACTCTTTATGGGGAGTGCTGTGCCAAGACGATACACTCCTTTGCTGGTATAGGGCAGTGCCGTGGTACTAAAGAAGAGTTATTGCGGAACATCATGACCAACTCAGATTGTGTAACCAGATGGAGAGAAACCGATGTTCTCTTCATAGATGAAATATCTATGTTAAGTAAGAGAACTTTTGACATTCTTCAGTACATTGCTCAGAATGTACGCAATTCAGATTATGCTCTTGGTGGCATTCAGGTTGTGGCATTTGGGGACTTTCTGCAGCTGCCCCCAGTAGCAAGTCCTTTAGATGATGGCAAGTATGCTTTTGAAAGTGCATCATGGAACGTTACTTTCCCTCACCAACTGATTCTTAAAGAGAATTTCCGTGCAAAAGATGACAAGGAGTTTGTTGACCTGCTTCGGGAGATGTCAAAGGGAACTTGCAGTGAGCAATCAGTCCATCTTATTAAGAGTCTTAGTAGACCTCTTGTTCCAGCAGAGCTTGGCATTCCGTACGTGCCAAAGGTTTTTCCTCACAATGAAGATGTAGATTTTGCAAACATTACCATTCTTGATGAACTTACTGGGGATGAAGTTGTTTTTGATGCACTTGATAAGGGAGACAAGAAACAGCTGAATAAAGGATGCATTGCTAGTGAAAGGCTGGTCTTGAAGGTGGGGGCACAAGTGATGTTCATCTACAACATCAGTAATGGCATAAAGAATGGAGTTCAAGGAAAGGTTGCCTCCTTTTTGAATGGCCTCCCAGTTGTTACTGCAGCGTCAGAGACCGTAATTGTGGACCGTGTTACTTGGCCTGTGTATGACAGGAAGGACCCCACCAAAGTCATTGGTACAAGAACACAGCTACCCTTGAAGTTAGCATGGGCCATGACTGTTCACAAAGCTCAAGGACAAACTTTAGATGCTGTTGAGGTTTACTGTGGGAGAGAATTTGCCCCTGGTCATCTATATGTGGCAATGTCAAGGGTTAGAAGTAGTAGTCAGTTACGTGTGATTGGTTTTAAAGAAGATCGCTTAATTCCAGCACCAAAAGAAGTTGTTAAATTCTTGGAGCAAGTCCACAATACGTCTGAGGAGGAGGGTTGCAAGTGTTGCCGTGTAAAGATATCTTTAGAAGATCATGTGCTAAGTTGTTCCCCTTCTACAGACTCATCAGCTGAGGAGGAGTTTTGTGAGGAAGAGCTTGATCAAATTGATGCAGCTGTCGCTTCATACCTAGCATCATCCACAGAGGTTACTGTGCCTGACACACTGAATTTGGCTGAGGTATTGGAAGTAATGCATTCAAGAGATGACCTGCATGAAATACCAAATGACTTTAGCCCTGTGCAATTTGTTTCGTCACTCACAAAGACTGAGAAGGTGCCAGAAGTAAGTGAAGGACTAAAGATGAGTTTAAATCAAATATTTTTGTTTCTATCACGCCCAGATATTCTACCAAAGACCCAAATGTTCTTTGGTATACAGTGGAGTAGGATTTTTTCTCTGATTAGAAAGCAAGTTTCTGACAACATCAACAAAACTGTTCAGAGAAAAGAATTCACCTGCCACTTTGCAGATTTGCATAGTCTTCTTATCTCCAAGGATTTGGAAAAGGAGTTTGCAGAACTCATGGACATCCCTGTGACACTTCTCGCTGAGGAACACTTCCATGCACTTACTGAGGTAATGCTTGCCTTGAATTCATATATTCTAAAAGTTATTGTTGAAGAGCGGCTGCCATCATCTTCAACGGAAAACCCTGGGAGAAATGTCAAAGAAATGACCGATGAAGGGAAAGGAAAAGTCAGGTATTGTGGAGCATGGGCTATTGCAAAAGTGAAGCATGCATGTCGAGAATACTTCAAGGCTCACATTCATTCTTCCGATGCTGATGTTCGAGTCAAAGCCAGAGCTGAGTATTTAAAGGCTCAACTGTTGACACAGCTCACATGGTCAAGCAGTACTGCTCAGCAGAATTCAAAGTATAAAGAGACATTAAATGTCACTTTGTCAAGGAAGTACGAGAAAGGGACACTCGTGCATATTTCAGACAATCTCTTTGAGTGGGTCCTTGACTTAGAGCAACAGAGAGTTAATCTCTTTAACAGCAAGATGATGGCCGTGCATCAAGAAAACCTAGTTGAAAATGGGCTGGCAAATATGTTTGCAAATAGCCAGCTTTTGGAAAAGTGGAAAGTAATGTTTTCTGCCACTGACTGTTTAGTTCCTGCAGCTGATGTAGATAGCCTGGTGGTTAAACTATTTAAGGACGTTGTTACTCGTTATGTGAAGATGGGAGTTGGAGAGTTCATGCGTGACTTTCGTAGAGACTTTCAACTTCACAAGACTGAAGCACACCGCAAGAAGGTGGCTGAAAAAAAGAAGAAGAAAGATTTAGTTTCAAGTAAGGTGACAGTAGCATCCATCAAGGAAGACTCTTCAGCCAACAAGCAGAGTTCCCATCAACGTCTGCAAGCAATGCTGGTGCAACAAGGAACAATTTTCCAAAGCACAGTGTACACAAAGGGTGAGGTGCAAATGATATGCAAGGTGTATGGTGTTTCCTTTAGGCAGTCTGACACTAAGGCAAAGCTGTCAGAAAAACTTGTCGAAAAAATCCAAGCGTCGCAACATATACTGCATCCAGATACCTTGGATGAATCAGCACAGGGACAGCAACCAGGACCCTCTGCAGGAGCTACAACTGCCAGGAACCCCAACCCACTAGGGTATCCTTCAACAACCCCACAAGGTGTGTGAAACTGTCTATTTAACTGATTTCTTAAAATAACCTTGCTATAGAAGCTTGTATAGTCAAAGTACATGGAATAATAATGGTCCTGGTTGTTACTGAATTGAATCGCTGTCTGATTTCTTGTCATACACAAGAGAACAGAGAAAACAGTGGCCAACAGTAGTTTTGTGATAAAGGCATTGACGCTTTTTTACATAGTTTTCTTTTCTGGCACAGCTCTATAAAATCCCAAAGTGGCTTTTTCCAGACTGTTAGATTATCCGTGTAATTTTCTTTTTTTAAAATAAAATGTATGTTTTGAATTTGAAATTACCATTGGCTAACAATGGCTTTGTTTTAAATCAACTACCAGTAGATAATATTATTGTTATCGATGTTGTGTTGAAGGGAGAAGTTGACAACAAATTATTTAGTTGGTAACTTATGACCACATTCCATACATCCCTTCAACTGAGCATTTTGCAAACTTCTTGACTGATTATTGTGTTTTTTTATTAAACAATGTACAAGGAATACATTTACATTACAGCTGTGAATATTGTTTAAAGTGGTTGCAACACAGCTTCACAAAGCCACTTCTTCATCATAAGTGAACATTCCTGCCCTAAATGCTTACCCCTTTGCTTGTAATACTGTTGTTGAAATTATTTTTGTATTGATGTTTCATGATTGTATTATTTACACAATATTATACATATTTTTTACAGTTTCTGCAAGTAATGTAACCATCCTGCCTCCCTTCCCTGTGGCTACTGTGACAACCATCACAGCCCAAAGCGACACATCTTCTGTACCATTGCAGGGTAAGTACAAAGCTGTGCATCCATATGTTATCTGTTTTTTTTTTCAAATTTTTTAGCTATTTCCATTTCCCAGAGACATGAAAAAAAAATCTTCGGTGGTTCAGCTACATTTATTGTGCAACCCTTACAGTATTTATCTCTCATTTAGAGATCTGTGGAAACTCTTTTTCCTCTGCTATTCAATTAGAAAATAATTCTATTCTTCAAATTGCACTTTTTCAGATGTGTTACAAACTGCTTTATATGAATTTCTCTCACAGGAACCAGCAATACTACCCGGGAAAGTGCGTCATATGCACCAAGTAGAAAGAGGTTTAAGCCAACAAGAGAAGAAGAAGACATTCTTCGAAATGACCAACTGGCAAATGAAGCTATGTCCAAAGCATATGAACGCGCTGTTCAGTTTAACACAACTTTGAAAGCTATAATAACATGGCATGAAAAACATCAATAGTGATCGAAATTTCTATTTTTTTTTTTCAAGTAACTTAACTTAATGAAAATCCTGAATAGAATGAAGGAAAACTAGCGTGCAGGTTAGCTAAGTAGTGATCTATGTTACTCTATGAAAGAGTTGAATGGTCTCGTGATTAGGATTTATGCTTAGTTTGTAAATGTGCCAAATGAGACACTTGTACCCCCTCATGAAATTTCTCCATTATATGTAATGCGCTGACTTAATTAAATTTAACCTGTTCACTCCCAGAGGTGGCCACATTCAAAAATTGAAAAAAAAGTCCCAAATTTTATTCAGTAAAACGCTGGAAGACAAAAGCACGAGACAGATAGTGCCATGTGAAAATTAATATTAAAAAAAGAAAAGCCATTTGAATGGAAACACAATATGATTTCATCCACAGAATGAAAAACTGTAAACACCTGATAATACCACTTCATTTACTCTGGGAGTGAAAATTTATTTGAGGTTCCCATTTTTAAAGAATGTTAGGTTCTCAACTGAGCCAGTGTTACTGCAGTTGGTTGTAGTTGTCTGACCAAGTAGGATACTATTCATAGTTGGGCCATACTGGGCATATGTTGGGTTTGAATTTTGCCCATTGTGGCCCCTTTCTTGGCAAAAAATGTTTTCGACCAAATTGCTGTTTGTGCGCGATGGTGAAATTGTAGACCCAGGAAATCGTGAAAAGGCAATTTTGCATACTTCTTGGAACCCAATTATCATTGACGAAATATCAAATCTAAGCTTGTAGGATAAAAGGCGTTTTGCTCTCTCCGCCTTGCTCAGTTCTTGGTGACCTTCTGCATCCTGTTCCCACTTTTGTAGGTAGGTTAGCACCTGTTCATTCAAAACCATACGATGGTCATGTAAACTGCTTATTGGTCTTCTGTCTGCAAATGTATCCACCAGTCTACTCATCATATCCACAAACTCAATTGTTCCATCCAGGTAATCAGCTTCTTTTCCCTGTCCTTGGAGGTGTCTTTTGTATGCCTTTTTGGATGCAAACATGAGATAGCATAGTCTGAGATCAATAGAACTAACAGGTCAAAAAAAGAAAGAACTTTTGTGCCTGTACCTTTCAAGCCCCTATTCGTAAAATATTTGTACAAATTCTCATTACTTATCCAGAAACTTTTCCTTACATAAGGTTAGGTGAAGTTGACTGTTGCAGATCAAGTCATTTCATTTCTTGACCATGACCTTAAATAATAATTATTTTTTGTGCTATTATAGAAGTGGTTACTGGGAAAAGAGCCCTAAGTTACTCCTTAGTCTTCAATGCAAATGTTTTGTAACAAGGGGAAAATTTACCCCTATGTCAAGAGTCACAAAGGGCACTTTTCCATGCATTTAAATGATGCCTTGAAGGCTGGGCTATTGAGGATCACCTTTTAAAATGCACTTCTGATTTCAAAATGCATCATTTTGAAAATTAAAATTAAAATAAGGAGATCAGCAGAGACTAAAATACCTGCTGCCAGTTGTTCAAAAGGTGGATAGCACTATCTTTTAGATAAGTCACTATCCAGTATTTATAGAAAACCCAATTGCATTATTCGCTGGATAGTGATTTATCCGGTGGATAGCGTTGTCCACCTTTTGAACAACTGGGGCCAGTGTTAAAACGACTGAAAAATAACGGCATAAGAATTTCATCTGCAACAGTTTGTTAAGTGCTAGTTTCGGAGTTACACGTACCTGCAGGAGATATAGCATTTTTTTGGAGAGAACATCTTCTGCCAAGTGGTTTCTCATCCTAGTTGCATAGCCAAGGGTAAAATGATCCTCAGTCAAGCGTTCATGGATCTTGAGTGTATTGCTGGATTGGTCCCATTTGTATGCTTTATATAAGTGACTCCACTGGATGGTCTTGTTTCCAAACTGAAGAACTCTGACTCCCCCATGCCGGCTCTTCTCAAGGTTGTTCCTTAGCTTTTTGATGTTATGCTGAAAAAAAGGAGAGACGTTTTAATAGCTACATGTATGCCCTAATAAACTTCAAGTAGCAGGTTGCTCATTCCAGTTTTCCAAAAAAAAAAATCATAAGGATGCAATAATGCAGACTTCACCTTAGATTTTGCTGAGGAACTTAATGAAAATGAAGAACTCAAGTCTTATTGGACCATGTCTTAAGTGCTATGCTTTATGTAGCTGTGTTACTTACGGATGGATCCAACAAAAAAACCATTGGCTTTCTGGTGTAAGGGTTGATTGTTGTAAATCTTTCATTTACTGGATCCTTTTCCTTAAAATGCATTTTTATAAAGCTCCTGTTAGCTTCACCGCCATCACAACAGCAGAAGTTTGTCTGAAACCCAAACCTCTTTAGCCACCCAACTGCTTTCCAAAAATTGGTATATAAAGATGCAGGATCAGCTTCTTTGGTTGGGAAGTGTGCAAAAGGAAATCGGAAGCCATTATTTCCCAAGAACACAAACTGCAATACATGTGATGCCACATCAATAGTTTCCTTTCCTGAAAGAATAAAATGAAACAAATGCAATGATGAGTAAACAATTAAACACTGTTTTCAGTGCAGTCCCAAATAGCTAATTCAGCCGAATATGAAAATCATACTTTATCTAAGTGAAAAATATATTTCTACTTATAGAGATGTGAAGGGCCTTTTTATTATAATTTCTAATATGAGAAATGAGGTGAAGTCTTTAACCTGAAATAATTGTCTGCATTCGCTGATGCTCCTCTCCTAGGGACACAAGGCCTACCAGCTGCCATTTTCCATCAATGGACCTCATTTGCAAGTCTTCCTATATATGATAGCAGCAAAATTCTGTTAATTTTTATGACATGAAATGTGCAGTTTATTTTGATGTTACATGAATGCCAAGTTTATAGGACAGATAGATGTTAAAAGAATGTTTATGGTTTCCAAAATAATAATATATCAGTATTTTGTATGTTGTTTTGTCTTCATTTTTTTCATTTGGTCTAAAATCCTTTGTCATGAAGGACAAGTCAAAGGATGAAATACATTATAATTTGCCATGTCCTATATTGCTATCCCCTCCCACCCCACTTTAAGATGACTTGTTAATTTATTTCCTGGGAAACTTACTTGAATGGCCATTTCATCCAGTATGATACCCCCCTCTCTGCCCTCAGGTCCCAATTTTCTTTTTGTAGCCTCTTGAGCCATCCACTGCCCTACTGATTCATTCAGTCCAGGATTCTGAGCACAGGAGTTTTTGTACATTTGCAAAAGTCTCCCAGATGGTAAGGTTAGCATGCCACTTGCTCTTAATTCTTTATATGCCTCGGGGCTTCTGTTCCATATAGACAAGCAGAGCCGAATAACCCTGTTAAAGAGGAATACATTTGGTGGCCAAAAATTTATTGTGCTGTTGCAGAAGAATTCCCCATGCCCCCCTCCCCCCCCTCAAACACTCCCCCCCCTCAAACACACACACACACACACACACACACACACATACAGAGGGTTTTTGGTTCGAACCCCCCTTTCCCTCTCCAAATTCCAGGTTACAGTCATGTTTTCATTGACTATCATAACCCTCTTGCACCTGGAGTATCCAATGATCCTCCATGGGGTGGGCATGGATATCATTTGAAAACTGCAAATTTGAAGAAATGAGAACCTGAACATCAGCAGCTATTCTATGCTATTGTCCAGGAATAATCCTGAATAGAAAAGAGTCCAGCTCAACATGCCACATCAACAACAACCACATTGTGTGCTTTAGAATATTTGTGAATATAGAATATTGTGTACCATAGATTATTTTTTTAAACACCTCCAAATAGGACATCAAGGGTCAAACCATTAAACATCTTACAACACTATAATTTTAAAGTTTAGCTATTGTTTTTAAGTCCTAAAACATTACACTTTAAAACAATTAGGTAATTGGCATTGATTGGGACCTAGAAAGCTGTAAAGTACATAGGAGGTCTATTTTAAATCAAGAATACTCACTTCGGGTGCCACCTGTATCCCATTGGACTCTTTTGGGACAATACCTTTTCCTGTACCTCCCAGAAGACTCTCATGTCCTCACTTAAAGATGCCTTTTCGACACTATGAAAAATATGAGAGAAATCCTCGTGATCTTCCTTTCCAAAAACCTTCATTTCGTCCTCAACCTTCCGTCTTAAATAGTGTAGCCTTCTTTCTGCGTTCTTTCTCCTGTTTTGCTCTTGACGTAGCTTTTCCCGCAACTCCTCTTCAGACATGTAACTCTCCCGCTTTTTAGCTGCCGGCTTTGACCCTTCCACCACACAGGTAACAGAGCAATTTCTTTTCACCTTTGTGCATGGTTCGCACAGTTGATTCGGGCTTCGATTGTACTCAGGCAATAGAACATGACACTGGGTGGAGCGGAGGTGCAAGACGACGGTCCCACCATCACGGCTACACCACTCTTCGGTGGTACCAACTGTCATCCCAGTTGTGTCTTTGGCAGTCCGTTTTGAGGGAACAGGGAAGCCTTTACATAGCCGATACTTGCTCAAGACATCGAAGAGGTAGGAAACTAATTTTTTTGATGCCCCAAGTTCGAAGATACCCACGGTTTCTTTGGCCACTTTTCGGCTGTTGACGTGTACTGCAAATGTCCAGTCATTAAAGATTTTCAGTTCTTTCAATACTCTGTTACCTTCACATATTTCTTGTGACTGGACTTTTACCCACTCGAAGAAATTGTCGCTTGAACTTGACAAAAGCCAACCAAACTCTTTCGTGAAAGTGGGCAAGTCTTCCCACTTTACTGTGTCTATTTCCAAATTTGATTTTTTCGAAAGTGGATACTGCCACGTTCGGCAACCGTTTACCCTCCGCTGGACTCTATTCGCCTCTGGAAAAACTTCTCTTAAAATCCTTCCCAGTTCGATGACTTGTAATTGAAAATTTTCCTTTTCGGGGCAGTTCTTCAAATAATCTTCGAGTATTCCTTGCAATGATGTAAAGTTTCGGTCGTCTATCTGATAATTCATTGAAAGCCTACAAGTGAAAAGGTAAAAATAAGTTTACCCTGACCGTTCCATCAGGAACTCAAATACGATATTTCTTTGCTGGAATCTCTTACCATTTAGATACGAAGACGTGTTTCTCCCTGTTCGTCAGTTTCACTTTCTTCGGCTCGGGCTGGTTTTCGCGCAAAGGAGCAGGTCTTTTCAAGTTACAACTTTCCATCTTTAAATCTCCCTCCTCAACAGCTGATGTTTTGAACATCGAATTAGTAACGGTCTGCTGCTCTTCCTTTTCCGGTCTCATTCACTTCCGTCACCAGTTGCTGCGGTCCACATCCGACAGATCACGTGGTACGAGTTTCATCCCTTGTCTCTTTCTTTCTCTCGGCACTTCGTGCCTCGCTCGGAAAGCTTCGCTTTCCGAAGACGCTCCGCCGAAGGCAAACGAAAAAGCCCACGAGCGCTTCATTCAGCGGTTGTTATGTTTCAAAATAATGGCGGTCGGAAAGAAACGTTGAGCGAAAGGGAAGATCGAAGGGAATTGTTTAACGGTTAAACGGCTTCAGAATGATCACACACGGAGAATTAACAGATTACAGCCATCAAAGAGGTAAGAGATTCTTTATTATCTAATTCAAACTGAACTCCTCTGCTCCCTGTGTACTGGCTGCAAAAAAGGGCCTTTTATTTAGAAAATGACTAGGAATATAAAATAGAATGATAAATACCTTTTCGGTGTTCTGTTGCTGAACATTTTCTGGGACCTAAAAAATAGGCAAACTTCAGCGTTTTATGACAAGGTTGTCGTGAACTCGAAGATTTGTGATGTAAATGAACACTTGGACGGCCTGCCATTGAGCGAGCCGTTGCTAAGTGTTATCCAAGCACGTGACCAAATTCTGCAAAGTGCCCAGCCTGAGAAAACAGCCGACGTTTCGCGACGTCTTTACTGGTTTCACAGACTTCATTTGGCGAGGAAACCAGTGACGTCGGCTGTTTTCTCAGGCTACAAAGGGCCTATTACACCATCCGCGCGCGTTCATGTGTTCCAACTCATGACAATTAGGTTTGATTTATATAATTTTCACTACGTTTCTCTATTGAGTGCTTAACTGAAAGAACCCTGTCTGGTACCTTTGTTTCGTAGTCGGGTATTTCCATTGCTTCTCGCAGTTTTGCAAGCTGGCCGTTCAGTTTTTCCTTCTTGCCTTCCAACTTTGTCATTTCCTTAGCTACATCCACAAGTCCCTGAAAAATACAACACATCACTCTCACTCCAGCTCCATTGGTCTGCGGTTCTCTGTTACCACCAGTTAACATTTTGTCAACATTCTACCTTTGAACTAGTTTTTTTTAGACCTATCACAGCTTGCTAGATTATATCTTTTTATGCTTTTAACTTCCTTCTACGTTTAGCCCCGTTAAACAAAACTGCCTGGAATGACATTTACCCAAAACGAAAGTCACACAAGTTTAATGAACAACGCCGCCTCGGTGACAGAAGAAGGTGGCCATTGTAGAGAAGTGGCTGATATAGAGAGGTTGAAACAAGAGCGAATGTATGGACTGTCCGCCAAAAAAAAGGCCGTTGTAGCGAGGTGGCCGTTAGTGGGGGTTCGACTGTAAGTCCAATGTACCTGTATGATAGATAATACTGAAATTTATGAGGTTACCTTGAGAAGGACATGCACTTCGCACTTGTCAGAGACAGTGGCCACGGCGCATCCTTGTGGCGGTTTCTCCTCACATACAACATGGATCCTGTCAAGGTTGACAATTAATAGGATTTGCTTTCATCAAACAGTAGAATACAGATTTGACAAGGGGGAGTTACTTCCATTCACAATATTAGAAACCAGAAATAATGGGCTGAGTTAACTTTCGCAAAGACTTCTGGGACAGCTACCGGGGACAGGAAAAAAACTGAGCCAATAGCTGACTAGGGGGTCCCCAAGAACAATCCCGGAAGTCTGCGCGAAAATTATCTCGGATCAGTTTCGTTCTTGTATACTGTTCGATAGAAAGACAGTTACCTTTCACTGTAGCTCAGCGTACAAGCAGTGTCTGCATATTTGGTGACGACCTCTGCCAAAGACTGTTCAGAAAACACCACATAAACTGTAGAAAAAGAACGCGGACTGAACTTAAGCTGTTTACAGCAAGAGAGCTTAGGGAAGAAACCAAGTCGACGAAGGAGATCAAGGTAAGTAATAATCTGAATTCGCGTTGTGTCAAACTTCGTGGCGGTTATTCTAGCTTGCTTAAATTGTAGAATTTATCCGGAGACAAATTTCTCCGTCGTGCGTTCATTTCCTCCAAATTACAACTGGTAACAGAGGACAATAAAGAAATGTTCAAAATAGTGCAAGGCACGTTCAGAGTAGTTGTTTTTTTTGCTCACTGAAACTATTGTTTCCAATTCTTGACGCTATCGTTGCTGTTGCCACCGGCAACTGTTCATGTTACTCTAAGGATGCATTTCTTTAGGATGATCTGGATCAGGATCAGTGATCCGAGATCACTCGGATCATGATGCATCAAGGAACCGATGAATGCTTGCCCGGTTCGCCCTTAAGATGCATCACGATCCGGGTGATCACCTGACCCAGATCTTTCCAAAGGAACGCACAATATGTAAACGACACCGACTGAGATAATACCTTCAGGTTTGGCTTTTGTCAAGTTGTATTCCTGACGAATAGAGCGGATTGTTTTTACAATGCTCTGTACCAAGCTCATTTCATCTTCAATAGCGCTGTCTTTCCAAGGAAGCTAAAAAGGGAGCAAAACAGAATCAAGACCACGTTTCTAATCACAATTTCACGATGCACAGAGGAGGCAAAAACGCTTCCAACACTTTAAGCCCAAAAATCCGCATACTAATTCTCCAGACTGTTCTCTATACATCTTCCTAAAGAATTAGATAAGAAAATTTGATTTAAAAAAAATCAGAGCAATTTTCCCTTTCGTGATCATTTTATAAACTCTTATGACCTTTTTACTAGATGATGTATTGATTTTGGTTGATGTTGGACACTCTTAACACTTAAAGAGTTAAGATTGTTCATTAAACGTATTCCTCATCACTGAAATAAGGACGTATTTCTCTCTTGAAAGCCCACTTTTCTCGATCTTTTCCCTTCTACCTTTTGCTCCCCTTCACCCCTCCCTCAAACTATCACTTACCCCCTCCGGGTAGGGTGTGACACAGATGCTTGGGGGTGATTCATCACGCCTGCGCGGTAACCGTTGATAGAGTTCCTCCGTCACGAAAGGCATAAAAGGACTGAGAAGAATTAGCCCATTCTCCAAACAAGTGTAGCTTGCAAGTGTTAAGAAAATCATGGACTTGTCACAATGAAGTAAACCTAATGATACGATTGAGTCGATAACATATAAAGAAACAAATTAGCTTGCACATTTTAGCAAAAAGGTAACCAACGCAACCCGATGGTTTCAAGTGGCGTGGCTACCGAGTTAAGATTGCTGAAAGGATACAGTGTGTTGCGCGCCGTGTAAATTGCCTCTTGGTTGCCATTTTGTATAACTGGCTTGAGGTACTCCTTCAAGATAAAAACAACAACACTCTTTAAGTTAACATCTTGGAAAAAGGAGATAGTTCTGCAGGATAAATGTCAAAAGAGAAAGCAATTATAAATGATAAAATCTACAACTGACTCTGCGGCTACGTGAAACCATTTGTCAGGTAAAGGCTATTTCTAAACAACAGGTGTTATTGAATAAACCTTTTATCGAGGAATATGACAAAATTTTGGATCTGCAAATGGTTGCCTTTCAAAGAATTTCTCCAGTCTTAAGCGTTGTTTTCTGTTTCGTTTTGTTTTGTTTTGCTTTTTTGATACTGTTGTTTCTAGTCAGCGTCTAGTTTAATGGACGTCCATGGAGTGAGATTATATAGCACGTTTCGTTTTTGTGGTGAGCGTGCATAATTATTGCATAAATTATGCAATAATTATGCACACCGCCAATATGCCATAGCAGGCCAAGGCGCTATAAGTACTTGATATAGTATGAATTATGACGTAATGGGTTTAACTTTCGTTTCAATTTGGATGTTGTGATGTATTACACAAAGTAATTTTTCTCTTACCAAATAAACATCACACAGCTCGTACAGCCAAAAGTTATAAATGGCCGTAGTGGCTGATGGGAACTCATAATTCTTGAAGCCTTCATTGGCTGTTTTCTCTGCATCAGATAGCCGGCTCAAAATCCAGCGGTCTTCAAGAGTCTCATTGCCGATCAGCTATGTAAAAAGAACAAAGCAAGGTTGAGCAAAAGTTGTCGACTGGAAGACTTATTTTTAGCCTCTTGCTGCACAAGGCAAAATACGTTTCGCACTAACAAATACTAAATCAGTATCGACGTTGGAATTCTTATTTCAAAATGTCCGCTTACAATTAAATTCTAAACTGATAGCAACTTAAAGGGATGTTTTTTTTTTTTAAAAAAATTCTTTCGAAAAGGATGTCGGAACAGTAGCTTTCACATAAAATAAAACACCTGAAACAAATAATTCAAATCAAATTGACAAGGTTAAGAATCCAAACTGGCCTAACGAACCACGCTACTTAAAAGCGTGGCATAGGATTTGAACTCCAGACTACCGTGAACAAATCTAGGTAGCGGTCAGGGTGACAGGAGTTGAATTTGGGGCCTTCGAATTGAAAGTCCAGCGTTCTAACCGCTCGGCCACGCCGCCTGATTAATAAATAAAAAGGAATGTGCCCAAAATTTGCTTCTCTTCTTCCTGGAGAATGACCGTTGATTGAGTGACCGACATACGACTTTTAAAAGAATTACTAAAAAATAAAATGCCTAAAAGTATCTGAGACTGTATGCCAAATAAAACGTTTCTTTCCCAGTATTTGCGGATACTTTACCTCTGGTTTGTCGTTTGGTTTGAAGTCAGTTCCCAGGCTACCGAGCGCGAACTTAGTGGCGTTCCACAGTTTGTTGCAGAAATGACGATAACCTTGTACACGAAGAACGTCCAAATTGATGTCTCGTCCTGTTAAGTAAAGCAATAAAACAATGATTTAATCAAGAAAATTGTACGTAATTGCTAAATTACAAAAACTGGTTACAAGACTTCAGAGGTTGTGCATCGTGTTATTGCTACCGCTCTGTTTAAGTAAATTATTTAGCAACGAAGCTCTAAGCACTACGCCACCCTTGCTCCCCAGTATTGTAAGAACTTCATACATGACCGTAGATTATAGTTCAATGGCGAATGTTTTTGGCTTCAAGCCTTATCCATAACTAATGATTGAACCACGATTGAACCAACTTTTTTTGAGTCAGTTTCTGTAAATATTGTTTTTTTCTTTTCTTTGTTTTTTTGTTTGTTTATTTTTTTTTTACAGCCAATTCACTTTAGAGTCGTCTAGTCTATCTGCGGCGGAAACGAAACAAACGTAACCACTCCGCAAAATCTCACAAAACCAAACAATCTTATCTACCAACAAGAACAAGGCCAACGCAGTGTAGCGACATTCTTGACCTCAGAGCTCTCGCGCGCGAAGTCAAAAGCGTGAGCTCTGGGGTCGAGAATGAGTTTAGCCAATGCAAAGGGAGGGATAGCGCATGTCAGCAAGGCACAATTGCTTGATGTTGTTTCTTATTGGTTGGAAACGAGGCACAGCATTAATTTCTCCGCCAAACACAAAAACAGCAGAAATACCTCCCGACCCTTGACTAAAACAACATGATCTCTCCATTGTTACCACTCATTTCACAAGGTATCAACGATATTTTGTTAAAAGATCAACACATTTTTAGCAGATTATCTTTGGTGACCTTTTCTTTTATTCTCCTTACTTTTATGTTTAATTAATTGATTACTGATTATTGATACTATAAAGAGAAATAAGACACTGATCACTATTAGCAACTAACCTTGTGCCGTGTAAGCACAGAGTGCAAACCGAAGCGCATCAGTACCGCACTCGGGGATACCTTCAGGGTAATCTTCTTTCTGTAATAAAAAAATTCCATGCACCGATTATCAAATTTCGAAACAACAACATCACGACAACGTTTGTCTTTAAACTAATGAGGTTCTCTTTAGGACTACAGCCCCTCGTTTTTGTTGCCTTAAAGGGTCTGCATCACAGCAATCCAGTCCATTTTGTTACGTTTTGTCAATTACTCGTCCTTAATGAAAAAAGTATGTTTGAAATGAAAGAACTTAACAGCTAGAAGCTTCTTTACACTAACCTGCCCTTTTCTAGCGCGTTCAATCTCTCTTGGATCCAAGTTACTGTTTTCAAGCTGGCTGTGAAGGCCCTGAAGACAAAAGCCAACAATTGTTATGAAAGATCAGTTATGTTGTAGAAAAAAGAACTGCACTGGACAAAGATTGGATCTAAAAAACAGGGAACTCTTTTTAAAAACCGTGGCAGATTATCTAAATCGCTAGAGTGCTTGGCTGCAGAGTGGGAGGTCGCGGGTTTAATTCCCGGGGTCGGACCAATACCAAGGGTCTTCAAACGACTGAGAAATGAAGCTACTACCTTGCAAACGGCTGCAAACGGCTTGACCTTCATGCGCGTGGCTCGGATGACCACGTAAAATGAGGGTCTCGTTTTCCGTGGGAGACGTAAAAATAGTGTTCCCAGTTGGTACTTTCATGCTAAATACATTGACGCTCAAGTAAAATGCTTTTTCCAGTAATCTCAGTAAAATTTTCCTTGAGTTTAACTAATTTTTACAGGTAAGCTGAATCCAAAGTAATAGATATAAAAATTAACCAAAGTAAACAACACCGGTTCTAAAATAACCAAGACCTACTTCAAGCGATACACCCTTGATGACGTCAATGGGATCGATGACGTTGCCAAGAGACTTGCTCATTTTCCTGCCATGCGCATCTCGCACCATTGCGTGTAGGAACACTTCAGTGAATGGCAGCTGACCAGTGAGCTTGAGGCCCAGCTTTACCATCCGGGCGATCCAGAAAAACAGGATGTCGTGTCCAGTCTCCAACAGTGTACCTGGATAGAAGACTTTGTAATCGTCAGTCTGTAAGGAAAAAAAACTTATGGATTAACAGTTGCTTAGAGTCTGACAAAAATCAACTCTTTACAAAATGCTAAGGTAACTGAAAAGAAATTGGACTCGTCAGAATGCTATTCACGAATTTAGCACTATCAGGAAGTGCGTTTTTGTCAACAAAAGACTGAAAATTTGTAGACGTGTGTTTTCCCGCGCTTTACTTCGACTACATTCATTTAATTCGAATAGTGAATGGTCTATTTATTTGTCTGTGTCTATTGTGATTGTCAGAGTTACTAGTTCTACAAAGTACTGGTGACAATAAATTAAAAACAACTTTCACATGGTCAACAACCACAATTAAAAAAAAAAAACATTCCGAGGCTATCGTTACCTCTTCCGGCCAACCAAATATGGAGAACGGGAACAAGCCAGAGGAGAACCACGTGTCTAGTACGTCCTCATCTGTAACACAACAATGCTAACTTTAAAAAATCATGCATCAGATGGTGTCTAATAATACGTCGTTTGATGACATTTCTACACCTCCAACGATCATATGAAATCACCAGTGGTATAAATTGCTCTTTTTTTCGCCCGTCAAAATATCGCGACCAGGGGTGCTCACATGTACCATTTACATGAATCACCCGGGTGGAAATCTTGTGCATAAACATAAACAGAATAGCGCGAACTATTTGATTTTCCATCTAAATGGTAAGTACCCCTGGTCCTCACTGCGCATGCTGTGACAGCTCGCAAGCACGTGGTCAGGAACCGACGAAATTTCGAGTAAGGCCATAATTTCTATGTAGTCGGCAAAAGCTTCAAAAAAGTCGTTAACTTCTGTATAGCTCCATAATTCACCTTGCTTCAAAGTGATCTTCTCTGGTGCCACATTGAACCTTTCTGCTGCTTTCTTTAGAACTTCTTCTTCTGTTCTCCCACTGCGATAAAAAAAGTACAAATCATTTCCACGTGTGCATTTTTGTATATCGTTAAGAAACAGTGGAAACCATCGTGGCTACATAAGAGTAACAGGTTCCTACCTGATCCAGTATTTGCCATCCGTGTCCTGAAAAAGACAACCATAAAGTTTTCACCTTCGTCTTTATTGTCGCGTAGTCAAACATGTATAAAAACCGTCAACTGGTTTAAAAGAAACTGCGAGAGGCAACTTTATGCTACGACAGCGAACAGTCCCTAATTTTTATTGAGTCTATCGAGTCTGCAGTGTTAATCAAAACTCGCAAACTGTGCGTTCTTGCCTGATCATCTCAAACAGCACTGACTTAGTGCTGTTAATTAAAACCAGGAATTTTCACAAAAGACACTTTCTCACCTCCCCTGGTGGAACACTAGGATCGTCCACGGTTACAAAGTACGCTGGGATCCGATGACCCCACCAAAGCTGCCTGGAGATGCACCAATCTCTAAACAACAAAAAACGGTAATAATTAAAAAAAAAACAATGCGTTAAAATACCTACAATACCAAAAGCCGTCGTATATTAGAACACAAGCTGTCCAAAATTGTTCTAAGAGGGAGTGTTTGGCCCAAAATCCACCCTTCTCCTAGTGGGACACAAAACACCCAGGGGACCCGTGCCAGTTAATTTTTTTCCGCTTGGTCGTGTGATTTGCTCGCTCAGATTTGCCGCTTGTTTTAAAGATGAAATGCATCTTACATTTTACGGTATATAAACTAACATAAAATACATTGTAAAAAAAAGAGAGAGCGAAAGAGAGCAAGTAGGATTGGGAAAAGAATGCATGATTGCAAGGAGGGAAAAGTGGGTTGTAGTCAGTAAACATCACTAACCTGCAGTTTTCCAGCCAGTTGTACCAGATCTTCTCATGCATACTTGGGATGATTTTCAGATCCCCGTTTCGAACAGCCTGCAGGTGGAATGTAAAAAACTTCAGTCCAGTTGTTCGGGCTTGATGGATAAAAAAGGGTATAAGTGGGCTGAAAGGAATATACACGATAAAGTAAACAAACGAACAAATGAAGAACGTTGGGATTCAGAAATGACGGATCCTCTGAACCTTGAGTAGCAAGGAGCATTATGTTTCTACTAGTTTACCTTCACTGCCATGTCTGCCATTTCCTTACAGTCAACATACCACTGAGGCTTGATAAGGGGCTCCACAATGTCTTTAGATCGACTAGAAGAAAATTAAAATTCACCATCATCACCTCTAGCGTTGCACATAAGCACATATCGGCATTCTAGTCCTTAGCAGTACACAGGATGTTTGCTACATGAACCAAGTTTAGTGATCTTATCTCTCACAACTCTCTTGTTGCTCAGTGATGAGGTATCTGCAGTGGTAACCAGAAGGTCATAGGTTTGACTTCTATTGGAGTGTTCGGAGTTTTTTGTTCCGAGACACCTGTGTCACTGACTGAAAAATCATCTTTCTCAGGAAAATTAAACTACCCAAATAGAAACAGACATGCTGGTAGGGTGCGAATCCGATCACACAGTGTACCTGCAGATGGGCACTACCATTTGGTTGTCTTCTTTCTTTATGAACAGGCCTTTCGCGGTGAGAGCATCAAGTACGACTTTTCTCGCGTCAAATCTTTTTAAACCCTACAAAGAATACACAAATAAGATTGTCAGCCCTTCTATAAACTCCTATTTTCTTTGTTCAAGTACATTCACTTGTGTTCTGTATTGAGACTTATTTCGATGGTAATTCGTCCAAATCCTTGTCTATTAACTGCGTATTTACACCTCTGATCACCTCTTTACAACTTCTGAGAGCGACATTAGGGGTACACACGGTTCTTGCGGCTTTGCACACAATAGCCTTCTATGCTCTAACCAAGGCTTATGTCAAAGACAGACTAAAGTGGACTCTTTTTTTCCATTTTCTTTTCGACGGTTGTTTTCCAAAGTAAAAAATTAAATTAAAAGTAAGGATCTATTGGCCAACTGTCCTTTAGGAGGCGCTTCGTGTAAACCTTACTTTTGCAGTATTTTTTGTTTTTTGTACGAACTGCTCGTGCAGCGTATGCAAATTTACGAGGTGCACGTGCAAATCGTGCAGAGAACAAAATATATTGCAAAAGTCGGGTTTACATGAAGTACCACAAAACAGAAATTTAAAGAATATTATGGTATTTTCCGCTTTGGCCTCACGAAAGCAACAGAGAATTAGCGTTCACATGAATGGTTCAAATCTTACACTTGGTCATTCAACTATAACTTGTTAGCGGAACAATAGTAGGGTTGCTATGGACCAAACTGGAAACTTACAGCAAAATGTTGAAACTCTGGATAAAAATCCTTAACATCTTTAATGTTTCCATTATCATCAATCATAGTCACAAATGACAGGTTGTGTCGCTGGCCAACTCCGTAATCATTGTGATCATGAGCTGGAGTTATCTTGACAGCACCTTGAATAAAACGAACAAAGAATTCAACCGCGGCAGGATTAGCTCAGTCGGTAGAGCGCTTGGCTGCAGAGCGGGAGGTCGCGGGTTCGATTCCCGGGGACGGACCAAAACTCAGGGTCTTAAAATAACTGAGAAAAGGAAGGTACTGCCTTTACACTGCAAGCAGCGAGACCTTCGCGCGGCTCAGACGACCAAGTAAAATGGCGGTCCCGTCTCCGGTAGGGAACGTAAAACTAGTGTCCCTAATTAGTACTTTCGTTCTAAATACATTGACACTCAAATAAAGTGCTTTTTTCCGTCAAATTTTACGAGCGCGTAAAGAGAATTTCCCAAATCACGAGGCGTAGCGGGGAATGGTAGTTTTATGCTCCACAGAACAAAAACCACGAGTGTCTTGTATTTTCCTGTCGGATTATCCACGAGTTCTGAAGCATAGTGTCACAAGAGGGACACATTACAGCGTTTAAAAGTGACGTTACACGAGACGATTCGCAAAGACGTTGGTATGAGCAAGAACTTGGAACTCGAATTTTAATGATTCATTTTTTTAGCTTGTAACTTGTTCCATACCTGTTCCAAACTCAGGATCAACAATGTCATCACAGACGATGGGTAATTTACGGTTACAGAAGGGATGAAGGGCAAACTTGCCATGAAGATGCTACAATAAAAAAAGAAAAAAGTATTTCTCAACTAATGAACAAAAAAAAAAGAAAAAGAATAAAAATCTAAAAGACAATAGTTAACCACGGTTAAGGCTCTAACGTAAACGCTCCAATATTTCGAAGGTTTTGAACAAAACGTGGAGACCCGATGGTTAATTTGTGTTTTCCTGTCTTCTCGTAGAAAAAAATTCCTGAGAAATCACAATCTGCACAGTTGTCCCAAAGAATATATTAACCCTTGATTAGCATCTCATTTCTCCTACGACATCACTGCTAAATCAAAGGTAAAGCTCATAAGTATAAGAGGAGAATAAAGGAGTTGATCAGCCAGTGAAAATGGTCTTGACTGTTACATAATTCTCCACATCAGTACGGTGCACCATAAACAGAAAACAGTGTAGATAATATGAATGCTGACGTCAAGCACTTAAGACTTCCCGCGGTTTCAAAGTACACAACCTGATCATGTGCGAGTGAGTTTTGTTTGCCCTGGCTGTAAGTCGCAGTGTTGGCCCTACACTAATTAGTCTTGACGTTTTGGCACACGGCACGTGACACGTTCTTATCCAATTGGGAGACGCGCTTGAGTTGCGAGGTAAGGCAATTCCCAATTAATTGTTTTGTTGTTGTTAGACGACGTTTTTTTGACAACGCCGTCGAGGGGGCTTGGAGGGACCTTAAGCAAACACGACGACCACTGCGGCGACAGCGACTTTGACGGCAACGACAAACAGATTCGATGAGCAAAACAAGAGCTCTGCACGTGCATCACACTTTTTGGTACATTTCTTTGGCTAAGGCGTGATATGGGAGGCAAAGTTTTATAGAGGTCGTAAACATACGACAAAGAATTTTTCTTTCTTTTTCTGAATACCTGACAACTTTAGCGAGTTGGAGTAATCGCCAAAAAGATTGAAAGAATGAGAATTCACTTCAAAACCTCTTTTGCAGTTTAAACCAGGGAACAAATGAATGTGCAAGGAGAAGATGGCTTACTTTGTATCTAGCATCATTTGGATGAACGGCAATTGCGGTATCACCTAGCATGGTCTCCACACGTGTAGTGGCAACTATCAACTTTTCATCTGCAAATACACCACGGTGAGGCAACAATCCTTTGTTAAAGAAGCAAATTTAAAATCCCAACACAAGAATTTACAATAGTAAAGAAGGCCTATGGTTTACGTTAGTTTGTATCCCGTAAAAAGTTCCTCATACACAACGTGGAGCTCATTTCAAGTTCGACCGCACGTAGAGAGCTATGTAAAAAGTCTTGACTAGTAACAGAAATGAAGATACTGCCGTTGCCCGATAAATACCTAAACCTTCGTGTAGCTCGGATAACCACGGAGAAATAGCGGTCTCGTCTCACGCGACTGACATAAACTAGTATCCTCAATTAAAGCATAGGTGCTAACTGCATTGACACCATAGTTTATTAGAAGAACAAGTTCTTTAACTGAAAGCACTACCCCATAGTGTATAATAGACAACAAAATAATACATTATTTGCCCTTAAAATCTTAAGTCGTAGGTCAGATTAACAAGACGAACTCGGTGGACGAAGTTAGTTAACAGTATTGCTTTACCAGAATCTTCCACTGGGTAGGCAAAGTGCACCAAGACGCCAAATTCCACTTTGTGTTCATAACCTGGAACAGGTAACAATGTCCTGCCAGGTAAATCCTTCTTGTCAACCTAATTAAAACAGCGGGAAAATATTATCCTGTCATGTTCGACTGTAGACCCTTCTCCCCATATCCATCAAATAAGACAACAATTGAAGGGGTCCCTGGACGTACTCCCCAAGTGAGTTGATACACTGCTTGATTCTCCTTGCTATTTGCCTTACACATTCTTGTTAATCGAGGGGAGAATTTGAAATTAAATCAGGAGTCACTTGCGGCCTAATTCCGCACAACATTAACCCTTTAATTGCAGAAAGGTGCAAAGAACAGTACAAGGAACAGTATCTAAACTTACCTCAATATCAGAGATGGCAGAGTTCAGAGTGCAAGACCAGTTGACCAACCTTCTGCTTCTGTAGATCAGCCCTTCATCATGAAGTCTAACAAATGCCTCCTTCACTGCTCGGCTTAGTTTCTGCAATAAAAGAGTTCAGAAAAAGAAATACTTAGGGATCACTAAGACTCATAAGCTTCTCCTGGCTTTAACTAAATGGTAAAGTGTTAGATACATTTTTTGGGCAATCACAATATTGTATTCAATACAACGAATCAAACAGAACAATGTAACCAGAGTTAGAAATGAACACTGCAAGCAAAAAATATTACGGTACTCTACAGTTTACCTTTTACATGACAATGAGGTTTTACTTGATGCGAAATGAAGAAAATGATATTATCGCATTAAAGAGTTAGTACTTATCCTCGTTTTGAAAGCGAGGCTTGAGGCAACCCAGAAGTGGCCTGTTATTTTTACTTACGGGATCCATGGTGAAGCAAGCTCGGTCCCAATCCACTGACACTCCCATCTTTCGTAACTGCTCATAAATTCTGTCTCCCTTTCTGTCGAAATAAGGGACGGACCATTTAATTCTTGATAAGGGAGTTGGGCGATTTCTTCTTAGTAAGAGGTTTTTTTTAGCACTAATATTTGCAGGAATTTTTTCCGTTTCATAACCCTCTGCAAGAATTCCAAGAGTAGACGGGACTTGCATAAAATTTTTTCCTCTCTGGCGTGTGTAAGATTTGTTTTCTCCTATTTTTCTAGTGCAAGAATTTTTTTTCGTAATTGCCCAACCCCTTCCCCCTCAAAAATTAAATAGTCCGTCCCTAAGGGAAAATGATATTTTCTTTACTTTTTCATAAGTTAATTTCCTAGTATTAACGTATTTATTTAGCAATTCATGCATTCTGAATACAGTTATTACGACGGTAGCATGACTGACAAATTTGTTGCTCAAGACTGGAAAACACTAAGGTCTTAAGCCAGCTATGAATTAAGCTGTCTGGATAAGATCTCCGTCTACTGTAAGTTCCCTTACTCATTCTTCCATTTCCACACTGCTTCAACAAACTTTTCTCTTCCCAAATCATGTCTTGATAAACCTTGTTCACGCATTAACTTTTTCTCCACAACAACCTGGAGATAAAAAAAGAACTATTACAGCTTGCTAAGACTTAGTAAGCACAGTATTCAGTTCAAAGCAAAGAGGGTTGTACGATTAAGCAAATAATCTTTAGCTACACCAATATTTGCCTTATTTCAACCAACTCTTGAATTTGGCGTGGTAGTGCCGAATCCAGACCTTGAGATAAAGGAGGGGAGAGAAGGCGGTCATCCAGACCCTTAAATAAGGGGGGAGGGGCGGACTGTACAAAAATTTTTTTGGCCCTTCGGGCCACAGTTTGGTCTTAAAAATAAATGGGGGGCGGACCCCGCGGGCCCCTCCTAGGATCCGCCACTGAGTGGTAAAATCCTGTTTACCTGTGTTGCTATTCCAGCATGGTCACATCCTGGGTTCCATAACGCTGTCTTCCCAATCTGCCGGTTCCTAAAAGTGTTAAGAGTTTTTTTGGTGAAAAAACTGCTCGGTTTTTTTAAGCTACACTAGAAAAAACGCAAACCCTCGCGAACTTCGGTTTAAATAGCGCCAATCAAGTTAAGCTATAATGGGCGCGGTTGGGAATCCTGTGAAGACCCTTATTAGCTATGATTGGCAAGGCGACTCAACCTTGCAAATTTTTATTAGATATATTTCTTAAATTGTGGAAAAAAGCTATAAGGCGAGCTGGTCGGACGAATGAGATGAAATGTAACTATGAAAATACTACGCAGACTAACGATGTTAGAGACTCGTATGCGTCTATCCCGAAAGCCGATATAGATGAAAACGTAAACGATGAATGTATTCATATTTTCTGGACAAAATCCGACGAATGGGGAAAGAAAAAAGAAAGTCTGTTTCCCCTTTCCCCGTCCAACCGCGGCTCCTTATTTCCATGACAACCACATACAGGGTAATTTTGCGAACTTCTGAATTGGAGACAGGCTTAACGTAATTTTGCGAACTTCTGAATTGGAGACAGGCTTAACATATTTTTTGACTCGGGCTGTACATATCCTAAGTAATAACGGGGAAAAGGAGGACTTACGCACTAGATGACAGCAAAATTTAAGTTAAACTGAAACCGCTACTGAAGCGGCATGAACATGTTTATCTGCCTAAAATTTTTGACCCCGCCAGTTTCCATACTATCAAACATAAAAACCTTGGACAGAAACAGACAGACAGAAACTATTAACGATCACTTTACAAACGTTGCGCAAGTATTAGCACAAGATATTCCTGTTGTCGATGCTAATCCTGAGTCTTATTTAGAGCCCACTGACCATTCGTTTTCTCTGCAAATTCCGAGTGTTGATATTGTTTCTAACGTTTTGTCGAAAATTGATGAAAAGAAAGCCACCGGTCTTGATATGATTCCGAGTAAATTGTTGAAAATGGCTGCTAATATCGTCGCACCCTCTCTTACCTCAATATTCTCAAAGTCTATTCTCACTGGGATATATCCAAACGATTGGAAAATGGCCACTTTTTAAAAAGGGCACTAAATCGGACCCTAACAACTACAGGTCAATATCTGTAATCCTTACAATTTCGAAAGTTTTTGAAAGAATTGTTTATAATCAACTTTTCCATTATCTAGATGATAATAAATTGCTACTAGGTTGCCAATCAGGGTTCCGTTCTCTACATAGTACGCTCACGGCTTTGCTTGAGGCAACAAATGCTTGGTCAGTAAACATCGACAATGGCCTTCTAAATGGCGTTGTCTTTATTGACCTTACTAAGGCATTCGATACCATTGATCAGGAGATCATCTTGCGTAAGATGTCATACTTGGGTGTCGATCAGGCAGCCATAAAATGGTTCTCGTCGTACTTAAGTGGCCAAACCCAAAGATGTAATGTCAGTGGCAAACTATCATCTGCTCGTACCCTCAGTTGCGGCGTGCCGCAGGGTAGCATATTGGGTCCTTTCCTATGTTTAATTTACATTAATGATCTTCCCAACTCCCTGCGGGGCGCTGTACCAAGAATGTTTGCCGATGACACCAACCTTACGTTATCTGCTAAGACGTTAGTAGAGCTTAAGCTAGCTCTAACCCCTGAATTAAATAACCTTAGCTGTTGGCTGAAAGCTAACAAGCTCAGTCTCAATGTTGCTAAAACAGAGCTAATGATTATTGGATCAAGACAAAGACTATCTGCCCAATGTGACAATGTAGAAATCAGAATTGATGACCAAATTATCAAGAGAGTCGATCACACCAAATCCTTGGGTCTTACCATAGATGCTCAACTCTCTTGGGGTAAACACGTTGAAGAGATTTGCAAGAAAGTCTCTTCAGCTATAGGCGCCCTAAATGAGAACAATGTTGACGATATGTGGAACGGCTGGAAAGGTTTATTCATGCAAGCAGTTCAAAATAACATCAGTTCAAAAAAAATCAAACCAAGAAGAAATGTTCCATGGATCACGTCTGAAATACGTAAATTGTTTCGAAAGCGTAAGCGTTTATGGCGGAAAGCAAAGGCCACTCAATTGCCAAGTGATTGGAATAAGTACAAGCAGTTAAGGAATGAAACAAAATCGGCCCTAAACAAAAGCTACTGGAGTCACGTTCATGATCTCATTGATTCAAAAAATCCCAAGCGTTTCTGGTCGTTTATTAAGACGAAAACCAAGAGTAAATCCATCCCGCCAGTTGTTAAGTTTCAAAATGAACGTGCATCGACCGCAAGTGACAAGGCTGAACTTTTTAATAATTTTTTTGTCTCAGTATTTTCATCTGAGCCAGAATTTTCTACTAATGATCATGTTTACCACTCATATACCGGTGAAACCATTCAAGATTTTAGCTGTCCTGAAGCAGATGTTGAGAAGTTGCTGTTGGATTTAAATACCAATAAAGCTTGTGGACCTGATGTAATAACAGCTCGTATGCTTAGAGAATCAGCATCGACAATTGCACCATCCTTATCAAGGATATTCAACATCTCTCTAAAGTTAGGCAAACTACCCAGTGAATGGAAATCTGCTAACATCACGCCAGTATTTAAGAAGGGAGTAAAAGAGACTGTAACTAACTACCGACCAATCTCCTTAACATGCCTTGTGGTTGAAGTGCTGTAGAAACTTGTCGCAAAGCATATTTCAGTCTTCGTTGATCAGCATAATCTACTAAGTGTCCACCAATATGGTTTTAGAACGGGATTATCATGCACATCTCAACTGATTCATCTGTTCCATACCTGGGCCTCAACGTTAGACAATGGACAAACAACTGACGTTGTGTTTGCGAAGGCTTTTGATTCGGTACCTCACAAACGTCTTATTCATAGAGTCAGTCAATATCGTATACAAGGACAAATTCTCAATTGGCTGTGTGACTTCCTTTCGAATAGACGCCAGCGGGTCGTTATTGACGGTTCCACCTCCTGCTGGGCTACAGTACTTTCAGGGGTTCCCCAAGGGAGTATTCTTGGGCCTCTCCTATTTTTACTCTACGTAAATGAAATCCCCGAATGTATTCCTTGTCCTAGTGATATGTTTGCAGATGATACTTTGCTCCATAACTCAGCACCCGTCAATGAAGTCTCAATTCCAATCCAAGCTGGTTTACTCTGTATGTCCAACTGGTGCAGGCAGTGGCTTTTAAAGGTGTGTGAAGCTAAATGCAAGTGCATGAGAATAACAAGGTCTAAGGTTAATGGGCAGTGTTCGTATTCCATCAACTCTTTACCCCTGGAACAAGTAGTTACCCACAAGCATCTGGGTGTAACATTCTCATCTGATCTATCTTGGAAACATCATGTCCTTGCAATAGCTGCTAAAGCCAACAGGATCTTGGGTCTACTTAAACGCACATTTGGCGGGTGCTCTGAAGCAATAACTGGATACAAAACAATGGTTCGTCCTATCATCGAATACGCATGTCCCGTTTGGAATCCGCATCAAGCCTACCTGTCAGACAAACTTGAAAGAATCCAAAGAAATGTCTCACGCTGGATCCTTGGTGGACCTATTGATTACACCGAACGTCTGCAATACCTTGGTTGGATGGAACTTAAGTCCCGTAGGGAATATCTATCGATAATTCAATTATTTAAGTTTATTAATGGTTTCTCGAGAGTTAAGCTTGACAATTATTTATCTTTCTCTCGTGCTAGCACTAGATCAAGAAATAGTAGGAAGATTTGGAAACCTTTTTCAAGAACTAATATTTTAAAATTCTCTTTCTGGCATAGATATATAGATAAATGGAAATCGTTACCAGATTCTCTAATATGTGCCGATTCATTGTCAAAATTTAAAAAGGGTTTAAGAGAACACTTTTTAACTAGTACGTAATGAACATAAAATTGTTGCGATTGTATATCTAATTTGATAATTAGATAATTTTAATAACTCCATTATTAATAGATATATTTTAGTGATATCTTTTACATTTCTTCTTACATTATAATAGTCTTTATCTGACTTATATTTCCTTAATAGCTTTGTAGATATTTTTAGGGGGTCATCTTACATGAGGATTCAGTTCCTCCCTGATGGCAGCCTTTTTGTATTGATTATTACACATAAAGTTGTGATAAAAGAAAAAAAAAAAAAACGTGTGCGGACGTTTATATCCAAAGAAACTGCAATTCAAATTTATAACGCCTTAATTATGCCTCATTTTGATTACTGCAGCCCCGTCTGGGACTGTTTGAGTGGTTACTTGAGTGATAAGCTCCAAAAATTACAGAATCGTGCAGCCAGAGTTATTACTAAATCACCCTTTGATGTGAGCTCAAACCACCTTCTCTCCACCCTCAGCTGGGAGAGGCTATCTCTTCGACGAAAGAAACAAAAAGCCTTAATGATGTATAAAACCATGAATGACCTCGCTCCGGAATATCTACAAAGTCTTTCTCTCAGCGTCACTCTGCTTACAACTTAAGAAACTATGAGGGAAGGCTGACCCTGTCCAAACCAAGCACCAATTATTTGAGACGAAGCTTCTCTTACAGCGGGGCCATGTTATGGAATAACTTGCCCAAAAACTTAAAAAATGCTGCATCCGTTGAGCATTTTAAGCGAAAAATCAAGAAGGTAGCTTATATATCGGATTCCCACACGGTAATCATGTAAAGCAGTTGTAATTAGTTTTAGTTTTTTACTTAAGCTTAACTGATCATTTCCCGTGTTTAAATAAAGATTTACATACATTTACATACATACAGAGAACGACCACGCCATCATTTCACCGTTTCTATTGTCTGCACTACCACAAAAAGTCTTGACCGATGAATAAGGCGAGAATTTTTACCGCCATTGTAAAAACAACCTTGGGTAAAACAAACTATATTTACATATATACCTATCCATTTCATGTAGAATTTCGTCTCAGTACAAAGGAAATTAGAAAGCTGGTATATTACGGTTTAATGACATGCAAAATGACATAGCTGAATGACATGCAAACAAGGAACACATACTCAACAACTTCTTGCTTTGTACAATCGACGTTGTGATTAAGAAAAATGTTCCTTGTCAAATAAAGACATCACCTCTTGAAAAGTGCGGTCTGTCTCCTTCAAAAAGGCCTCAGAGATGAATACTACGGACGTCACCACCACATTACGACCAAGCTCTATCTCTGTCACTGTTTCCGTCTCAGATAAAATGCCGAAGATCTCTGCTTCCTCTTCTGAATTAGCCTGCGAAAACATCCCCGCTGCTTCTGAATTTGCAACGCGATATTCTGGCAATGCTGACTCTCCAGCCAGTAAATGGAATTCGGTATTAACAGTGGATTTATGCCTGGTGTACGAGTCAAGCTTGACACGGGCCCTTATCAATATACACCACTGCTTATTATCTGAAAAAACTCGCTCAGAGTAGGCTTTGTGGGAAGCGTACGTTATTCTTGGCGAGACAAATATGGCACGGGCCCAATCACTGGTGCCAAAGTACTTTTTACCCAACTTAAAATGATTTGACGGTGGAGAGATTGAGCGACCATCCGGAAGCGTCGACCCACTCGGTTTAAGGCCATGACGCATGATGGATTCTAGATGTTCGGCCCTTGTTCCATGCCAGACGTTCTTCCAGGTGGAGATTATAGATTCCAATTGCTGCCTCGTTTCCCCGTCAATTGCATTTCTGTGGCGCAAAACTTCTTTTGCAATAACAGTGTCCTTGTGTTTAATGAAACGGACCCTACAGGCAAGGCCTTCTCGAAGCAGCGACGTTAGGATTTTTGAGATAGGGTCTTCCTTGTATGACAAAATAATTCGCTTAATTTTCGAGGAAGCCTCGTCCGCTGGAGTTTTGTCCCATCTGTTGTTAACTTCTGGGTCTGCTCCGTATCGAAGCAAAAGTTTGACGACACGAAGTTGTTCAAAGTAAGACGCTGCGTGGAGAGCGGTGCTACCATCAACCTGTGTCTCATTTACAGGAACCCCGTTCTCGAGAAGAGCCTCAGTTGTGTCATAGAATCCAGCGCGAGCAGCGAGATACAAAAGCGAATGTTCGTGTTCGTCAGTGGATGTAACCAAAGAAGGATCTTTGGATATTTGTTCGATCAGGCTAGCTGTGTCACCAACGGCTGCGAGCACAATAACATCATTTTCACTGCTTACTTCATAGGAAGCATTATTTATCTTTCGGTATCGCTGATCTTTAGACATGAGTATATGGTAGGACAGAGATGCCATGGCTCTAGAATGTCTACTGCTGTGATTTGCAACCCTTAGAAAAGCCGATTTAATTTCCGCCCTCGATGCATTTAGACGCACGTTGAGAAATGTATATGGCTCGATGAATCGCGGAATTGATACAGTTTCTCTATCTGGAGCAGTGTATCGAAATGCTAGTTCCTTTTCAGCTCGTTCCTCACGCCCGTCTGACGAAAATAGACGCCAAAAAAAATCTAGCAGCCACGACATCCTTGCTCACATCGAATTACGCCACTGCGAGAGACGAATCGGTAAACGGAAGTTCTCGGAAGTAAAAAGCGAAAGTGTCCGCCTAGTAACCAGGCACCGTCTGTCCTCAGGGAAATGGCATCATTCGTCACTTGCACATCTCTCATAATGCACATTGTTTGCCCCCACAAAAAAAAAAATTGCATAAGCATTGTAGGACGGCTGTAATATCCTGGTGAAACGAAAAACAAAGGTTATGCAAAATTCGGGGGGGGCAAATAACGTGCAATTATGGGTGATGTGCAAGTGGCGAATTCTTTTGGATCTGCCACAGCGTGTGGAGTACCGTATTTATTCGCTTTTATTTCAAAATCACATTTCTTAAATCTCTGACAACAACTCCGATAAATCATTTTTGAACATTATGTAAAGCAGAAAGATAATAAGATTAAAGTTCCAATTAAAAAATGCCTCGCTTTGTTTGCTAAGAGAGAATCGTTGTTGTCTCAGATGTTGTAGGTAACACAATTGCATCGAGTTTTCTTTTGTCTGCATTCTTCTGATCGGGTGCGGTGTTTAATCGAGGACGGCGTTTAATCAAGTAAACACGGTATCCAAGGCATAGGCGTACGGGCAATTTTTTGCCAGGGGGGGCGTTAAGCTATTTGCCCAAAAAATTCTCCCAAGTTGCCCAAATTTTTACGAAACAGTAGAAAAGAAACGAGGGCGATACGATGCAATAACGTAGGCCGTACTGGCATATAAAGGTCAATACCTCCCAATTTTGAGAATAACTACGTCGCCATAGACAAACATTTGGAAAAACTGCTACCATAGTTTTATTAGATAAAGATGAAAATTTATCATGAGCAGGGTTTTAATGACATCGGAATTGTCATAGCAACGAAATGACGCCATTGTCTATTTTACTTGCAGCAATATTTCTCGGCACTGGGAACTATTCCTACCAAATTGTTCACGGGGAACTTTTTTCTCCAATAGTCGCCTCGATGTTCGTGAAGTTAAAACGGAATCTATAGGAGCGTTATTGGGATATTTTGGGATGAAGGTTTTATCATTATAAATATGGGGAAAAAAATCTTGATGTTTGGCTGTTATTTGTAGAAAACGAAGCTCTTTTGACATGCAATTTCACCTCATAGTAGCTTCAATCTTTTTAAAAACGTGTGTAAAAGATATGATCATGGATATGGCTCCGGCCGATTGCTAGAGAGAAGGATTTCATTAGTATGTATCGAGGGGCTCTTGTTAGCGGTTTTGTAAACATTTCGGTCTACTTTAATAAATTATTGCTTGATAGATTTTTTAAAAAAATTAATATTCTTCTCGTAATTCGAGCGGATTACTAGTCAGCCACTTCTTCATTTTCAGACCCACTGTTGCTGAGATGATTCTAGAAAGATATGCGGAAATTTATTCTAATCAATTCACAACTGGAAAGAGCCCATTCCAGTCAGTGCAGTGCAGTACAGTGCTCACCAATAAAAAACTATAAATATGTAAATCAACAAATGATACCCTTCCCTATAACCAGAAACTCATCACGCGCTAGGCAACCACTGTGAGTATCTCGAGAGAATGTAACTGGATTATTACGCTGACTTCAGGATTTTTTCAGATTAAAATAGAAAATATTTGTCTCTTTAGATTAATAAAAAAAACATGGAAACGTCTTTAAAAACTGGCTTTGCCCAAATTTTCTCTTGCTGCCCAAAAATCTGAGTCGCCAAAATTTGGGGGCTGCAGCCCCCTCGCCCCCGGCCCGTACGCCTATGATCCAAGGCGACTACAGCACGTGGAACCCCGAAGTTTCCAAGGTCAGAAAAAAACATCCATTAACCCGGAGTACGGGTCTCCTTCCAGATATTAGACCATAACGTGAGCGAAGAATGCTTTATGTTTAGGTTTTCGTTATATGGGAATTTCACTGCACATACCCAAATCTGTGGCTCCTGTGGTGTGGAAAGTCGTTAGTCAAGAAAATATTATTAGTATCATCATCATCATTATTAGTTGTAGTGATCATAGTATTACTTATAATCAATTTGACCTAAAGTTGATGAAACGTTCTTTGTGTCTTTCCTCGCGACTTATGGATCACAGAACCACAGAGGGGGAGTTACTTGTAAACAAAGAACATCAAAAGAAGACTGACGTACCGGTTATACTGAAAACTAGGAAGAACGCTGTTTCTAGTTGGTTGCAGTGACTGGTGTCATTTAGTAACCCTAAGAGTATTAAGCTCTATTCTTTCCGCGAAGTTTCTCGGAAAAATCACGCACGCGTGACAGAGGAAGGAAGATCCCGCTTACACAACGCCATTTCTATTCCCTATACTACGACGTAACAATCAGTTCTCGACTAATACACAAGAGAGAATTTCTACGAACTACATTGAGCAAACCAAACTTACTAACTCAACCGTATTTGCTTACAGTTATCACATGGAAACTAACAACAGAGTAAATTTGGGAAACTAATGTTCTGCGATTTTATGTCAACCAACCGAGATAATTTCTATATTCGTACAACATTGAAAAGATTTAAAATCAGATGATTTTTACTACAAATCAATTTGATATCTCCTAACTGTCCTAAAAATTGTACTTTTAAAGCTTCAAAGGTGAATAGATCGTTTCGTGCATTTAGAAACAGATAATCTTTACTGCGCATCAACATGTTTGATATCTCCTAAAAAAATTGTACTTGTAAAGCAGATGATACTGCAAATTATCACGAAACTTCGTTAGAGCAATAAGGACAACAACAACTAACTGCAGAGTAAGTTTCATTGATCTTTATTTAGTATTTCCTAGAAATATTAGGATCGTATTTTTAACCCATACAAACACTGAAACTTTACTGGAACCGTACTGTGGTACCTGTGATGAGACCAGAGAAGAATTTCTGGATATCTGGGCACAGGCAGACCACCCTCTGTTAGTCGGGGCCGTTGTTGATTGAAATCTGAGCAACGATCGTTTGTTATTTATAGACGAAAAACATATGAACAATACGGTGGCTATAATTTGTTCCAAAATGCAGAATTTAAAAAAAAATTTTCAATAAAGTTTGAAGAAAATTTAATGTTAACTGAGTCATGTGTCATGTTTTTTTCGCCGTCCTGTGCTGTTTTAAGCGTTATTTTGCGAGATGAATATTTGACCTCGGCGGTTCTAACCGTCAACAACGGCCCCGACTAAAAGAGGGTGGTCTGCCTGTGATAACATCAGTTTTCCCTGTAATGTTATGGTAGCCATCACTTATCTTACCGTATCACTGATCTTTAGACATGAGAATATGGTACGACAAAGACGCCATGACTCTACCTTGTCTTTGGCTTTGATTTGCAGCTCTTTTGAATGCTTGCTTAATTTCCTCTATCGTTGCATGTTGATTTAGTTCAAAAACGTGATATGGATTGACGATTCGTGGTAGTGTCCCAGTCCGTCCACCTGGAACTGTATATCGAAGTGGTATTATAACGTTTTCAGCTCTTGCCTTTCGTTCCACAAATGACATTTTTATCCAAGCACTGGTCTACAGCTAGCTAGAGAGTTTCAGCGAAGACGGAAGTTGCCGGATTTTGAAAGCGAAAGTAGATACTCGGTCGCTGATCCTAGGATCCAGGCGCCCTCTTCTCAGACCTTCCACGTTCGTGTATTATGATAGATTTTATTCGAAACCAATAGGACTCCAACAGTAACGGGCTTCAAAACCGATACCCTTGCCAAAACATTCGGACTTCAAAACCGAACAATAGTCTTCGACAAAAATTACAGTTCTCTCAGAGGTGCACTGTCATCAAAAATCTATTCTCAATCGAAAAAGTACTCAGTTCAAAATGTCACATGATCAGGTGCTCCAAACGTGATCGCCTACATCTAAGATCAAAAAATGTCACGCACGACGAAATGTAACACAAAAACTTCGTGACTTGCATTTCGGTCAATGAGATGAACGGCTCACTTCGCTTTGTCTACGTGACGCAAAATGCGTAAGTTTTCTGTTTATGTAACAAAGCATTTAAATCTTGTGCCACTAACAATGAATACAATGTTCGAGTTTTGTTTTGTTTTTCTTTTTAACACAGAATTTAATTGGTGATATTACCATAATTAAAACAATAGCTTGCAGCTCCTGTTTTAGGGCCTGACAGTGTTTACATTGAGGTGGGGGACCCAAGGTAGGTGAGCCAACCCACTTAGGTGGGGTAACCCTCCTACCTATATAATCTCTCAATTTAGTTTGATTACGTTTACATGATAAGTGGGGTGACCACATGAGAGAACAGGTCGAATAATAGAGACCAGACTAATTTGTGGCCCCCTGGTCCTTCAGGTTGGGGGTTGGGCCGGGGGCTGATACCCCTCACCCGTGAAACCATGTTATTAAAGAAACCACTGAAGCAGAGAAAATTCATTTCATCAAGGGAACACTGTGGCCGGTCGTCCTCACAATAGGAGTGACTATGATGCGCGGGGGCCAAAACCAACAGGTCGAGTCCGAGCTGAATGGGCCACTGGTTCACCCCAAAAACATCATGAAGATCGGAAAGTGGAATGGGCTATCCTGGCTGAATAAAGTTACTTACTTACTGACTGACTGGCTTAATTAATTACTTACGATAAAATGTTCGCTGTGTCTTTTCTCGTGACTTATGGATCATAGAAAAGCGATCGAACAACGAGGAGGTACGTGTAAGTCAACAAGATAACAACAGAAGACTGACTTACTGGTTACACTGAAAACTAGGAAGAACGCTGTCCCTAGTTGGTTGCAATGGCTGGTTTCATTACAGTGGAACCTCGATTCAACGAACCTCTATACAGTGACGTCCTCGGTATAACGAACGATTTTCTTTACCCTACCCTGGGTACCAGAGGTTTTTCTCGCGTGTGGCGGAAATTTTCGGTGTTGGCCGAAGGCCGACACATCTTTGGCCGTAAGGCCGAAGCCGCGAGGCTTTCGCGCGGGTCACCATAGCCTGCGTAGCAAGCGTTTCTAATCGAGTTATTATTGCGCGAAAGTTAGAGCGGGAGCAAAAAAAAAAGCTGGCCCCTCCCCCTCCCCCGTCATTCCTTTTTTTTGCTCTCGTCCCAACTTTCTCGACGAACTCGCGAGGAAACGCTTGCTACGCAGGCTAGGGTCACCATAAAGACTTGACAGAAACTGGAAACCGCGCAAGAAAAGTCTCTGGCACCCAGGGTATCTTCACTCCAGTAACAGTAAAATATGTGGAAAAGAACCTCGATGTAACGAAACCTCGGTATAGCGAACAAATTTTGCCAGTCCCTTGGCCCTTCGTTTTTTCGAGTTTCCACTGTATAACCCTAAGAGTATTAAGCTCCATTGATTTCCGCGAGTTTTCTCGGAAAAATCACGCACGTGTGAAAGAGGAAGGAAGATGCTGCCTTCATAACGTCATTTCTATTTTCCATAGGCGAATCTTTGTTTACCCTTTTTGCCTCAATGACATATGCTTATCACTAGCTGATGACGCTTTCAGTTTCAGTTATGGTTTCGGAGAAATTCTCTTCTAAAAACTCGAAATTTTACAGAGAATATATTTTTGGCTCATTAACTTTCTTGTCACCCAGCAATTTCGCAGTTTTTGATGGCTAATATTTCCTTCCAATATTGCTTGCAAAGAGCTGAAAATTGCAAAAATTGCTCAACTTAATCAGCTCTTTAAACTTTTGCATTTAGTTCATATATACATCCACGGTTTCTATGAGTTAAGACGTAAGCTAATGAGAAAAAATGTAAACAATGACGTCAGCAAAGAATCGCCTACAGTACAACGTAACAATTACTTCTCGACAAATTATCAAGCGAGAATTTCTACGAGCTACATTGATCAAACCATACTTACTAACTCAACTATATTTGCACCATTTATAGTTATCACATGGAAACTTCCAACACAGTAAACTTGGGAAACTAATGTTCCGCGATGTTATGCCAACAATAGTAAAAAGAACGTTTTGTGCATTTATGATGATTTGATATCTCCTAAAAATTGTCCTTGTACTTATGAAACCTGTTCGTTTTTAAACAAGGATTTCAGCAATTCAAAGGTGAGGTTTGGTGTTTTCTCCAAAAAGGCCAGAGAGATGAATACTACTGACGTCACCACCAGATTCCGATCAAACTCTGTTCCTCCTTCTGTTCCGGCTACCCCAGATTTAACGCAAAAGATCTCTTCTTCCTCTGGGTCAGCATCAATGCGATACTCTGGCATTACTGACTCTCCAGGAATTGGATCAGCTCCTGATGAAACAGTGGACTGATGCCTTGTATACGTACCAGGCTTCACATAGGCCCTGATTAAAACACACCACTTCTTGCTAACCGAAGAAATTCGCTCGGAGTAGGCGCCGTGGGAAGCGTAAGTTATTCTAGGCGAGACAAACACGGCATTGGCCCAGTTATCGATGCCAAAGCATTTTTTATCCAGCTTGATATGATTTAACGGTGGTGAGATTGTAAAACCACCAGGAAGCTTTGAGCCACTGGGTTTAAGACCATGCCTCAAGATGGATTCAAGATGTTCGGCTTTTGTTCCATGCCAAACGCTCTTCCAGTTGGAGATTATAGAATCCAATTCCTGTCTCGTTCGTGGGTCAATTACATTTCTATTGCGTAAAACCTCTTTTGCAATAACCGTGCCGTCGTATTTAATCAAGCGGACCCAAAAAGCAAGGCTTTTTCCAACCAGTAATGATACGATTTGTGAGATACGGTCTTCCTTGTAAGACAAAATAATTTGCTTAATTTCCCTGGAATTGGCCTCGTCCGCTGGAGAGTGGCGCCATTTGTTTGTAACTGTTGGGTCTGCTCCGTGCCGAAGCAAAAGTTCGACGACAGGCTGCTGTCCATAGAAAGAGGCGGCGTGGAGAGCTGTGCTACCATCAACCTGTTTCTCGTTGACAGGAACCCCCATCTCGAGAAGCGCCTCGGTCGTGTCATAGAATCCAGAGCGAGCAGTGACATATAAAAGCGAATGTTTGTATTCATCGGTGGTTGAAGTCAGAGACGAATTTTTGGATATCTGGGAGACCAGGCTGGCTGTGGCACCAACGACTGCAAGCACAATAACATCAGTTCTCTGGGTGACTTCAAAGCGATCATCACGTATTTTTCGGTAACGCGGAATTTTCGACATGAGAATATTGTAAGAGAGAGACGCCATGGCTCTATCCTGTCTTCGGCTGTGATTTGCAACCCTTAGAAAAGCTGATTTAATTTCCGCTCTCGATGCATTTTGATTCACGTGGAGAAATTTATATGGCTCGACGATTCGTGGAATTGCTGCAGTTTCTCCATCTGGAGCTGTGTATCGAAATACTAGTTCCTTTTTAGCTCGTTCTTCTCTTAATCGATCAACAGTTGCGGTTCTTGAACAACCAACATTTTCTCTACCCACAATGGAGAACCGAAATGTTCCGGGTATTCTCTCAACCCATTCCTTTACAAGTGGACAATGAGTTGCCGCCCTTGGGCGATGAACTGGTCGATCCCTCGAAAAGAGGCCCACGGAAAACCGCTCCGACGACTTCATTGATTTATCAGCTAGAGACTTTCTCCTCTTCGAGAAACGAAAGGGAAACCCGGAAGTTACTTCGAAGGAGGAAGCGCCTACTAAGCCCCGGTCAGGCACTTGACAGGACAAGTAGTAACCTATTTTCCAAAACGTCATTTCAGAGTTTTAAAATTTAGTAATTCTCTCATTGAAGAGGGTGATGAATCCAAAATCAGCGTTTATTCTAGAGCGTGGCAGTGCGGGATTTTCGCTATTTGGAAAAAAATGCCGCATAACAGTTGCTGCGTTAAATGGGGCGCCAAAAAATAGACCCAAGGATACCGCATTTATTCCAATAAGCGCCCAACCTCGAATTAGCGCCCACCTCGAATAAGCGCCCATCCTAAAGGCAGAAAAAGTTAATAAGCGCCCAGCCTCGAATAAGCGCCCACCCCCTCCTCCCAATCAAACTCAAATAAGCGCTCACCCCGACCCCACCCACTTGAGTGAATAAACTCTAATAAAGGACTTCCCCGAGGACGGAGTTTTCTTCAGAGTATTTTACAGAAACCTTGCTTTATTACTTCTTCGCGTTTTGTTATTAGCATTTATTGCTTTGTTGCGAAATAAACATTCTTCACTTGCTGAAAATGGTGAAAATTTAATAAGCGCCCAGCCTCGAATAAGCGACCACTCTCAAGGTCCAAAAGTTTAATAAGCGCCCAGGGCGGTTAATCGAATAAATACGGTAAGTACTATTTTTTGAAATATAGTACAGTCAACTCTCTCATAGCGACCGCTCCTCGTAAGCGACCACCTCCCGTAAGCGACCACTTTACAAATATCCGTTTTGTTTCTCAGTCAAACACTGTTTCAAAAACTCTCTCGTAACCGACCACTACGAAGTTAGCTGACAGATTATAGCTGTTGACTTACAAAAACGATGTCTGTAATACAATCTGTAGGTAAAAAAGTGGATTGTCACGTTCATGCATTATCATGTTATGTACAAAGTTTCATCAGTTCTAAGCGCTATTCGAGTTAAACATTATTACCAGTTCTCTGTTTGCCTCATTTTGCTTGTAAGAGTTTAACTTTATGTAATTACGTTAATCAGTTCAGTTTGAGTTTTTTTTCTTGATTTTTCCAATAGACGCCCACCTCTCGAAAGCAACCACTTTGTCGAGTACCAAGGGTGGTCGCTTACAAGAGAGTTTACTTTGTTCAAAAACATCACTGACAATTACACTTATTTGACTGCCGCACTATAAAGTTACTTTGAAGTTGTATTGCCTCTTACTGTCTCAATTGCCTTTCTGTTCTTCGTTTGAGCCATTATTTCACCAATATTTTACCAATAAGTTCAAATACAGTACCTTTTGGGGACCCCCTTTCTTTAAAAATGGCCCTCTAAAATTAGAGAATAGTGGTCATTGGCTAATTTCTAGAATAAACCCTGAAAATTTCCTAAGTTTGGTAAGTACACACAAGCATGCACCGCAGTAACAAACTTTAAAATTACTTAGATAACTTAATCAACAATGTTATCTCACCATCTTGTTATACAATCCTCTACAGCATTTGTCAGTGCATGGCCAAGATGAAGTGATCCAGTCACATTAGGTGGTGGAATGCACATCATGAACAAACCACGAGGGTTAGGATCTTGAAGACTCTTCCGCTTTTAAGGATGATTCAATAAAATGCATGTCAGGGAATTTATAAAATAAATGAAATATCTACTACAAGCACACAGTGGCGTTGTGAACATCTGAAATATCTTACCCCATACTCTGGCTTGAAATATCCCTGAAAAGTGAGCCAAGAAAGAAAGTAAAAAACATGAACTGGATAAATAATTTGATACAAGTGTCATATGAGTGGGCATGTTGAAGACCTGCTAGTGAACCTATTAGATAAGTCTGATGAGCAATGACTCAACATCAGCTGGCAACTTGAACTGCCTGGATTTACACTAGGTACATTTTGCTTCAGAAAATTGTTGGGTGTGGCCTAGGTGCAGGAAGTTATGGACTACCTGGTTTTGCAATTCTGTGGCCGGGAAATAACACCCATTTGTTGCCTAGAAAATAAATGAGTTGGGATATAGACCCCAGTCAACCTCCATTTATAGAGACTTTGTTGGGACCAGTGGATTTGTATCGGTACTTCAGCCAATCGAATTGAAAATAGTGTCCTCATTAGTAAAGAAAATGAAAACATCCGTGACTTGGACTTGTCTGTATCAGTCAGGGCTGTCACTAAGATTTCAAGTTTCTGGGTATATGCAAATAGAAGGCAGGGAATTGAACATCTAGGAAATTCTTTTAGTTCTATTCCTTCTTTTGCTTCCTGAGAAAGTAGCCAAGAGTCCTGTTCGTAGAAACCCTGGCCCCTTGTGCATAGCAACAGCCCTGATAACAGTCAATAATCAGGGGTTTGACTTGTTATAATTTAAAAGTAATCTTGTAGATAATGACACTGACAGAATTTTCTGTCCATTGTGTATAAGACACAGTTTAGTATCCTCTGCTAACTAACCTCTTTTTCCCACCAGGCATACCATGCAGCTTCCACATATGTGGGACTATAGCTATCTGGCATTGCTCCACTGACATCTGCCAAACAAAGAAAAATAAGATTATCATGCAATGTCTCTTAAGGGGGAGGGGGGTGGAAGGGTGGGTATTCTGGTGAAAAAATTGACAGGGGAAATTGTGACAGAAAGGTGCAAAGTCCCTTTGGACGTTTCAAAGTTTGGAGTCAAGGACTTTCCCAGGTAAAAAAACTACTTGGCTAATTTCAGGAAGAAGTTGATTTTTATGCAGAGAAAAATGACAACATTTGTGGGTTACAGGTATTAGACAGTTTTTTGGTGATCTATTTTAAGTCTATAACATGAGAAAAATATGGCCCTATCTTCACCTTCCCTGTCGATCATTATACCTCAGCACCTCCCCCTGAGATACTGTTTGTCCTATACAGTCAACACTTGTCTTGTAGATACCCCGCTAAGATGGACACCCCCATAATATGGACAGCAGTTAAATCTTTGGTAAAAATAAATTACAGATCTTTGACTGAAATAAGCTTCTGCTATTATGGACTCTCTCTAATGAGGACACTAACTCAAGGTCCCTGCAGTGTCCTCTATAAAGGGAGTTGACTGTACTACTGTATTATGTACTGCCTGTTACAGCAAAGCATCTCTCCAAAGAGCATAGATGTTGTGGTTCAATTTTATCCTTCGTTTACATTTTACTTTCCTTTGTTTTGGGGTATGAGAATGTATGATAATGGGTTTGGAATAAAAAAAGGAACATTTAAACCAACAATAAAATTGAACGACAGCATAGTCACAAGATCACAGATATAAGCCATAATTCCTAGGTTTTTCTTTACCACACAGTCCATTAAGCACTACCAAAACCATTTTTATTAGGGTTTCTGTTATTGGGCGATTCCAGAAAATATCCATACCATACCACGGACGGCTTTCAGGATTTCCGAAGGGGAGGGGGGATTCACGATTATGGAATTCTGAAGGCATGGGGGGGTATTTACGATTTGAAATCCGAAGGTATGGGGGAATTCCACAGGTGGGATTTCTGGAGTAGAATAATTAGTGTAGAGTAAGTTCCTGGAAAACGCTATTGTTGTGGACTTTTGTAGTTCGTAAATAAACCACGAACGTATGACCGCGGAAGCAGAAGACAAGCATCGATAGATCAGACACGTGTTTACGCTCATAACTTATAGAAGTGAACAGTAAAACGTTGGTTTCACATTTACCTTGATGAATTTCTTGTCACGTGAATAAAAACTGAAAATGTATCTTTTAATACCGCTTGCAAATTTCTTGTTACTCCCGTCCGAAACCGTCCGATAAACAGTAAAAAAACTCGCACCAGTCCCTCACTTCCAAGGAACGCCTGTCAGATTAGAACGCTTTTTAGCGCACTACATGACGTATAAAAAGGACGCAACACGACTTCGACGGTATATTTGACGGCCAAAAGATTTTAACAGTCTGTTTGAGCTATTTTCCTTTGTAAACGTCAAAACAGCACAAGAAAACAAAGAGGAGTAAAATTACCTTAAGTGGTGTTTATTTTTATAGCCAAATTGGACTTAAAAAGGAGTTTGCACGGCCTTGCAACTAAGCGTAGGTTTTTCTTGTCACTGAAGAGTAAAGCTTGTCACCTGGCGCCGCTAGATCACAGCCTTGAGGAGGCATAAATTCATGTTCGTTTGTTCTTATAGGCGTTGCTAAGTCGAAAATGTACTTCAAAAAAAAACCGGAAATTCTGAAGGGGAGGGGGGGTTCACGACTATGGAATTCTGAGGGCATGGGGGGGTAGCGCATTTTGGAATTTCCGAAGGCAAGGGGGTTTAAAACATGGAAGCCGTCCGTGGTTGGGTATGGATATTTTCTGGAATTGCCCATTGTAAACTAAAGGTTTTGAGAATTTTCCTGTCAATTAGAGAACATATTCATGTCGAAATAAGGAGGAAGTACATCTGGAATAGCAAAAGAGTTAATCTGAGACAGAGGGCATCTATTAGATCATTTATGATATTTAATCTTGCTTGCACTGCCCCTACAATTGAGTTAGAGTACAGTTACCTTTCTTTTCTCCTGGTGCTGTTGGTTTGTCATAAACAAAAACCTTCTTTGTTGATTCTTTCTTCTTTTTATTGTTCTTTTTCTATATTAATTTGAGGAAAAAAGATAATCAGAGAAAAAAAACTCTGTTGTTTACCAAACTCATTATCACTATTATTATTATATTTTAACAACACTGTTTGTTTCTATAACAGATACTATTATAAAAATCCTCTCGCCCCACCCCACCCTCCAGGAAATAGTAGGAGGTGATGCAATGTTGTGAAAGCAATGTGGAAGCTGTTTACAAGAAAATACATTTCAAGTTTGTCGATGTCCTGTTCTTAGTTAGACTTTCGCTGCAAACCTCGCGTAACTTACAAATATATAGCTGTCAAAGCAGCTCGTTGCGATTTTCGAATACAAACACGTGAGTCTTTTCCATGTTCCGCTGATCATACTAAAAGTATTCATTAAAGTCACGAAAAAGCCAAGCAATTCACTCCGTGATCCGAGAGTTTCACTTGCAAGAATATCATCCAAAAATCAATTTAACCACTTACTTGATTCTGGTTTTCAGCAAGAGCGGCTTCTTTCTCTTTCTTTTTATTAAATTTTTCTAATTTTGCCAGTCTCTGGGCTTCCTTTTTGAGCTGACTGGCTGTCTTCTCCACGACGGCGCCACTTTCTGTTGAATTGCCCGGATCCATGGTACTACAAACCAGTCTGTTTAAAACTCGCACTGGGAAACTTCTTATTACAGGTCGCGTGCTATTTTTGGCCCAAATTCTAGAAGTTGATGAAATCAACCCAGAAAATTTCATGGACTTGTTTCCACGCCGGCATCCGCCATTGATGTTCGTCCCGCGCGCGTTGATGGGAAACTTCCTGTTCCATAGAATTATGGGTAATTTTTTATTGCGGTCGTGTGAATATTTTGTTTTTATCACACAGCTGGTTGCGTTTGGCGTTGTGATCAATCTGAGATGACCTGGTAGGTTGCTCATCTAGTTCGTAGGAAGAGTATATGGACTACAGAGGACGGTCGTCTTCAAGACATGTTTACCAACGACGTTTTCACGGAGCCAATTCATGGCTACCTGAGACTTTCGGCTACAACGCTTGCTTTGAAGATTCGCCGGTTAGAAGTCGGCGTGGAAGAACTGATGCAAGTGTTTATTGACAGAATAAATGTTGTTAATGCTCGTATCAATGCCGTAGTAGTCGATCGCTTCTCTGAAGCCTTACAAGAAGCCAAGGAAATGGATGAAATGCTTCTTGAAATGAGTGAAGAAGAGAGAAATGAACTAGAGGGGTCCAAGCCCTTTCTGGGCATACCATTCACGGCCAAAGAAGCTTTTGCAGTTACTGGGCTACCTAATAGTGGTGGTCTTGTGGCTCGTAAAGATTATATCGCCCAGGAAGATGCTGTTGTGGTTCACCGATTACGCCAAGCTGGAGCCATACCGCTGGCTTTGACCAACTGTAGTGAGTTGTGCATGTGGTGGGAGTCCGCTAACAGGGTCTATGGTAGGACATGTAACCCGTTTGACATCACCAAGATCGTGGGTGGAAGCTCTGGTGGAGAGGGTGCTATTATTGGTGCTGCTGGATCAGTAATTGGAGTAGGATCAGGTAAGATGTGCACAGCACAGTTCGATCCGAGTGATATTAAATCTGTTGACCCCATCCACTTTCTGATAAAGGAATCGAGTGTTTGGAAGTCAAGTTGCCCTGGATCGAATATTACAGCTACTAATAAAATGGATATCTTTAGGTGGCTGGTACCAGGAGTGCTACAATCATTTTAGTCCTAGTGGTAAAGTAGGTCTATTGCACCCCGAATGGACAGAGACACTGTAGAAAAAAGCTGTTCTTATAACTAAAGGATTATGTCTATGAGGAATTTAATGGCAATTTCCTAGGCTTCCTACCTGTAGGTATAAAATAGTAATTTTAAAAACATCTAAACCTCTCTTTTAGACATTGGTGGGAGCATACGAATGCCATCTTTCTTCAACGGCATATTTGGACACAAACCAAGCCCAGAAATTGTGCCCAATTCTGGCCAGTTTCCTGATGCCACTGGTAACAGACAACAATTCCTATGCACTGGACCAATGTGTCGCTACGCACAAGACCTGAAACCTCTCCTTAGGGTATGTACTCTATTAATGGATGTACTGCATGGTTAAGTTATTGGGGGTGTAGCTTCCTTAAATCCATGTGACCAATGGCCACTCAGAAATGAGAAGGTACCTGGGCAGAGTTAGCTTATGCAAGGACTTCTGGGATTGCTACTGGGGACTTTGGTCAGCTATTGGCCAATTTTTGTCCGGGGGGGGGGAGACTCCGCATATGAAAGGGGTGGGGATGCTTGTCGGAAATTTTGAAATAAACCCCTAAAGGAGACCAATCTAGGCGTGGCCCAAGCTTTTTTTGATCCCTGAAAGAGACCATGTTAAAACACAAACAAATGAGAAAACTTGGATTATATGAAGGGAGTAAATAAAACAAATTAAATATATACATATCAAATATATATTTTTATATTTTTTCACGTGCAACCCTAAATGAGACCTTCACTGCTAAATATGATGGCGTTTTGCCCAGAACACCCTAAATGAGACCAAAATCCCAAATTTACACCCCTAAGCGAGACAATGAGCATGCCCACCACTTTCATATGCGGAGTCTCCCCACACACCCCGGGATTTTTCTCCCAGAAGTCTTTGTCAAAGTTAATTGGCCTTGTTTCCTTCTTGTTTTTTCTCTCCTTCTAAGTTGCTTCCACCGCCATCTCTAAGTTGCTAGATTCCAAATGAACTCACAAGCATGTTGCTTTTAAAAATTTTATTGTGCTCAAATAAATGTTTGATATGATGATGATGATGATGATGATGATGATGATGATGTTAGTTCCAGTAAATTATGCTGTGTGTCACCTCTTCATTTAGGTTATGGCAGGAGAGAATGCAAGTTCACTGAGCCTTGACATTCCTGTTGATGTTACCAAGCTAAGGTTTTACACTATGGAGGATTGTGGAGGACACTTCCTGGTGTCAAATGTCGACCCTGAACTCAAACAAGCTCAGCAACACGTCTGTCAGCAACTTGAAGAGAAACTTGGAGTCAGGGTGGAAGCCATTAAAATTGAAAAGCTTGCCTCTTCTCTTGAGATCTGGACCTCTATGATGTCATCTGCTGCTCAAAAGTCATTCTGTTTCTACATGGGTAACCAAGAAGCTGAGATTAATCCATTCTGGGAGCTCATAAAATCATGCGCACGACTCTCCAATCATACAATTCCTGCTATTGGTCTGGGTATGCTTGAAAAATTTGAGGCATTGACCCCAAAGAGGGTGTCAGAGTCATTCATTCAGATGGGAGAGGAATTGCGAGAGGAGCTTGAATCTATTTTGGGTGAAGATGGAGTGCTTCTGTATCCGTCACATCCCTCAGTGGCCTTAAACCATAATTTGCCTCTGTTGTTCCCCTTTAATTTCTCTTACACTGCCATTTTCAATGTTCTTTATATGCCGGTTACCCAATGTCCTGTTGGTTTAAGTAAGTCTGGATTGCCACTTGGTATCCAAGTGGTAGCAGGAAACAACAAGGATCACTTGAGCATCGCTGTCGCCATGGAAATTGAGAGGTTTTGTGGTGGGTGGAATAGATTGTATAACCAAAAACAAACAGCTCTGAAGACAGAGCAGTAGATCTATTTAAATCGTTAGTTGCAGGTGTGCTACAACTGTATGTTAGCATCAAATAAAGCAAAAGGAACTTAACTTTCACCCTTTAAGTCCCAAGATTGACCAAAATCAAATTTCTCCCAACGATATCAATGCATAATCAAGAGAAAAAGTTATGAGAATTATTCAAATGATCGCCAAAGGAAAGTTGCTTAGATCTATTGTTTAACCAACTGCCTCGCTTAAGTGGAAGGTGGGTGCCTGGGACACCCAGCGGCTTCCACTGTGGCCAGCCAGCCCCTAAACACTCAACAAAGAACTTACAGATCCTAGCAGTACACAAAGCTATCACATACCATGTGAGCCTGCACTTATGGGATTGACTGCTGGATGCCCACTAAGCTCATGGTTGGCTTGAGCACTAAGCTTGTGGGTCACTTGACCTCTAAGCTCGTGGACTTCTTGACCAATAAGCTCATGGACCACTTGACCGCTAAGCTTGTGGTGGTTAACTTAGTCAAATTACATTTAACCAAATCAAATTTTGTCAATACTCTTTAAGGAAATGTATTGAGATCAGTTTGGAGAATTTGGACATGGATATTGGGACTTAAACGGTTAACTAAAAACAAAAATAGTATTGATGTGTGGTTAATAAAAAGGTTTATTTGAGAAGGGGTAGGTAAAAAACGTGTTTGTATAAAACATCTTAATTCTTCATTTTGTGTGTAATGTTGATCAACTGTTATATTCTCTCCAGGGTACTGACTTTTCATGAAAGACATTTTAGTTATCCACTAAACCTATCAGTTATTGAAGGTGTATTGTAAAGCATTTTGAAAAGATAAATATTTAAAGTTCATTTTCTCTTCAAAGGAAAAATATTGTAAACGAACGAGGGAACCAGCAAAAGATAAGAAGATGTGAGTTTTATTTACTACGATATAGGAATTGGTGCTTTCTGGGTATATTTGAGTGTTTATTTATAACATAAATGGGAAACACATATTGAGCAGTATTTAAACATAGCATTTTACAGATTATTTGAATAAACGTAAACATAGCAAGATCTTGTTGTTGCTGTTGTTGTTGTTGTTGTTGTTTTTTTTCATCTTGTTTTTCCATTTGGCATAACTAACATTCATGCTAGAATTTTAAGATATCGAACGTGGGCTATTTGTACCGCCTCGCTTGCCTAGTCGCTAGGCCTCATTTTTCCACGGTCCGAGCGAGTCA